GGGGTGCTCCAGAGGGGCAAAGGGAACGCTTGGGATAGTGAGGAGTGGGATATGTGGGAAATGGGAATGCTGCTGTGGGGTGGCAAAGCCACAGCGGGACAATGGGGACAGATCCCAGAGCGGGTGGGAGTCACTTTTCCCTCCCTCATCTCCAGGACGGGAATTCCTGGATTTAACCCTTCATAAAAGGTGATAAAGATCCCTGTGGAAAATCATTTCCAGGCTGCAGCCCCCACTGGCTCCTCCATTCCCAAATCCCGGCTCCCGCTGGAGGGAAGGGTCCCAGCGCAGCCCCCAGGGGTGGCTTTGCCGGGTCAGGGACAGCGGGGTGGCGACTGTCACCGCGGAGACACACCTGGGCACGGCGAGGTGCCCTGGAGACCCCAATCCCCCCCAAATTGGGGACCCCACAGAGGCAGCGCGGCTGCAGCCCCCCCGTTCCGCGCCCCTCACGGTTTGTTTTCCTTTCCCGGAGAACTCCGGCTGACCCGGGGCCGGGAAGAGCCTCTGGAGCGGGGGGAGCCCGGCGGGACCCCCGGAGCAGCCCCCGCCTCTCGGGAATGGATCGCAGCTGCCTCCTCCTCCTCGCCCTCCTCTTCCTCAGGAGGGACTGGGGGACACCGCGGCACGACCAGGGACACCCCGGGAGGGGACACGGGGACAGGGGGGCTTGGGGACACCATGGCACGACCAGGGACACCCCGGGAGGGGACACGGGGATAGGGGGGCTTGGGGACACCATGGCACTGGAGGGGACACGGGGACACGGGGGCTGGGGACACCATGGCACAGCCAGGGACACCCCGGGAGGGGACACGGGGACACGGGGGCTTGGGGACACCATGGCACGACCAGGGACACCCCGGGAGGGGACACGGGGACTCGGGGGGCTTGGGGACACCATGGCACGGCCAGGGACACCCCGGGAGGGGACACGGGGACAAGAGGGGCTGGGGGACACTGCGGCACGGCCAGGGACACCCCGGGAAGGGACACGGGGATAGGGGGGCTTGGGGACATCATGGCACTGGAGGGGACACGGGGACAAGAGGGGCTTGGGAACACCATGGCACTGGAGGGGACACGGGGACACGAGAGGCTGGGGACACCGCGGCACGGCCAGGGACACCCCGAGAACGGACACAGGGACACGGGGGGCTTGGGGACATCATGGCACGGCCAGGGACACCCCGGGAAGGGACACAGGGACACGGGGAGCTTGGGGACATCATGGCACAGCAAGGGACACCCGGGAGCGGACATGGGGACAGGGGGACACCGCGGCATGGCCAGGGACACGCAGGGAGGGGACACGGGGACACCATGGCCCCGCCAGGGACACCCTGGAAGGGGACACGGGGACACGGGGGCTGGGGGACACCATGGCACGACCAGGGACACCCCGGGAGGGGACACGGGGACACGGGGGGCTTGGGGACATCATGGCACAGCAAGGGACACTCGGGAGGGGACATGGGGACAGGGGGACACCATGGCACGGCCAGTGACACCCGGGAAGGGGACAGGAGGGGCACCACGAGGGGAAGGGTGGAGGTGTGTGTGCCCACGGTGGGTGTGTCTGTGTGTGCACACGTGTGCGTGTGTGCACCCACATGTGTGTGAATTGGTGTGTGCACACAATGTGTGTGTGTGTACATGGAGTGTGCACATGTCTCTGTGTGTGTGTACATGCGGTGTGCACATGTGTGTGTTGTATGCGTGCACACGTGTGTGTGTTTGTATGTGTGTGCACACGCGTGTGTCTGTGTGAGGTCATGGGCTGTTTGTGCAAGACCACGCACACGTGCAAGGATCCGTGCACGCGTGTGCAGGGCTGCGGACATCACATGTGTGCAAGAACACGCGTGTACACGACACCCGCGCCCAGGGGAAACTGAGGCTGGCACGCGGTGCCCGCGGGTGCCCCCGAGCTCGGGGCTTTCCGGGGGCTCCCGGGGCTTTCCAACCCCAAAATCCCCCAAATTTCCCCTCCCGGGGACAGCGCTGGGGTGGGGAGGGGACAGCGGGGGTACCCCGGGGGTGCGGGAATGGCAGGTTTGGGATGGGACAATGGGATGGCCGCCGGGAATTTGGGAATTGGGTGGCACCGCGTCCCCTCCCCGCTGGCACCGCGTCCCCGCGGGCACCGTGCCCTTGGCGGGGCGGGGGAAGGAAGCGATCCAGCCCTTCCCAGGCTGGCCGGGATCCAGCCCTGCTCCCGGAGCTCCGGGACCGGGGGTCGGGGGGGTGTGGGGGGTGTGTGGGGGGCTGCACCCCCTCCTCGCGGGGTCCCCTCGGCCTTGGGGTCACCTCGGTGTGGTGGTGGGGACAATGTCCCTCATCCCGGTTTATCCAGCTCCTCCCCGCCGTCGTTCCCGGTCCCAAAGGGGGATCCTGGATCCGGGAAGCAGAGCCGGGGGGTCCCGGGAGTGGGATCCGAGCCGGGGATGCCAGATTTGGGATCAGAGCCAGGGATCCCAGATTTGGGATCAGAGCTGGGGGGTCCCGGGAGTGGGATCCGAGCCAGGGATCCCAGATTTGGGATCACAGCCAGGGATCCCAGATTTGGGATCAGAGCTGGGGGGTCCCGGGAGTGGGATCTGATCTGGAAATCCCAGATTTGGGATCTGATCCAGGAATCCCATATTTGGGATCTGATCCAGGAATCCCATATTTGGGATCTGATCCAGGATGGGAGTGATGGTGGTGGTGGAGATGATGATGGTGATGATGATGATGGTGATGATGATGACGACGACGATTCCCCTCAACCCGCTGCAGGTCCCAGCCCAGGAAGGCGCAGTTTGTCCCCAGAAAAAGCTGGGAAGAAGTAAACTGGGAGCACTGGGAGGGACGGGAGGGGTTGTCCATATGCTGTCCCCAGCTCCCCAGTTAGGGACGCGATGCCACCCCCATGTCCTGGTGGGGGACATCGCGGTCCCCACCGGCTGTGGGTCCGGGCTGGGCTCTGGCCTCGCCTCCAGCCCCGTTTCTCCGTCCTCATCCCGGGTTTCCTGTCCCCGCAGCATTTCCATGGGCTGGGCCTCAATTCCCGGAAAGCGCTACCTCATCCCTGTCGGGGCGCCAGGGACGCAAACACGGGCGGAGCCCCCGCCCTTGTCCCTGTCCCCCCCTCCAGAACCTTCCCCGGCTCCGGGGCAGCGGTGCCAGGCAGGGCTGGGGGGGTTGGAGGCCCAAAAAATCCCAGTAGAGCCCCAGGATAATCCCAAATGCCGCTCTGACATCCCCTGCCTGTCCCCTTTGGGGTCCGGAGGTCCCCTGGCTCAGGAGGTGCCCCTTTGTCCCCTCAGTGGTGTCACCCCCATGGTCACAGCTGGCACGTCCCGCTCCAGGCCGCCGCATTCCCAGCCAGGGCCTTCCTGACCTTGATCCAAATGATCCCAGGGTCTTGATCCCAATGATCCCAATGATCTCGGTGTTCCCAGCAAACGAAATGATCCCAGCCCTCAATGATCCCAAACCCCCAATGATCTCAGCAACCCCAATGAGGCAAATGATCCCAATAATCTCCGTGATCCAAATTATCCCAATTTTCCCAACGTTCCAAACGGTCTCACCGATCCCAATGTTGTCAGAGACCCCAACAATCCCAATTATCTCAGTCATCCTAATAATCTAAACAACCCAAATTATCTCAGCGATCCCAGCAATCTCAGCACCCCCAAAGATCCAAATGATCCCAATGATCTCAACCATCCCAATTATCTCAGCGCTCCCAACTACCTCAACTCGGTGATCCCAAATATCTCGATTATGGGAACGATCCCAAATATCTCAAATGTGGGAACAATCCCAATGTTCTGCCTGTGCTTTTGAGGCTCCCACGGGTGAATTCTTCCCATTGTGGAGATTTTTGGGAATGACAGGACAGACCCTTTGTGTGCTTCCTTCCCTTGGGGTCTCACAGATCCGATCCCAAATCTGGGATCCTCCGGCTCTGATCCCACCCTCGGGATCTCCCAGCTCTTATCCCAAATCTGGGATCCCCCAATCAGATTCCACTCCCGGGATCCCCCGGCTCTGATCCCAAAACTGGGATTCCTGGATCAGATCCCAAATCTGGGATTTCCAGCTCAGATCCCACTGCCGGGACCCCCCGGCTCTGATCCCAAAACTGGGATCCCCGGATCAGATCCCACTCCCGGGATCTGCCAGCTCTGATCCTAAAATTGGGATTCCTGGATCAGATCCCAAATCTGGGATTTCCAGATCAGATCCCAGTCCTGGGACCCCCCGGCTCTGATCCCAAAACTGGGATTCCTGGATCAGATCCCAAATCTGGGATTTCCAGATCAGATCCCAGTCCTGGGACCCCCGCCTCTGATCCCAAATCTGGGATTCCTGGATCAGATCCCAAATCTGGGATTCCTGGATCAGATCCCAAATCTGGGATCACTGGCTCAGATCCCACTCCCGGGACCCCCCAGCTCTGATCCCAAATCTGGGATTTCTGGATCAGATCCCAGTCCCGGGACCCTCCAGCTCTGATCCCAAAACTGGGATCCCCCGGCTCAGATCCCACTCCCGGGACCCCCCGGCTCTGATCCCAAATCTGGGATCCCTGGCTCATATCCCACTCCCGGGACCCCCCGGCTCTGATCCCACTCGCGGGACCCCCCGGCTCTGTTTCCCGGATCCAGGATCCCCCTTTGGGACCGGGAACGACGGCGGGGAGGAGAATCCCGGGATAACCCCGAGCTCCGGAGCCGGGATGGGGCTGGATGTGGGGACAGAGCCGATGTCACCCGGGACACTCACAGCGACAAACCCGGCAGAGCGACTGACACAAACTCAGGGGGACACTTGTGGGGGTGTGGGGGTGGCGTGTCCCCCCTCCCGGCCGGTTCGGGACCCTTGTCCCCCCTCGGTGGCCGTGGCCGGGCGGGGAGCGGAGGTTCCGCTGCCGGCGGGACTGGAGCTGGCCCTGCCTCCTCCTCCTCCTCCTCCTCCTCCTCCTCCTCCCGCCGCTCCCGCTCCCACATCTGCAGCTGGAATTGCAATTTGAGGCGCTGCCTGGGCCGGGACAGGGAGTGGGAGGAAGCCGGAGCGCGGGGGGCTGCGCGGGGCCCCGACGGGGACAGAGCCGCGGGGACAGAGCCGCGGGCACCTCCCGCCACCAGCCCGGCGGGTGACACAGCGGGGGCTGCACCGAGGTGTCCCCAAAACCCGTGTGCCCCCCACAGCGGTGAGTGGCCGGCGGGGGTGGCGGGAGCCGGGCGAGGGGACGTGGGGAGCAGCTCTGTCCCCTGGCCGAGGTGAGGGTGGCACCGCCCCTGGGGTCTCTGCCCGGTTTGGGGACACCGGGGTTGGGGGGGGGGGGTGACAGGACTCCACGGCCTCTCCCCGGTGGGAATTGGGGGGCTGTGGGCACGGCGGGGAGTGGGGATGGACACTCGGACACTTTCCCCGTGTGTCCCATCCTGGGGGACACCGCTGGGACCATCGGGGACACCACAGGGACAGCGCGACAATGCGCCAGCACCGTGCAGGGGACACCTCTGGCTGCCTGCTGTGTCCCAGTCACGGACGAGGGGACCAGGAAGGGCTCCAGGGAACCCCAACAGCTTCCAGGGAGGATTTGGGGGGGTCCCCAACCCCAGAGCCATGCTCAGCCCTGGCACAGCGGGGATGTGGGGACAAACAGCTCCTTCTGTCCCAGCACAGCTGGATTGGAGCCCCACAGCTGCCCTGAGCCTCCCAGGTGTCCCGTGGGGTCACCCCGAGTTTGTGGGGTCACCCCGAGCTTGTGGTGTCACCCCGAGTTTGTGGGGTCACCACGCCCGGCCAAGCCGGTGTCCCCGTGCCACTCCTGGCCGTGCCACAGCCCCGGTGTCGCTCCTGGCTGCTCCACCCTGATCCCGTCCCAAACTTTGTTTCCTTTCCCCGTTTCCGTGAGCCCCCGCAGAGAAGGAAATGGTGGAAAATCCTCAAAATCGCTGCTCCGGCCGGAGGGAGCCCAGGAGGGACCCCCAGAGTCGGGGACTTCGTCCTGTGTCCCCTGGGTGACAACAGCGTGGTCACTGCCCGGTGCTGGGGGACATTCGGGGGCTTGAGGCCACCCACCCTGCTCGCCTGGGAGGGGAATGGCACCTTGGGGACAAAGGTGGCTGCTGGCCACCCCCTGCCAGGCCTGGAGAAGGAGGATTTTGGCCACCCGGAACCTGAGGGTCAGCACAGACCCCGGAGTGACCCCCTGGACCCCCCATGGCCATGGAGGGACAGGGAACGAAACCACCGAGCCACCAAGGGCTGGCGTGTCCCTCTCAGACCACAGGGTTGGGGACATTGGGGACATCCCTGGACATCCAAACCGCAACCTGAGCCCCGGGCAGCTGGAAAAGGACACAAATCCCAGAGCTGGGGGCTGACTTCCTGCAGGAAAACCTCCTGGAAAGCCCCATTTTGGTGGAAAAGCCCCATTTTGGTGGAAAAAAAACCCTGGACCACCCCCAGGACCCCCCCATGTGTCATCCCAGGGCCACCAGCACGGCCTTCCCTGCCCACAGCTCTGGGGTGGCCAGAGCTGGACCCCCCCATTCCAGGGAAAGCCTCCCCACCTGCCGTCCGTATCCTGAGGGGGATTTTTTTGGGAAGAGGGGAAGCTGTGGGGCCGGCAGCTCGTGGGTGGGTTTGGCTGGCGGCGAGGCCTCTCCCGATGAGCTCAGCCCTATCCCGAGCCTCTGGATTTGTGGGATGAGAGCGGCCGGCGCGGGCTGGGGGGCTCGGGGGTGGCGGGAGGCTGTGGGCTCGGGAAGGGAGCCAGGAGCTGGGGGGTTATCCCAGGAAGAAGATTTGGAGCTGGTTCAGGCCGGGTTAGAATCCCTGGGAAGAGCTGGGATCCCTTTGGCCACCGCGCTTCCATCAAGAAAATAAATTGGGATTTTTCCTAAATGAGTTCCCCCCCAAAAAAGGGCTTTGGTTGAGGGTAAAAATGTGCAGGAACAGCGATTTCCAGCCTGCACATCTGTATCCTGCACATCTGTCCGACTTGCTCGGTGACAGGAACTCAGGTCCCTGTCCCCTCAGTGGTTGTGACAGCCGGGGACACCCTGGACGGTGACAATCGCATGTGCCCCAAACGGGGACAGCCACACCCCGTTGTGAGCTGGGATTTGGGGTCCCCTCCTGCCAACCCTACAGACCTCAGCCTCATCCCTCGTGTGTTTTTGGGGGAGTCAAGGCCGGGGTGACACTGAGGGGACACCGTGGCCACCTCTGTGCCACCGAGGGGACACAGGGATGGATTTTGTCCCTTTTCCAGGCGGGCAGCGAGGCCATGGCGATGCTGCTGGAGCCCGGGATGCAGAGCCTGCGGATGGGTAAGGATGTCCCCAGGGGGTGGCAGGGGCTGATATGTCCCCTGACACCCCCAGACGATCACTCCGTGTCCGCGTCCCTTGCTGTCCCCTCTGTGTCTCCTCCACAGCTCCCACACCAGGGGAACCAGAACCAGCTGTGGGAGGAGACTTGATCCCACCATTCCAAACTTGATCCTGCCGTCCCAAATCTGATCCCGCCACCCCAAAGCTGATCCTGCCATCCCAAATCTCATCCCAAACCTGATCCCTCCATCCCAAACCTCATCCTGCCATCCCAAACCTCATCCCGCCACCCCAAACCTCATCCCAAACCTGATCCCATCATCTCACACTCAATCCCGCCATCCCAAACCTGATCCTGCCATCCCAAACCTCAACCCTCCATCCCAAACCTCATTCCAAACCTGTTCCCACCATCCCAAATCTAATCCCTTTATCCCAAACCTCATCCTGCCATCCCAAACCTGATCCCATCATCTCACACTCAATCCTGCCATCCCAAACCTCATCCCTCCATCCCAAACCTCATCCCAAACCTGATCCCACCATCCAAAACCTAATCCCTTCATCCCAAACCTGATCCCATCATCTCACACTAAATCCCGCCATCCCAAACCTGATCCTGCCACCCCAAACCTCATCCCAAACCTGATCCTGCCATCCCAAACCTAATCCCTTCATCCCAAACCTTATCCTGCCATCCCAAACCTGATCCCATCATCTCACACTCAATCCTGCCACCCCAAACCTCATCCCAAACCTGATCCCATAATCTCACACTAAATCCCGCCATCCCAAACCTCATCTCTCCATACCAAACCTCATCCCAAACTTGATCCCACCATCCCAAACCTGATCCCACCATCTCAAACCTCATCCTAAACCTAATCCCTCCGTCCCAAACCTGATCCTGCCATCCCAAACCTCATCCCTCCATACCAAACCTCATCCCAAACCTGATCCCACCATCCCAAACCTTATCCCTTCATCCCAAACCTTATCCCGCCTTCCCAAACCTGATCCCATCATCTCACACTCAATCCCACCATCCCAAACCTCATTCTGCCATCCCAAACCTCATCCCGCCACCCCAAACCTCATCCCAAACTTGATCCCACCATCCCAAACCTGATCCCTCCGTCCCAAACCTTATCCTGCCATCCCAAACCTGATCCCACCATCTCACACTCAATTCTGCCATCCCAAACCTGGTCCTGCCATCCCAAACCTCATCCCGCCACCCCAAACCCAGGAATGTGGAGGCCGTGGCAGGATTTACCCGCCCGACCCCGATCCTTCTCCGCAGGAATGAGGTTTCATGTCCGAGGCTCTCCTGATCTCCCGGGGGGTCACTGCTCCCGCCGGCTCTTCGCACGCGGAGGCGGCACACAGCCCGTTCCCATTTGTCTGGGATCAAATATTTATGGGACAGACACGGATACAGGGAAAGGCACTTATGGAGCGGGCGTAGGGGACAGCAGAGGTGTCACCAGCACAGCTCCGGGGTGGGGGGACACGGCAGCTGCTGTCCCCAGCTCTGTGATGTGGCTCTTCCCCAGACACGGAAAATCAGGATCAGACCGATCCCAATCCAAATCTGAATCCCAATCCCACAGCTGCTGCTGTTGGGGGATCCCAGAGCATTCCCTGGGGCTCCTGAGCTTCCCGAGGGTGTCCCAGCAGCTGTCCCAGGGCAAACTGGTGGCACTGGGAGCCAGGGTGGGTTTGTCCGGACACCGGTGAAAGAGAGATGGAGTTTTGTTCTTCCTGGAGGATCCTCTGCTGTTCCCAAATCCCTCCGACCACGGAGCCTCTTCTGCTCCCAAATCCCTCCGACCACGGAGCCTCTTCTTTTCCCAAATCCCTCCAGCCATGGAGTCTGATCTGTTCCCAAATCTCTTCAACCACGGAGCCTCCTCTGTTCCCAAATCTCTCCAATCATGGAGTCTCCCCTGTTCCCAAATCTCTCCATCCAAGGAGCCTCCTCTGTCCCCAAATCTGTCCAGAGCCGGCTGGGGGTGGGCGCTGCTCATCCCTGTTCCCACAGCCCCGATCCCGGCTGGATCCCGGCTGGATCCCGGCTGGATCGGCAATCCCAAAGCGCAGGTTTAGGGCCGACAGCCCCTTCACCTCTCCGGTGTCACCGCCCGGACCCCACACCCCCTTCCCAACACTTTACCCCATCCCAATCCCAGCTCCTTCCAGCTGGAGCCGCTCCAGCGGCTCTTTCGTGGGCGGTGATTAATTAATGCCGGCTGCTAATTGGAGCCAGGTGCCCGGGGCAGTGCGGGTGGGACAGCCCCGTGTCCCCGCTGTGGGGTGGGGACCCTGGCGCTCACCCCGTCCTGATTCTGGGATCATCGGGGGTCCCCGGGGCTGGAATTCTGCTGCTGGAGGGGACAGGGACGTGTGGTGGCTTCAGGAGGAGGGAAAATCTGCTGTGGCCATGATCCCCACCCCCAGATTTTGGGATTACCATGGGTCATGCAGGAGCTTCCAGGGTCTCCAGGAAACTGGGATGTTCTGGAGCATGGCCAGGGGTCTGAGCTGGACCCACCCTCCCTCGCTGGTTCTCCGTGGATTTCAACCACAGACACTTCCCTTTCCTTCTTGCCAAGTTCTCCCCCATTCCCACTGAATCCAAACCTTCCAGCTGCTGGCCCCGAGCAGCTTCTCCTGGAAGCGTCCCCTTGGACACATCCCTGGAAGTGTCCAAGGCTGAGTTGGATCCACCTGGGATAATAGAAGGTGTCCCTGCCCATGGATGGCATGGCCCTGGATGGGATTTAGGGACCTTCCCAACTCCAACCATCCCACAATTCCATGATTTTATGAACTCCACTTCTGGAGACCCCACAGTGACTCTGTCCCCTCCTCCACCACATCCACCCTGGATCCATCTCCATCAGGATGTCCTGGGTGGTCTGTCCTTGGGGAAGGGTCTTTGGGAAGGGCGGGGATCCTTTCCCACCTGGATCCATCAGGATGTCTGGGGTGGTCTCTCCTTGGGGCAGGGTCTTTGGGGTCCCCCAGACTCTCCCGTCCATGTCCCCAGGTGCCAGCGGCGAGCGGTGCCCGACACCGTCCCCACCCGGCTCCCCGGGGACACCCCACGACAGCTGCAGCATCGCCCCACTGACGCCTTCCCAGTCACCGGTGAGTGCGGGACCAGCGGCACCAGGGTGGACCAGTAAGGCCAGTGTGGGGTTCCCAGTAAGGCCAGTGTGGGGTTCCCAGTAAGGCAGCTTTGGGGTCCCAGTAAGGCCATTATGGTGTTCCCAGTAAGGTAGTTGTGAAGTCCCCAGTAAGACCATTATGTTGTTCCCAGTAAGGCAGTTTTGGTGTCCCAGTACAGACATTGGGGTTCCCAGTAAAATCATTGTGGGGTCCCATTAAGGTCACAGTGGGGTCCCCAATAAGACCAATATGATGCTCCCAGTAAGGCAGTTTTGGGTTCCCAGTAAGGCCCTTGTGGGGTTCCCAGTAAGGCAGCTTTGGGGTCCCAGTAAGGCCATTATGGTGTTCCCAGTAAGGCAGTTTTGGTGTCCCAGTAGAGCCATTGGGGTTCCCAGTAAAATCATTGTGGGGCCCCATTAAGGTCACAGTGGGGTCCCCAATAAGACCAATATGATGCTCTCAGTAAGGCAGTTTTGGGGTCCCAGTATGGCCATTGTGGGGCCCCCAGTATGGTCATTGTGGGGTTCCCAGTAAGGCAGCTTTGAGGTCCCAGTAAGGCCATTATGGTGTTCCCAGTAAGGTAGTTGTGAAGTCCCCAGTAAGACAGTTTTGGTGTCCCAGTACAGCCATTGGGGTTCCCAGTAAGGTCATTGTGGGGCCCCATTAAGGTCACAGTGGGGTCCCCAATAAGGCAAATATGATGCTCCCAGTAAGGCAGTTTTGGGTTCCCAGTATGGCCATTGTGGGGCCCCCAGTATAGTCATTGTGGGTTTCCCAGTAAGGCCATAGTGGAGTCCCAGTAAGGTCAGTGTGTGGTCCCAGTAAGTCAGTTTTGGGGTCCCAGTAAGACTAGTGTGCTCTCCCAGTAACACCACTATGAGGTCCCAGTAAGGCAGTTTTGGGATCCACAGTGATGCCCCTTTGGGGTCCCCAATAAGACCACTGTGGGGTCCCGCAAGACAGTTTTGGGGTTCCCAATAAGGTCAGCGTCAGATCCTAGTAAGGGAACTTTGGGATCCCCAGTAAAGCCTTTGTGGGGTCCTCAGTGAGGCAGTTTTTGGGTTTCAGTGAGGCAGTTTTGGGATCCCCAGTAAGGGAGATTTGGGGTTTCAATAAGGCAGTTTTGGGGTTCCAGCTGAGGCTGTTGTGGGGTCTGCAGTAAGGCCATTGAGGGTTTCACAGTAGGGCCAGTGTGGGGTTCCCAGTTAGGCCATTGTAGGGTCCACACTAAAGCAGTTTTGGGGTCCCAAATAAAGTCTTTGTAGGATTTCCAGTAAGGCCTTTGTGGGGCTCACACTAAGGTCACTATGGGGTCTGCAACAAAGCAGTTATGGGGTCTCCAGTATGGCAGTTGTGGTTTTCCCAGTAGGGCCATTATGGCATTCCCAGTAAGGCAATTGTGGAGTCCCAGTATGGCCGTTGTGCCATTCCCAGTAAGGCTGTTGTGAGATCCCAGTAAGGCTGTTAGGGGGTTCCCAGTAAGATCACAGTGCGGTCCCAGTAAAGCTGTTGTGGGGTCCCAGTAAGGCTATTGGGATCTGTCCCACTGTCCTTTCCCCTCTGGTCCTTCCCCAGTTCCTTCTCTTCTTCCCCTCCCCTCCCAGTCCAGCCTCCATTTCCCCTCCAGTCCCACAGGATGGGTCAATCTATCCCCAGGACCTCTATCCATGGGATTTTCGGGATGGAGGGGTTTTCCAGCTCTGGAATGACCCACCAGGAAAAGTCCAACCCCACAAAACTCCTGCGCTCCTCCGGGGCTGCCGGGTGTGGGAGGCCGCGTTCCAGAGCCGGATCCTCCCTGGAGTTCCTTGTCCCTGCACATTCCTGCGCCGGCCGCCTCTTCCCTGCTGATCCCGGCATTTTTCCCGGCCAGCTCGTGTCCACACTTAAATCTGGGGACATTAAAAGTTAACGAGGCTTTCGGCTTCCCGTGGTGACATGGGGACAGGGCATTGTCACATCCTTACGGCTTCTTCGGCGCGGGGAGGGAAGGGACACGGAGTGGGAACAGGAAAAGTGTGGGAGCAGCGGTGGGAACATCCCAAAACGCCTGGGCCAGGGGGATTTCCAGCTGGGTGAGCCTTGGGGACACCTGGGACAAGGTGAGATTGGACACAGGGAAGGTTTTTGGGTGGGTGACCCTGGGGACACCTAGGACGATGTCCCCTGGAACGAGACTGGACACAGGCAAGGTTTTCATCTGGGTGACCCTTGAGGACACCTAGGACAATGTCCCTTGGAGTGAGAGGGGCAGAGGGAAGGATTTTGTCTGGGTGACCCTTGGGGACACCTGGGATGGTGTCACCTCGTCCAAGATGGGGAGCAGGGAACAGTTTGGATTCAATGACCCTTGGGGACACCTGGGACAATGTCCCTTGGAGCAAGACTGGACACAGGAAAAGATTTTAGCTGGGTGACACATGAAGACACCTGAGATGATGTCACCTAGTCCAAGATGGGGAGCAGGGAATGGTTTGGGTTCAGCGACCCTTGGGGACACCTGGGACAATGTCCCTTGGAGCAAGACCAGACACAGGGAAGGTTCTTGGGAATCTTGGCTCCAATTTCAGGGTCCCAGTGAGGGGGGCTCAGCACAATAAAAACAGGAGCCCCCAACCACCCTGGCTGCTCCCATGGGCACCCATCCCCCTCCAGGACTGCCCAAATCCCTGTGTCCCATGGGAACCGCCTTTGGGAACGACCACAGCCACCCCATGGGACACGAGATGCTTTTCTCAATGAGTAGAAGATGCGTAAGAAGAAGAATCACTCATCAGGAAATCACCAAAGTGGGTGAAAATACAGGAAAAATCCTGAAAATCTTGGGGAAATGAGCCTGTTCCTGAGGTTTTTGCTGCTTTTCTGGAATTGCCCAGTCCCAGTTGAGTGCTTGATCCCATTCCTTGCCTTCCAGCGGAGCGAGGCACGTTCCCAGCAGACCCCGTCCTTCTCCGTGGTGGTGGCCATCGACTTTGGCACCACCTCCAGCGGTTACGCCTTCAGCTTCACCAGCGACCCCGAGGCCATCCACATGATGAGGTGAGGACCTGCCAGGGGCCTCAGAGCTGGGAAAGGACCTTTATGGCCCCAAAATGGTCAGAAGTTGGGTTGATGGGAGATGGTTCCTGGAAGCGGTGGTTGGGAGGTGTGGGGTGAGGATACTCCAAGGACTGGAGCCCCTTTGCTCTGAGCCAGGCTGGGAGAGCTGGGAATGTTCCCCTGGAGATGGGAAAATTCCAGGGAATGCTCAGAGTCCCTGGAGGGGCTCCAGGAGAGCTGGAGAGGGACTGGGGACAAGGGACAGAGGGACAGGAGCCAGGGAATGGCTCCCACTGGGAAAGGGGAGCTTGGGCTGGGATCTTGGCAAGGAATTCCTGGCTGGGCTGGAATTCCCAGATTTGCTGTGGCTGCCCTTGGATCCCTGGAAGTGCCCAAGGCCAGGTTGGATGGACCTGGATCCACCTGGGATTGGAATGGATCCCTGCCATGGCAGGGGGTGGCACTCAGTGGTCTTCAAGGTCCCTCCCAACCCAAACAAGTCTGGTACTCCATGAAATTCCTCGGAGGATGGAGCAGGATCACCCCTCCTCCTTTGTCCCCCTTTAAGGTCCTTCAGACCACGCCACAGAAATGAAATTAAACCTGGCAGGACCCGTCCCCTGGAATTTCACCTGCTCCGGCTTCTCTTTGCAGGAAATGGGAGGGAGGGGACCCGGGCGTGGCCAACCAGAAGACCCCCACCAGCCTCCTGCTGACCCCAGAGGGGACATTCCACAGCTTCGGCTACACCGCCCGCGATTACTACCACGACCTGGACCCCGAGGAGGCCCGCGACTGGTTCTACTTCGAGAAGTTTAAGATGAAGATCCACAGCACCAGTGTGAGTCCCTGTTCCCATCCTGACGTTCCTGGTGTTCCCAGGGGGATCCTGGCCGGGCTGGAAATTGAAATTTTGGGAAGAAACCCATTTTAGCCCATTTTAGGGGGTGAATTTGAGGTTCTCCCATCTGAGCTGCTCCAGGGTGGGTGGATGTGGCTGCACAAAGCTTCATGTGCCGGAGCAAATTCCCGAGATTTGGTGATGGATCCGGCCACCTCCCAGCCCCTCGTGTGATCCATTTGCTGCTCCCGGCAGGATCTGACCATGAAAACCGAGCTGGAAGCTGTCAATGGCAAGAAGATGCCGGCGCTGGAGGTGTTCGCCCACGCGCTGCGCTTCTTCAAGCAGCACGCGGTGCAGGTGGGGCCACCTCCATCCCTCCTCCTCCTTCCCAAATGGAATCCTCAGTGTCCTCCCCGTGCACTCCATGTGAGGGTGGGGAGGCCCTGGAATGGAATTCCCAGATCTGCTGTGGCTGCCCCATCCCTGGAAGTGTCCAAGGCCAGGTTGGACACTGGGGCTTGGAGCGACTGGGATCGCGGGAGGTGTCCCTGGGTGGGAGTGGATAGGATTTAAGGTCCCTCCCAACCCAAACCATTCTGTGATTCACTGGGAGCCCCCAGGTGTCACCTCCTACTTGTCCCCTGGCAGGAGCTGAAGGACCAGTGCCCGTCCCTGCCCGAGAGCGATGCCATCCGCTGGGTCCTCACCGTGCCGGCCATCTGGAAGCAGCCAGCCAAGCAGTTCATGCGGGAAGCGGCCTACAAGGTGGGAGGACTCTAGAAGGTGACCACGTGGTGACCCTCGCAGGGGTTGTGGTCTTTGGACATCCCCTTCCTCCCTCAAATGGAATTCCCACTGTCAGAGGGTAGCGTTAGGTGGGATCTTGGGATGGAATTCCTGGCTGGGAGGGTGGGGAGGGGCTGGGCTGGAATTCCCAGATTTGCTGTGGCTGCCCCTGGATCCCTGGCAGTGTCCCAGGCCAGGTTGGACACTGGGGCTTGGAGCAACCTGGGATAGTGGGAGGTGTCCCTGCCCGTGGCAGAGGGTGATAATGGGATGGAATTTAAGGTCCTTCCAACCCAAACCTACCAAAAATTGTTGGGTGAGCAGGTGGATAATTCACCAGGTGGGTGGTTAAGTGGATGGTTGGGTGGTTGGTTGAATTGTTCAGTGGTTGGGTTGTTGGTTTGGTGCTGGGTCATTGGTTGAGCAGTTCTCTCATTGAGTGGTTGGGTTGTTGTTCAATGTGTTGGTTGAGTGGTTGGTTGGATGGTTGAATGGGTGGGTCATTGGTTGGGTGGCTGGTTGAGCAGTTCAGTGATTGGTTGGGTGATTAGTTTGGTGGTTGGGTCATTGGCTGAGTGGTTGGTTGGTTGGTTGTGTGCTTGGTTTGGTGTTCGGGACATTGGTTGGGTCATTGGTTGACTGATTCATTGGTCGAGCAGTTGGATGATTGAGCAGGTGGTTGGTTTGGAGGTCAGGTCTTTGGTTGTGTGGTTGGTTGGACGGTTAGTTGGGTGGGTGGATGGTTTAGTTGGGTGGTGAGGTCATCAACTGGTTGGATGGTTGGTTTGGTGGTCAAGTCATTGGTTGGGTGGTTGGTTTGGTGGTGAGGTCATTGGTTTGATGGTTGGTTGGGTGGTGAGGTCATTGGTTGGTTGGATAGTTAGTTGGCTGGTGAGGTGGTTGGTTTGTTGGGTGGTTGGTTGGGTGGTCAGGTCAGGGTTGGGTGGTCAGCTGGGTGGTTGGTTTGATGGTTGGGTGGATCTATGGCAAGTTGAGTGGTTGGATGGTCACCTGCATGTTTGGGTTGTTGGTTGAGCTGCCGAGTCACGGGTTGGGCGGTCGATTGGTCGGTTGAGTTTTTGGGTGAACATTCACATCTTGGTGAATGTTAGGTCCTCCCAGATTCCACAATTCCAGATCCGTGTGAGCACTGAGGGGACGGGGACACACCTGGGACCCCCCATTCCCCGTCCCCTCCCTGCCCTGTCACCGCGTGTCCCCGCAGGCCGGGCTGGTGTCCCCGGAGACGCCGGAGCAGCTTCTGATCGCGCTGGAGCCCGAGGCCGCCTCCATTTACTGCCGCAAGCTGCGGCTGCACCAACTGATCGAGCTGAGCTGCCGCCCCCCGGCCAACGGGGCCGAGCCCCCCCACCCCATCGACTCCAGCTTCCGGCAGGGTGAGGGGCACAGGGAATGGGGTCGGGACAGGGATGGGGGCTCGTGGAGAAGGGAATGGGTTCTGGCCCCACATGCCAGGTCTGGAGGGTCCATCAGTTGCCGTGGCTGGGGAAGTCCCCGGAGACCCCATTCCCAGAGATTCCCTGTCCCCAGAGCTCCTCCCCATTGCCAGAAACCCCAATCCCAGAGATTCCCCATTCTCAGAGATCATCCCCATTGACAGAAATCCCATTGCCAGAGACCCCATTCCCAGAAACCCTATTTCCAGAGGCCCTTTTGCCAAAGACCCCATTCCAAGAGATTTCCCTGTTCCCAGAGACCCCCTGTCCCCAGAGATCCTCCCCATTGCCAGAAACCCCATTCCCAGAGATCCCCTATTGCCAGAGACCCCCAATTCCCAGAGACTTCCAACCCTCACACCCCCATTTCCAGAGATCCCTCATTCCCAGGGATCCCCCATTCCCAGAGATCCCCCATTCCCAGAGACTGCCCACCCTCACACCCCCATTCCCAGAGATCCCCATCCCCAGAGACCCCCAATTCCCAGACCCCCTCATTCCCAGATCTCCCCATTCCCAGAGATCCCCCATTGCCAGAGACCCTCCCTTCCCAAGGACCCCATTCCCAGGCTCCTCCATTCCCAGAGACCCCATTCCCAGACCCCTCATTCCCAGAGATCCCCCGGCCCCAAAGACCCCATTCCCAGGTTTCCCCATTCCCAGAACCTCATTCCCAGAGACTGCTCCTCCCTGGAGACCCCATTCCCAGAAACCCTATTCCTAGAGATCCCCCAGCCCCAAAGACCCCATTCCCAGAGACCCCATTCCCAGACTCACCATGCACTGGTGGCGATCCCAGATGGAGATTTGGGATCCCATGGGGGATTTATGGGGTTGCTCGAGCAGATCCCAAGGATGAGGAATTATCCACACATGCCAAAAATATCCCAGGACAACCCATCTTTCCCAACTCATCCCGGCCCTTCCGGGCGGCTTTGATATCCCTGGGATGGGGGGAGCAGAGGAAACCCCACCCGGGCTGTGGGGTCTGAGATGGAGGTGGCATCACCCAGGGGGGCACAGGGTGATCCCATGGGATCCGGGGGGATCCTTTGGGATCACAGCAGGGCAGAGGGAAAGCGGGATCAGCCCGTCCATGGTGGAGCTGGGACATATTGGGGTCCTGGCTGGAGGGCAGCGGTCACCAGTGCTCCCAGTACAGACCCCACAGCGGGAATGGGGCGGATCCAGGGTAATGGGGTGGGTACCATGGATGTGGGGGGATCCCATGAATGTGGGGAGGATCTCATAGAAGTGGGGTGGATCCCATGGATGTGGGGTGGATCCCACTGAAATGGGGGGATCCCACTGAAGTGGGGTGGATCCCATTATTGTGGGGTGGATCTCAGGAAATGGGGCAGATCTCACAGAAGTGGGGTGGATCCCACGTAAGTGGGGTGGATCCCATGGAAGTGGGCTGGATCCCATGGAAGTGGGGTGGTTCCCATGGAAGTGGGGTGGATCCCATGGAAATGGGGTGGATCCCACAGAAATGGGATAGATCCCATGGAAGTGGGCTAGATCCTATGGAAGTGGGGTGGATCCCACGGAAATGGGCTGGATCCCACAGAAATGGGATAAATCCCATGGAAGTGGGCTGGATCCCATGGAAATCGGATCGATCCCATGGAAGTGGGGTGGATCCCATGGAAGTGGGGTGAATCCCACGGAAATCGGATAGATTCCATGGAAGTGGGGTGGATCTCATGGAAATGGGGTGGATCCCATTAAATGTGGGGTGGATCCCACTGAAATGGGGGGATCCCACGGATGTGGGGTGGATCCCATGGAAGTGGGGGGAGATCCTGACCCCTCTGCCGACCCCCGGCTCTGTCCCCCAGCCCGGGAGCAGCTCCGGCGATCCCGGCACAGCCGCACCTTCCTGGTGGAGTCGGGCGTGGGCGAACTCTGGTCGGAGATGCAGGCAGGTACGAGGTTGGGGACACGGGTGAGGGATCCTCACTGGAGATTCCCAGATCCCGAGGTCCCCATGGATGTCCCCTCCGTGGCACAGCCACCCCTGAACACCCAAAGGTGACACGGTTGGGGTCTGTCCCTGACCGCACAGAAGGGGTGAGGTCTCCGTGCCACCATCCCATCTCTTCGTCTTTCCGCCCGCCCCAATTCCCAATATTTTGGGAAAACGCAGCTCTGGGTCCTCGCGGGTGGGTGTCACAGGGACCACCACCCTGTCGCTGTCCCCCCCGTGCAGGTGACAGGTACATCGTGGCCGATTGTGGCGGGGGGACGGTGGATCTGACCGTGCACCAGATCGAGAAGCCGCAGGGGACGCTGAAGGAGCTCTACAAAGCCTCGGGTGGGATGGGCATCCCTGGTCATCCTTTTGTCCCCTGCTCTGGGACCCCAAATCCGGGCTGACACCCCAAACCCGAGCTGGGACCCCAAATATGGGCTGGGACCCCAAACCGTGGCTGGGACCCCAAATCCTGGCTGGGACCCCAAATCCTGGCTGGGACCCCAAATCTGGGCTGGGACCTCAAACACCGGCAGGGACCCCAAACCCGGGCTGACACCCCAAACCCAGGCTGACACCCCAAATCCTGGCTGGGACCCCAAATCTGGGCTGGGACCTCAAACACCTGCAGAAACCCCAAATCCGGGCAGGGACCTCAAACCCGGGCTGGGACCCCAAACCCGGGCTGGGACCCCAAATCTGGGCTGGGACCCCAAACACGTCAAACCCTGGCAGGGACCTCAAACAGGGGCTGGGACTCCAAATCCCGGCTGGAAGCCTAAATCCTGGCTAGGACCCCAAATCCAGACAGGGACCCCAAACCCGAGCTGGGACCCCAAATCCGGGCAGGGACCCCAAATCTGGGCTGGGACCCCAAATCTGGGCTGGGACCCCAAATCCTGGCTGGGACCTCAAACCCGGGTTGGGACCCCAAATCCGGGATGGGACCCCAAACCCTGGCTGCGACCCCAAACACCAGCTGGGACCCCAAACCCGGGCTGACACCCCAAATCTGGGCTGGGACTCCAAATCCTGGCTGGGACCCCAAATCTGGGCTGGGACCCCAAACCCGGGCTGACACCCCAAATCCAGGCTGGGACCCCAAACCCGGGCTGACACCCCAAATCCAGGCAGTGACATCAAATCCGGGCTGGGACCCAAACCCGAGCTGGGACCCCAAATCTGGGCAGGGACCTCAAACCTGGGCTGGGACCCCAAATCCTGGCTGGGACCCCAAACTTCGGCTGGGACCCCAAACCTGGGCTGGGACCCCAAACCCCGGCTGGACCCCAAACCCGAGCTGGGACCCCAAATCTGGGCTGGGACCCCAAACCCGAGCTGACACCCCAAATCCGGTCTGGGACCCCAAATCCTGGCTGGGACCCCAAACTTCGGGTGGGACCTCAAACCTGGGATGGGACCCCAAACCCTGGCTGAGACCCCAAACACCAGCTGGGACCCCAAACACCAGCTGTGACCCCAAACCCCAGCTGTGACCCCAAACCCGGGCTGAGACCCCAAACCCCGGCTGTGACCCCAAACCCGGGCTGGGACCCCAAACCTCGGCTGGGACACCAAATCCGGGCTGGGACACCAAACCCGGACAGGGCCCCCCCCCCGCCCCACGAATGGGTGGTGGGTGGGGCTGTGGCGCCACCTGGTGGCGGCGGGGGAAAGTGCAGAGGGACGAGGGGACAGAGAGGGGACAGAGGGAAGGGAGGACGGGCTGGGGGGACAGGGGGGACAGGGGTGGATTAGGGGGACAAGGTGGGGCAGGGAGGATGGGGAGGGTGGGTGTGGGGGGACAGGGGCGTGTGGGGGACTGGGGGACATGGATGCCAGAAGGACATCGGGATGGGGGACATGGGGACATGGTGACAGAGGTGCCATGGGGATGTGTGGGGAGCTGAGGACATGGGGGACATGGGGGAGACAAGGACGTGGGGATGAAGGACATGGGGGCATGGGAATGTGGGGGATGTGGGCATATGGTGTTGGGGGGGACATGGGGACACTGGGGATAAGGGGGTCATGGTGATGGGGGACATGGGGACATCAGGATGGGGGACATAGGAGACATGGGGACACGGGGATGGGGGATGTGGGAGTATGGGTGCCTTAGGGACACGGGGATGGAGGAGACGGGGACATGGGAATGTGTGGGGCATGGGGACATGGAGATGTGGGAGAACGCGGTGATGGGGGACATGGCTGCCATGGGGACATGGCTACCACAGGGCCACCTCCTGACCCCACCCTGGTCCCTCAGGAGGTCCCTATGGGGCCGTGGGCGTGGACCTGGCCTTCGAGAAGCTTCTGTGCCACATCTTCGGGGACGATTTCATCGCCACCTTCAAGGCCAAGCGTCCAGCAGCCTGGGTGGACCTGACCATCGCCTTCGAGGCCCGGAAGCGCGCGGCCGCCCCGAGCCGCTCCAGCCCCCTCAACATCTCCCTGCCCTTCTCCTTCATCGACTTCTACCGCAAACACCGTGGCCACAACGTCGAGACTGCGCTCCGCAAGAGCAAGTGAGGGGTGACACGGGCTGGGGACGCCTTGGGGGCGTGGGGACGCGGTGGGAGTGACGTTGGGGTAGGAAAGGGTAGGAGAGGGGGGAAAAGGTGGCATAGGGGTGGAGGTGTGAGAGCGGAGAGGACAGGGAAGGACCAGGTGGGAGTCCCCGGTCACCCTTGGATCCTCTGTCTGTCCCCAGTGTCAACCTGGTGAAGTGGTCGTCCCAAGGGATGCTGCGGATGTCCCCCGAGGCCATGAACGAGCTGTTCCAGCCAACCATCACCCACATCATCCAGCACATCGGTGGGGCCTGGGGGCACGCCCATCCATGGGGAACCCCTGTCCCTGTCCCACCCCCTGTCCCTGGGATCACTCCTCGTCCCTGGGACCTTCCCTGTTACTGGGAGCCCTCCATTCCTGGGATCATTCCCATCCCCTGGGGGATGGCCCCCATTCCTGGGAGCCCCTTCATCCCTGGAATCATTCCTGTCCCTGGGACCATCCCTGTCCCTATGAGCCCCCCATCCTTGGGAGCATCTTTCCCTGAGACATCTCCCTCATCCCTGGGACAATCCCACACCCTGGGATCCTCTTTGTCCCTGTGACCCCACTCCTATCCCTGGGATCCTGCTGTGCCTGGGACCACCCCCCCCGCCTTCATCCCCGGGACCTTCCCTGTTCCTGGAACCTTTTTGTCCCCTGGGACACTCCTGTCTCTGGAACCCACCTTGTCCCTGGAATTCCCCATTCCTGGATCCCCCATTTTTTTGTCCCTGGAACTCCCCATGTCCCTGGAAAACTTTTATTCCTGGAACCACCCTTGTCCCTAGGACCAGCCCTTGTCCCTGGAACCCACCTTGTCTGGGAACCCCCATTGTCCCTGGAACCCTCCCTTGTTCCTGGAATTCCACTTGTCCCTGGAAACCTTTTATCCCTGGAACCCTCCCTTGTCCCTGGAACTCCTCCTTGTCCCTGGAATTCCCCTTTTCCTTAGAAACATTTTATCCCTGGAACCCTCCCTGTCCCTCAGCCCAATTCCATCCCTGGAACTGCCCCCATTCCTGGGCTCCCCTCATCCCTGGCCCCCCATCACCCCCATCCCTTCCCCACATCCCTTCTCCACCATCCCAACCCTCCAAACCTCCCCTTTTATCCCCACTCCAGACACCCTCCTGAAGAAACCCGAGGTCCATGGCATCAAATTCCTGTTCCTGGTGGGCGGCTTCGCCGAGTCGGCCATGCTGCAGCGGGCGGTGCAGGCCGCCTTCGGCCACCGCTGCCGCGTCATCGTCCCGCAGGACGTGGGGCTGACCATCCTCAAAGGGGCCGTGCTCTTCGGCCTGGACCCCGGCGTGGTGCGGGTGCGCCGCTCCCCGCTTACCTACGGCGTGGGGGTCCTCAACAAGTTCGTGGAGGGCAAGCACCCGCGGGAGAAGCTGCTGGTCAAGGAGGGCAAGAACTGGTGCACCGACATCTTCGAGAAGTTCGTCACCGTGGACCAGTCAGTGGCGTTGGGCGAGGTGGTCCAGCGGAGCTACTGCCCGGCCCGGCCCGGCCAGCGCCGGACCATCATCAACATCTACTGCTGTGACACCGATGACGTGGTGTACATCACCGACCCCGGCGTCAGGAAGTGCGGCACCATCAGCCTGGAGCTGGGGGACGTGGGGGACGCGGGCCCGGCGCGGGGCCGGCGCGAGATCCGCACCAGCATGCAGTTCGGGGACACCGAGATCAAGGTGACGGCGCTGGACATGAGCACGGCGCGTAGTGTGAGGGCCACCATTGACTTCCTGTCCAACTGAGACCTTCCTGGGGACTCCACCATTTAATTCATCTCCAACTGCGACCCTCTGCCATCATGGGGACATGCTCAGGACCTGCCACCATTGACTTCCTGTCCAACTGGGACTACCCAGGATGTGCCACCATTGACTTCCTGTCCAACTGGGACTGCCCAGGATGTGCCACCATTGACTTCCTGTCCAACTGGGACTGCCCAGGATATGCCACCATCGACTTCCTGTCCAACTGGGACTACCCAGGACCTGCCACCATCGACTTCCTGTCCAACTCAGACTTTCCTGGAGATTCCACCATTGAATTCATCTCCAGCTGAGCCCCTCTGTCATCATGGGGACATGCCCAGGATCCAACACCATCGACTTCCTGTCCAATTGAGGGGCCCCTGGGATGTGCCACCATCGACTTCCTGTCCAATTGGGACTGCCCAGTATGTGCCACCATCAGCTTCCTGTCCAATTGGGACTGCCCAGGATGTGCCACCATTGACTTCCTGTCCAATTGGGACTGCCCAGGATGTGCCACCATTGACTTCCTGTCCAATTGGGACTACCCAGGATGTGCCACCATCGACTTCCTGTCCAACTCAGACCTTCCTGGAGATTCCACCATTGAATTCATCTCCAACTGTGACCCTTTGTCATCATGAGGACACTCCCAGGACCTGCCACCATCAACTTCCTGTCCAACTGGGACTACCCAGGATGTGCTACCATGGGGGACTACCCAGGATGTGCCACCACCATTGACTTCCTGTCCTACTGGGATTGTCCAGGATGTGCCACCATGGACTTCCTGTCCAACTGGGACTACCCAGGATGTGCCACCATGGACTTCCTGTCCAACTGGGACCACCCAGGATGTGCCACCATCGACTTCCTGTCCAATTGGGACTACCCAGGATGTGCCACCATCGACTTCCTGTCCAACTCAGACCTTCCTGGAGACTCCACCATTGAATTCATCTCCAATGGAGACCCTCTATCATCACGAGGACACTCCCAGGACCTGCCACCATCAACTTCCTGTCCAACTGAGAGGCACTGGCATTGTGGAGACATCCCTGGAATCTGCCACCATTGAATTCCCGTCCATCTGAGACCCTCCAGGAGATGCCACCATGGAATTCGTGTCCAACTGAGACCTTCCTGGAGATGCCACCATGGAATTCCTGTCCAACTGAGACCTTCCTGGAGCTGTCACCATCAATTTCCACCCCAGCTGAGACCTCCTGTCACTGTGGGCACCACACCAGGACCTGGCACCATCGATTCCCTCCTAGACTGAGACCCCCCACTTATCCTGGGGACCCCAGTCCCTGCCCCCCACCCTCTCCCAGCCCCACTTTAACTGGAATTTCCCTCATGACCCCTCCACATCCCCCGTCCAGGACTATTTGGGATTGTCCACCTGGGGTTGTCCCCTGTCCCTCTGGGCAGGTTCATGGAGGGGATTTGGGCTCCCAGCCCATTCCCAGTGGGATTTTCCTCCTTCCCGAGGTGGGATTTTGTACTTTAACCCCCTCCAGGCATATAAGATATCTTTATATTTATATATATATATATATGTATATGTGTAGGCACATAAAACTTCCTGAAACTGCTCCTGGTCCTTGTACCACGAGGAAAAAAAAAAAAAAAAGGGAAAAGAGGGGAAAAAACCAGGAAAAATCGGAGAAAAATCGGAGAAAAAACCCAAAAAAGAGGCGCTGGCAGCAACACAAGGACATGGCTGGGGGGCACGGCCCCAACCCCGAAACCACGGGGGACTCCCCGCTCCCACCCCACATTCCACAGGCAAAATTCCTGGCCCACCCCAGAGAGAGGAAGATTCCCACCCCAAGAGGCACAATTCCCCAAAACCCCCCCGGGCTGCGGGGTGAGGGCGAAGCAGCGGCAGCAGCAACAAGGGGGTTCTCCCCACCCGCTTTGGGGACCGTCCTTGTGCTTTTGGGGACTTTGGGGTCCCCCCGGGTGGGGTTTGGGGTCAGTCGAAGCCGTGCCAGTCGCTCTGCTCCGAGTCGTATTCCAGCTCGGCTCCCACGCAGCGCACCCCGTCCAGGAGCATCGGCGTCCCGTGGTGGCGGTCTGGGGACATCGGGGGACGTGGCTCGGGGACAGCTCGCTGTCCCTTTTTAAGGGGTTTTGGGGGGTTTTTAGGCTCGCAGGGGTTGGTTCATCCCAGCAATGTTGGGCCCGGGTGGGTGGGGGATGTGCTGTCCCGTGTGTCACCGCTGTGGTGACAATCGCAGGGGGCTGGGGGTGGCTGGGATATGGGGTGGGGGACACGGGGAGCAAGGGGGTATTGGGGTTTTTAGGGAGGGTCCCAGGGATGGGGGTGGTGCCAATGAAAAAGGGGTTCCAGGGACAAAGGGGACATCCCAGGGACAAGTTGGGGGTCCCAGGGACAAACGGGAGGGACCCAGCCAAGCACAGGAACCCCGGGGACATTGGGGTCACCCCTTTCCCCCTCCCTTCACCCCTTCCCAGGGCTCTCCTCAACCCCCAGGCTGGGGAATTTTTGGGATGAAATCACCCGTTTTGGGCAATTCCTCAGCAGGGACAGCGCCACGCCTGAACTGGGACAACTGGGAAGAGTGGCTGGGCCTGGGGTGGGGGGAAGGGGACAGGGAGGGACCCCAGGACACCCTCCCAGAGCCCCTTACCCATGACCCGGGCCTGGACGGTGACCTTGATGTGGGTGGGGCTGTGTCCGGCCAGGAGCAGCTCCTCCTTCAGCACCCCCTCCTTGTGCGCCGTGTACTCGCAGCGCACGTTGTGCCCTGGCACCGGGGACACCGAGAAGCTGCCGGAGCCCTGCCCGTGCCCTCCTCACCCTGCCCGTGCCATCCTCATCCTGCCCGTGCTCTCCTCACCCTGCCCGTGCCCTCCCCACCCTGCCCGTGCCCTCCTCACACTGCCCATGCCCTCCTCATCCTGTCTGCACCTTCTGGAACCTTCCCTGCCCTGCCCATGCCCTCCTCACCCTGCCCGTGCCCTCCTCACCCTGCCTGTGCCCTCCTCACCCTGCCCGTGCCCTCCTCACCCTGCCCGTGCCCTCCTCACCCTGCCCGTGCCCTCCTCACCCTGCCCGTGCCCTCCTCACCCTGCCCGTGCCATCCTCATCCTGCCCGTGCCCTCCTCGTCCTGTCTGCACCTTCTGGAACCTTCCCTGAACCTTCCCTGCCCTGCCTGTGCCCTCCTCACCCTACCCACACCTTCTGGAACCTGCCCTGCCCTGCCCGTGCCCTCCTCACCCTGCCCGTGCCCTCCTCATCCTGCCCGTGCCCTTCTCGTCCTGCCTGCACCTTCTGGAACCTTCTCTGAACCTTCCCTGCCCTGCCTGTGCCCTCCTCACCCTGCCCGCACCTTCTGGAACTTTCCCTGCCCTGCCCATGCCCTCCTCACCCTGCCCGCACCTTCTGGAATCTTCCCTGCCCTGCCCGTGCCCTCCTCACTCTACCTGCACCTTCTGGAACCTTCCCTGCCCTCCCTGAACCCTTCCTGTCCTTTCCTGCCTGTGCCTTTCCTGCTCTCCCTGAACCCTTCCTATCCTTCCCTGCCTGTCCCTTCCCACCCTGCCCGTGCCCTCCTCACCTTGCCGGAACCTTCCGGAACCTTCCCTGAACCTTCCCTGCCCTGCCCGTGCCCTCCTCATGCTGCCTCTGCCTTCCGGAACTTTCCCTGCCCTCCCTGAACCTTTCCCACCCTGCCTGTGCCTGCCTGCACCTCCCTGAACTTTCCCTCCCCTCCCTGAACTCCCAGCTGCAATTCCGGCCCCAATCCCAATCCTGGCTCAAATCCTGATCCCAGCTCCAATCCTGATCCTGGCTCCAATCCCGATCCCAGCTCCAATCCCAATCCCAATCCCAATCCTGGCTCCAGTCCCAATCCCAGCTCCAATCCCGATCCCAGCTCCAATCCCAATCCCAGCTCCAATCTCAATCCTGGCTCCAATCCCGATCCCAGCTCCAGTCCCAATCCCAGCTCCAATCCCAATCCTGGCTCCAGTCCCGATCCCAGCTCCAGTCCCGATCCCAGCCCCAATCCCGATCCCAGCTCCAATCCCAATCCCAGCTCCAATCCCAATCCCAGCTCCAATCCCGATCCCAGCTCCAATCCCGATCCCAGCTCCAGTCCCAATCCCAGCTCCAGTCCCGATCCCAGCTCCAATCCTGATCCCAGCTCCAATCCCAATCCTGGCTCCAGTCCCGATCCCAGCTCCAATCCTGATCCCAGCTCCAGTCCCGATCCCAGCTCCAATCCCAATCCTGGCTCCAGTCCCGATCCCAGCTCCAGTCCCGATCCCAGCTCCAATCCCGATCCCAGCTCCAATCCTAATCCCAGCTCCAATCCTGATCCCAGCTCCAATCCCAGTCCCAACTCTAATCCAAATCCTGGCTCCAATCCCAATCCCAGCTCCAATCCTGATCCCAGCTCCAATCCCAATCCCAGCTCCAATCCCAATACCAATCCCAGCTCCAGTCCCGATCCCAGCTGCAATTCCGATTCCGGCTCCAATCCTGATACCAGCTCCAATCCCGCTCTGATCCCAATCCTGGTCCCTATCCCAGCTCCAATCCCAATTTTATCTCCAATCCTGATCCCAGCTCCAATCCCAATCCTGGCTGCAATCCTGATTCCAGCTCCAGTCCCGATCCCAACTCCAATCCCAATCCCAGCTCCAACCCCAATTTTATCTCCAATCCTGATTCCAGCTCCAATCCCAATCCCGGCTCCAGTCCTGATCCCAGCTCCATTCTCAATACCAGCTCCAATCCCAATCCCAGCTCCAATCCCACTCTGATCCCATTCCCGGTCCAGATCCCAGCTCCAATCCCACCCCAATCCCGGATCCCCATCCCGGTCCAGCCCCCCACCCCTGATCCTAATCCTGATCCTGATCCCGATCTTGATCCCAACCACTGTTGGGCATCTCCAAACAAACCCTAAAGCTTTTTTGGGATGGAGCCAGCGGTGGGTGGGAAAAGCCCTGTCCCCTCTGCCGGGAGGTGACACCGATGGCCCCAAGGGGACAGGGATGTGGGACACAGCATCCATTGGCTGTGGGACAACTGGGATGGGACTGAGGTGGCCTCACGGACCTGCGGTGTCCTCGGAGCAGAGCCCGTGTCCCCAAGGAACTGCCACCCCACCCAGGGTGACACTCAGCTGTCCCCAGGCTCTGAGAATCCCATGGATGGATGTGGCAGCACCCAATTGTCCCCAAAGTGGAGGGTGGCACCTCTTGGAGCGATCCCTGTCCCCCGGGAAAGGAAAATCCCAACAACAACAAAATAACGGAGCTTGGGGACATCAGGGACCCTGAGGACAAGGAATTGTCACCTCGCCGAGACACTGAGGGGACACCTGGGTGTGGCCTTGCCCCCTCTGGGGACACTGGGGACAAGGAGGGGACACGGTACCTTCCGGCAGGGAGGTGACGCTGATGATGCGCAGGTTGGGGTTGGGGACAGGGAGGGGACAAACGTCCTTGCCCAGGTTGGGCACGGGGGGCAGCTGGAAGGTGATCTCGTACTTGTGGAGGATCTTCAGGAATCCCACCTGGAAAAGCGGGATATGGGGGTGACACCACGGCTGGGGTGTCATTGTCACCCCCCCCTTGGGGACAAGGGACAGTGGAGAGTCCCCAAGGAAGGCAGGGACAGCACCTGGAGATGGGAAATTGTATCCTAAACATTCCCCCACTTAAATCCGTGTTGGAGGGAAGGGATTTGTGCCCTAAAATAGTCAGGAAATAATAAATAGGAGTTAATTTAGGAAATAATAGGAATTATTTCAGAAATAAATCAGGAAAAGGTAATTTTGCCCTAAAAAAACCCAAGAAAAATATGGAATTTTGGGACAAAATTCTGGGAATAACGACCCGTGGATGTCACAGGAGCAGGGAGAGCTTTTCCAGCTGTTCCTGGAAAAGGCTGGAGCGCCTCTTCCCATGGAATTTTTCTGCTGTCATGACAAAAAGCAGAGCCTTCCGGAGCCTTGGAAAAATCCATTTTGGGAAGGGAGAGAGCTGGGAACGATCTCCGAGGGAAAAGAAAAAAAAAAAAAAATCCGGGGCCAGGATCCGGAGGATGGAATTCCCAAAATCCCCCCGAGGCTGGGATCATCCCAAAGAGCCGGAAAAGGATCCAGGGAGAACCTTCCAGAGCTTCAAGGGGCTCCAGGAGAGATGGAGAGGGACTAAGGACAAGGACAGAGGGAATGGGGACATTTGGGGTGGGATTTTGGGAAGGAATTGGGCTGAAATTCCCAAATTTTCAGTGGTTGCCTCCATATCCCTGGAAGTGTCCAAGGAACCGAGATGAGCTCCAAGCTCTTTCCCCACCCCCCTCCCAAAAACCATCCTGGGGATTAATTTTAAAGGGATTTATCCGGAAAAACAACCGGGATCTTCTTTTCACAGCCCCACCAGGGACCCCTCCCCGTGTCCCCGTGGGTGGCACTGCCACCCCCCTCGTCACGCGGTGGGAAAACAACGAGGGCCGCCCCCGGAGGAAGCGCCGGATTTGGGATGGAATTCCGGCCACGAGGCTCTGACTCAGCGCCGGTGGCAGCTGCAGGTGCCACACGTTGGTGGCACCGCGGGTGGCACTTTGTCCCCCACCCGCTGGCACCACCCCCGGAGCCGTTCCACCCGCGGGATAACCGGGAAAAGCTGGGAATGGCCCTGCTGGGATCCGGAGTGGCCCCAAAACGGAGCGGAGGGGACAGTGCCAAGTGTCCCCCGTGTCCCCAGCGCCACCCAAACGTGGCACTGTCACACTGGGGACAATCCGGAGTTGGTGCCCTCAGAGCAGCCCTAGGGAATGACACGGAATTCTGGCGTGGGGACGCCTCAAAATCCGGGAATTTTTGGGAGTTGGCAGCCCCGGAGTCCCCAGGGGATGGTGACACCCCCATGTTGTCCCCCTGTCCCCCACCTTGACGAGGAAGTGGCCGTCCTTGTCCTGTGTCACCATCACGGCCGAGTCGTGCAGCTGCTCCTGGAAGTGGACGTGGCCCTGTGTCCCCTCCTGGGGGTGGCCCTGTGTCCCCTCGGGGGTGAAGCGCACTCCTGTCCCCTTCCCCTTGCTGCCTGCAGGTGACAAAACCCCCGCCCGGTCACAGCCGTGTCCCCAGGGGAGGTGGCCTCGCGCTGGTGGCACCAGGAGAGGCTTCCCTGTCACCCCCTCCCTGTGTCACCTGGGACACGGGGGACCTGTGGGGACAGCCAGCTCCTCTCCGAGCAGGGATCTGCCGCTGGCTGATGTCCAGAGGGCCCCCAAGTGTCCCCAAGTGTCCCCAAATGTCCCCAAGTGTCCCCAGGCTCGGCAGACTCCGTTCCCTCCTTTGATGTCCTTAGGACAAGTGACACAGGCTGGGGACATGGAGACAGGTGACTGGTGGCAGGGGACAGGTGAGAAGGGCGGAGAGCATGGAAGTGCCACCAGATGATGTCCAGAAGGTCCCTGAGTGTCCCCAAGCGTCCCCAAGTGTCCCCAAATGTCCCCAAGTGCCCCCAAGTGTCCCCAGGCTCGGCAGACTCTGCTCCCTCCTGTGATGTCCTCAGGACAAGTGACACAGGGACAGAGGGACACAGGTGACAAAGTGACCACAGCCAGCTTCCCTTTGAGCAGGGGCCGGTCACCAGCTGATGTCCAGAGGGCCCCCAAGTGTCCCCAAGTGTCCCCAAGTGTCCCCAGGCTCAGCAGACTCTGCTCCCTCCTGTGATGTCCTCAGGACAAGTGCCACAGGCTGGGGACATGGGGACAGATGAGAAGGGGGGAGAGCATGGAAGTGCCACCAGATGATGTCCAGAAGGTCCCCAAGTGTCCCCAAATGTCCCCAAGCGTCCCCAGGCTCTGCAGACTCTGCTCCCTCCTCGGGCTGCGCAGCGAAGGTGACACAGGGGAGGTGACACGGCTGTGACAAGGCCAGCAGGACAGGCCACCAGCTTGGGGACAGCGCTGTCCCCACGGAGGCCCAAATCCCGTGGGATTTTCCACGTGCGCCGCTTCCATGGAAAATCCGCCCCTTCCTCCTCCTCCTCCTCCTCCTCCTCCTCCTCCTCCCGCCGAGCCCCGCTCCCAGCTGGCAGCAGATTGTCACCGCCGCCAGCAGCAGATTGTCGCCTCCCTTGTCGCCTGAAGAAAAGGCTCTTTGTGCTGGCAGCGCCGGCAATGCCGGCCTTTAATGAGCCGGGCGTTAATGAGCCGGGCGTTAATGAACCGGGCTTTAATGAGCCGCACTCCCGGGGGGACAGCGAGGGACACGGTGACAGCGTGGGGACACACGCGGGGACACACGCGGGGACACGCGGGGGACTCTGCGGGGCGGCGCCGCGGCCATCCCGGAGGATCCGCGCGGATCCCAAATCCCGATCCCAAAGCCCCGATGATCCCAAATAAGCCTTTGTCACCCCGGTGGCACTTGGGGACATTTGGGGCGCGGAGCCTCCGGGGAGAGCGGGAATGGGGGGATCGGGATTTGGGGATTTGGGGATTTGGGGATTTGGGGTGGCCCCGGGAGGGGACAGCAGGGACAGGCAGGGGTGGCAGCCAGGGATCCGCTGGATCGGGGATTTGTGGGATCTGGGATTTCTGAGATTAGGGAATCCCCTGGATCTGGGATTTATGGGATTAGAGAATCCATTGGATCTGGGATTTATGGGAGCTGAGATATATGGGGATCAGGGAATCCCTTGGATCTGGGATGTGTGGGATCCGGGATTTATGGGATCTGGGATTTCTGAGATTAGGGAATCCCCTGGATCTGGGATTTGTGGGATCAGGGAATCACTGGGTCTGGGATTTGTGGGATCTGGGATTCCCTTGGATCTGAAATTTCTGGGAGCAGGGAATCTCCTGGATCTGGGATTTATAGGATCATGGATTTCTGGGATCAGGGAATCCCTGGGTCTAGGATTTGTGGGATCTGGGATTCGTGGGATCAGGGGTCTGTGCAATCTGGGATTCCCTTGGATCTGGGATTTCTGGGATTAGGGATTCCCCTGGAGCAGGGATTTATTGGATCAGGGATTTGTGGGATCAGGGAATTCCCTGGGTCTGGGATTTGTGGGATTAGGGATTCCCCTGGATCAGGGATTTATGGGATCAGGGATTTGTGGGATCAGGGATTCCCATGGACCTGGGATTCCTGGGATCTGGAGTTTCTGGGATTAGGGAATCCATTTGATTTGGGATTTGTGGGATCAGGGAATGCCCTGGATCTGGGATTTGTGGGATCTGGGATTTCTGGGATCAGGGATTTGTGGGATCAGCCACTGCTGGACTCTCGGGGTCACCGCATCCCCCCATGGGGTCTCGGGGTCCCCTCCAGGATGTTCCCAACTCTTTTTTTTCCCCGGGAATCTCCTGAGGCTCTCTCGGCCTCATCCCACCGCCCCCGGCCCCATTCCCAGGGAAATTCCCGGAGTGGAATCCCACAAAGATTCCTTGGGATTTGTCTCACCCCAAAGCGCTTTTGGGGTCCCTCAAATCCCTGGACAGGGACAGAGAGACCCCAAAAGCTCCGGGAAAACCCCAAATCCTGGGATAGGCTCAGAAGGACCCCAAAAGCCCCGGGAAAACCCCAAATCCCGGGATCCGGGGACAGGGAGGGGATTTGGGGACTCACCCTTGCCGGCTGTCGCCATCTGTCCCCTGCGATGTCGCTGTCCCCAATGTCAGCGGCCGGGGGGCATCGTCCGGGAATTCTGCGGGAATGGGGTGAGAACAGGGTGGGAATGGGAAGGCGCCAATTCCGTCCCATATTCCCACCCCATTGCGGTGGTGGTGGCCCCGAGGTGGCCCCGAGGTGGCCCCGAGGTGGCCCCGAGGTGGCCCCGATGCTGCGGGCAGCGCCAGGCCTGGAATGGGCATTCCCTCCTCATCCCAAATCTCCGGGAAAAGCGGGAATTAGGGAATTCCCTCCCCCCCGCGTGCGTGCCTCAGTTTCCCCCTTTTTCTCTCCCCCACCCCCCCCAAAAAAAAAAAAAAATCTCCGAGGTTTTTTTTTCCCAGCGCTGGTCCAAAATTTGGAGCCTTTCCCAAATCGCTTCTCCCGGGATAAACGGGAGACCACATCCCAAACTTGGAGCCTTTCCCAATTTGTTTTTCCCGGGAAAAATGGGAGATCACATCCCAAACTTGGAGCCTTTCCCAATTTGTTTTTCCCGGGATAAATAGGAGATCACATCCCAAACTTGGAGCCTTTTCCAATTTGTTTTTCCTGGGATAAATGGGAGATCACATCCCAAACTTGGAGCCTTTCCCAATTTGTTTTTCCCGGGAAAAATGGGAGATCACATCCCAAACTTGGAGCCTTTCCCAATTTGTTTTTCCCGGGATAAATAGGAGATCACATCCCAAACTTGGAGCCTTTTCCAATTTGTTTTTCCTGGGATAAATGGGAGATCACATCCCAAACTTGGAGCCTTTCCCAAATCGATTTTTCCCGGGATAAGCGGCGCGCGGAGGTGCCACCGCCAGCCGGGAATTAGGGATGTGACATCCCAAAAAAACCCAAAAATAAACAAACAAAAAAAACCCCTTGGAATTGGAAGGTTAAATCTCCTTCTCCTTCCTGGGATCGCCCCATGGGACCGGGAATACCGGCAGGGATTGGGAAAATGAAATCCCAAAACGCCGGGAAATCCGTGGGGGTGGAAAAACCCCCCAAAATTTCGGGAAAAAAACCGGGATAAAAGAAAACCCAGCTGGAATGGAAGGGGAAGGGATGGGGCGAGGAAAATCCAGGGATTTGGGGGCGCCTCGAGCCATACCGGGGGACAAGCAGAGCTGTCACCCAGGAGGGGACACCGCGCCCGCCACTGTCCCCACCCCCCTTTGCCGAGCGCTCCCAGCCGCGTTTCACCTCCGCCACCACCCGCGGCCCGCCAGCCCCTCCGCGGGGCCGCCGCGGTCCCCTCTGCCACCCCCCGGGTGTCCCCGTTGTCCCCCGTTGTCCCCCGGTGTCCCCCCGGTGTCGCCGCGCCCCGCTCACCCCGCCGCGCCCGCCGCCCGCTTCCCGCTGCGGGGACACGCCCCCTCGCTCCTATTGGCCGGCGCGCCCACACCTCGCGCTCCCATTGGTGGGCGCGCACGCCGGTCACGCCTCCAGGCCACGCCCCCATGGGCAGAGATCAACGGGCGTTGCTAAGGGGCGGGGCCGTTGCTAAGGGGCGGGGCTAAGGGGCGGGGCAGCCAATGAGGGAGGGCGCGCGCGCCGTGGGGCGCCCCCTTGCGGGCGGCGGGGGAAGTGCGGGGGGCGTTGCCATGGGAACGGGGGTGGGGGAGGGGCCTTTCCTTTCCTTTCCTTTCCTTTCCTTTCCTTTCCTTTCCTTTCCTTTCCTTTCCTTTCCTTTCCTTTCCTTTCCTTTCCTTTCCTTTCCTTTCCTTTCCTTTCCTTTCCTTTCCTTTCCTTTCTTCCTTTCCTTTCCTTTCCTTTCCTTTCCTTCCTTTCCTTTCCTTTCCTTTCCTTTCCTTTCCTTTCCTTTCTTTTCCTTTCTTTTCCTTTCTTTTCTTTCCTTTCCTTTCCTTTCCTTTCCTTTCCTTCCTTTCCTTTCCTTTCCTTTCCTTTCCTTTCCTTTCCTTTCCTTTCCTTTCCTTTCCTTTCCTTTCCTTTCCTTTCCTTTCCTTTCCTTTCCTTTCCTTTCCTCCTTTCCTTTCCTTTCCTTTCTTTCCTTTCCTTTCCTTCCTTTCCTTTCCTTTCCATTTAATTTCATCTCATCCCAATTCCATCAGATCCATCTAATCCCGAATTATCCCAGTTCCTTCCTGTCCCATCCCAGTTCCTTCCCATCCCATTTTAATCCCAATCCCAATCCCACCCCATTCCCCGCGTCCTTCCCGTCCCCATCCTGAGCTCCGTGTCCCTTCCCACGGTGACAGGGGACAGGGAACGTCCCCATCCCATTGGAACGTGACAAACGGAGCCAGTTCCCATCTGGAGATTGTCCCCCGGGGACACGTGAGGGACACAGGGGACAATGCCACCCCCGCCGCTCCAGCTGCTGGAACGCTTAAAATCCCGGGATCCACATTCCCAGAAATCTGGGATCCACGTTCCCAGCGGTCCCCAGAGCCCCGGCGGTGTCCTTGTCACCACCACGGTGACATCACAGCCGGCTTGTCCCCACGGGAGGGGACACCAGGCCCAGCTTGTCCCCACAGGAGGGGACACCAGGCCCGGCTTGTCCCCGATTCCCACATCTGGCGGAAATTCCAAGATTTCCCTAAGAAGCCACTCTGGCACAGGAACAGTCCCCAGAGCCACCCCCGGACATGTCCCCGTGTCTGGGGATGTCACCTGGGGGTGGGGACACCGGGGATGTCGCTGTCACCTCCCAGCGCCGCCACCGGGCGCGGATTTGCTCCGGGATTACGAAAACAACGGGATTTGGGAAGGGATTAAATCCCGGCGGCCACCGGGCGGGAGGAGTGGCCACCAGGGTGTCCCCATGGTGTCCCCAAGTCATCCCCACATGTCCCCATGGTGTCTCCATGGTGTCCCCACAGCAACCCCAGGGTTGTCCCCACATGTCCCCATGGTGTCCCCATGATGCCTCCATGATGTCCCCAGATTGTCCCCATGGTGTCCCCAAGGCATCCTCACAGTGTCCCCATGGTGTCCTCAAAGCATCCCCAGACTGTCCCCAGGATGTCCCCACAATGTCCCCAGAATGTCCCTATGGTGTCTCCACGGTGTCCCCACAGTGTCCTCACTCTGTCATCCCCATGCTGCTGTCCCCCCCCCCCCCACCAATGTCCCCCCTCCCACCCTGATGTCCCCACGGTGTCCCCACCCTGATGGCCCCATGCAGATGTCCCCCCACCCACACTGCTGTCCCCATGCTCATGTCCCCACAATGTCCCCATGCCAATGTCCCCACTCTGCCGTCTCCACGGTGTCCCTGTGCTGCTGTCCCTTCCTTGATGTCCCCACACTGATGTCCCCACCCTGATGTCTTCATGCCAATGTCCCACGCAGTGTCCCCACCGCTGTCACCTCACTGTTGACCACACAGTGTCCCCGCAGTGTCCCCAGCACTGTCCCCTCCCTGCTGTCCCCATAATATCCCCAGTGTCCCCAGTGCTGTCCCTAGAGTGTCCCCAGTGTCCCCACAGTGTCCCCTCCCTGCTGTTCCCTCCCTGCTGTCCCCTCAATGTCCCCACAGTGTCCCACAGTGCCCCCAGTGCTGTCCCCCGTGTCCCCTCAGTGCCCCCACAGTGTCCTCAGTGTCGTTGTCTCACAGTGTCCCAGGCGCTGTCCCCACAGTGTCCCCAATGTCCCCAGTGTCCCCAATGTCCCCAATGTCCCCACAATGTTCCCAATGTCCCCAGTGTGTCCCAAATGTCCCCAGTGCCCCCACAATGTCCCCAGTGTGTCCCCCATGTCCCCAATGTGTCCCCAATGTCCTCAGTGTGTCCCCACAATGTCCCCAATATCCCCAGTGTGTCCCCAATGCCCCCAGTGTCCCCTCAGTGCCACTCTCTCCCCGCCAAGATCCAACTCTTTAATTGCAGCCGCGCGGGACTTGGGGACACCGGGAGCCACCAGGGGCCACCAGGGGCCACCAGGGGCCACCAAGAGCCACCAGGGGCCACCGGGAGCCACCAGGGGCCACCAGGGGCCACCGGGCTGTCCCCGATCCGCCACGGCGGTGCCACCCCGCGGTGGCGACGGTGTCCCTGTCGCGGGTCAGGGGCGCTGTCCCTGTCCCTGTCCCTGTCCCTGTCCCCTCTCGGTGTCCCTGTCGCGGGTCAGGGGCGCTGTCCCTGTCCCTGTCCCTGTCCCTGTCCCCTCTCGGTGTCCCTGTCGCGGGTCAGCGTCGGTGTCCCTGTCCCTGTCCCCTCTCGGTGTCCCTGTCGCTGTCAGGGGCGCTGTCCCTGTCCCCTCTCGGGGTCGGTGTCCCTGTCGCGGGTCAGGGGCGCTGTCCCTGTCCCTGTCCCTGTCCCTGTCCCTGTCCCCTCTCGGTGTCCCTGTCGCGGGTCAGGGGCGCTGTCCCTGTCTCTGTCCCTGTCCCCTCTCGGTGTCCCTGTCGCGGGTCAGGGTCGCTGTCCCTGTCCCTGTCCCTGTCCCTGTCCCTGTCCCTGTCCCTGTCCCTGTCCCTGTCCCTGTCCCCTCTCGGGGTCCCTGTCGCCGGGTCCCCGCAGCTGCTGCAGCCGCCGGCTCAGGTCGTCGATGCGGAGGTTCTTGAGGAGCAGGAGCTGCTCCAGCCGCCCCACCTTGGCCTGTAGGATCTGCGGGACCGGGGGTTGGGTAAAATCCCCTAAATCCCCTAAATCCGAAAACCCCAAAATCCCCAACCCCCAAAATGCTGAAATCCCAAAACCCCTAAACCCCAAAGCCCCAAAATCCCCAAATCCTGAATCCTAAATCCTAAAATACTGAAATCCCGAAATCCCCAAACCCCAAAACTCCCAAACCCCGAAATCCCAAAATCCCAAAACCCCGAAATCCCAAAATCCCGAAATACCAAAGTCCCAAAACCCTAAATGCCCCAAATACCCAAAACTCCAAAATCATCAAATCCTAAATTTTCCTAGCTCAAACCCCCAAAATCCCCAAACCCCAAAATCCCAAAATCCCGAAATCCCCAAAGTCCCAAAACCCCAAAACTCCAAAATCCCCAAATCCCAAAATTCCCGAACTCAAAACCCCGAAATCCTGAAATCCCCAAACCCCAAAAGCCCCAAATCCCCAAAACTCCAAAATCCTCAAACCCCAAAATTCCTGAACTCAAAACCCCAAAATCCTGAAATCCCAAAACCCCGAAATCCTGAAATCCCCAAATCCCCAAATCCCAAAACCCTTGTCCCAGGAGGACAAGGAAAATTTTAGGGAAGGAAGGACCGGGAAAAAACAGGACGGGGGGCAGGGAAAAACCGGGAAAAGCCGGGAAAAGCCAGGAAATTTTAGGGAAGAAGGGACAGGGAAAAGCCGGGAATAGGGGACGCGGAAAAGTTTGAAAGGGGAACAGTGAAAAGCCGGGAAAAGCCGGGAAAAAAAACGGGAAAACCCGGGGAAAACCGGGAAAAAACGGGAAAAGGGACGGGGAGAACCGGGAAAAACCGGGAAAAAACGGGAAAAGGGACAGGGGAGAATCGGGAAAAGACGGGAAAAAAAGACGGGGAAGAGGCAGGGGAAAACCGGGAAAAGCCGGGAGAAAACCGGGAAAAGGGACAGGGGATAACCGGGAAAAGCCGGGAAAAGCCGGGCAAGGGGACAGGGGAAAACCGGGAAAAACCGGGAAAAAAAAAACGGGGAAGGAGACAGGGGAAAACCGGGAAAAGCCGGGAAAAGGGACAGGGGAAAACCGGGAAAAGACGGGAAAAACCGGGAAAAGGGACAGGGGAAACCCGGGAAAAACCGGGAAAAAAAAAACGGGGAAGGGGACAGGGGAAAACCGGGAAAAAACGGGGAAGGAGACAGGGGAAAACCGGGAAAAGGGACAGGGGAAAACCGGGAAAAGCCGGGAAAAGGGACAGGGGAAAACCGGGAAGAGCCGGGGAAAAAAAACGGGGAAGGGGACAGGGGAAAACCGGGAATAGACGGGAAAAACCGGGATAAGGGACAGGGGAAAACCGGGAAAAGCCGGGGAAAACCAGGGAAGGGGACAGGGGAAAACCGGGAATAGACGGGAAAAACCGGGAAAAGGGACAGGGGAAACCCGTGAAAAACCGGGAAAAGCCGGGAAAATCCGGGAAGGAGGATAAAGAAAATTTTAGGGAAGGAGGACCCGGGAAAAACCAGGAAAGGGGGACAGAAAAACCCGGGAAAAGGCGGGAAGCGGGGACAGGACAAAGCGGGAGGGAAGGAGGGCGCGGGGACAGCACCGTGTCACAGTGTCGCGTGTCCCCCCGGGATGTCCCCGCCGCCGGGATTTGGGATGGGCTCACCTGGATCGTGTCCCGCGCCAGCTGCAGCGCCTGCTCGCGGTCCGCCAGCTGCTGTCGCATGTCCCCAAGGCCACCCCCGGGCTGTACTGCCACCGCCACCGCCCTGGCGCGGGGACACGGCGGGGACACAGCTCGGGACGTCCCCAAATCCCACGGGAATGTCCTGATCTCCCGTGGGGACAGCGCCGAGCCCTCCTTGTGCCACCAAATGTCCCCAAATCCCGTCCCCAAATCCCACGGGAATGTCCTGATCTCCCGTGGGGACAGCGCTGAGCCCTCCTTGTGCCACCAAATGTCCCCAAATCCCACGGGAATGTCCTGATCTCCCGTGGGGACAGCACTGAGCCCTCCTTGTGCCACCAATGTCCCCAAATCCTGTCCCCAAATCCCACGGGAATGGCCTGATCTCCCGTGGGGACACCCAGGGGACACTCGGGGACACCCCAAACCCCACAGTGAATCCCTGACCCCCTCAAGGACCCCAAGAGCCAAAAGGGGATGCCGTGACCCCCATGGGGACACCCCAAACCCACAGTGACCCCAAACCCATCAGTGACCCTAAATCCCTGTGGGGACACCCCAAACCCCACAGTGACCCCAAACCCCACAGTGACACCAAACCCCTATGGGGACACCCCAAACCCTCACAGTGACACCCAAACCCCTATGGGGACACCCCAAACCCCACAGTGACCCCAAACCCCACAGTGACCCCAAACCCCACAGTGACCCCAAACCCCTGTGGGGACACCCCAAACCCCAGAGTGACCCCAAACCCCACAGTGACCCCAAATCCCACAGTGACCCCAAACCCATCAGTGACCCCAAATCCCTATGGGGACACCCCAAACCCCACAGTGACCCCAAATCCCACAGTGATACCAAACCCCACAGTGACCCCAAACCCATCAGTGACCCCCAAACCCCTAAGGGGACACCCCAAACCCCACAATGACACCAAAGCCCACAGTGACACCAAACCCCACAGTGACCCCAAACCCCACAGTGACACCAAACCATCACAGAGACCCCAAAACCCTATGGGGACACCCCAAACCCTCACAGTGACCCCCAAACCTGACAGTGACCCCAAACCCCAAAGTGACCCTAAAACCTACAGGGGACACCCAAACCCACAGTGACCCCAAACCCTCACAGTGACCTCTAAACCTTCAGAGTGACCCCAAAACCTCACAGTGACCCCGAACCCCACAAGGACCCCAAACCCCACAGTGACCCCGCCCAACCCAACAGCGACCCCACAGTGACACCAAACCATCACAGAGACCCCAAACCCCTATGGGGACACCCCAAACCCTCACAGTGACCCCAGACCTGACAGTAACCCCAAACCCTACAGGGGACACCCTAACCCACAGTGACCCCAAACCCCTATGGGGACACGCCAAACCCCACAGTGACCCCAAACCCCACAGTGACCCCAAAAAGACCCCCTGACCCCAAAAGGGCCCCGTCCTGTTGCCCAGCCCTCACCTGTCAGCGCCCTCCTGGCTGCAGCCCCTTCCCAAATCTCTGCGGAGCTTCGGCTGGCCTGGAAACCCCAACGGGATGGACGGATGGATGATGGATGGATGGATGGATGGATGATGGATGGATGGATGGATGATGGATGGATGGATGGATGATGGATGGATGGATGGATGATGGATGGATGGATGGATGATGGATGATGGATGGATGGATGGATGGATGATGGATGGATGATGGATGGATGGATGGATGGATGATGGATGGATGGATGATGGATGGATGATGGATGGATGATGGATGATGGATGGATGGATGGATGATGGATGGATGGATGGATGGATGATGGATGGATGATGGATGATGGATGATGGATGGATGATGGATGATGGATGGATGGATGGATGGATGGATGATGGATGGATGATGGATGGATGGGATCACCTGCCTGGACACTGCTGTCCCCTCTCAGGGACCCCAAAAATTCTCAGTGGGGTATTTGGGGACGCTTTACCCCCCATCCCTTACCTGTGTCCAGGTACCCGCCCTCGTCCAGCGCTGCTGGCTCCGCTGTGGGCTGAGGAGAGGCAGGAAAACCCCTGGGACACACCTGGGACACACCTGGGACACCCCCTGCCACCAGCCCCAGTGACCCAAACCTTGGATATTCCCAGGGATCCAGGGGCAGCCACAGCAAATCTGGGAATTCCAGCCCAGCCAGGAATTCCTTGCCAAGATCCCAGCCCAAGCTCCCCTTTCCCAGTGGGAGCCATTCCCTGGCTCCTGTCCCTCTGTCCCTTGTCCCCAGTCCCTCTCCAGCTCTCCTGGAGCCCCTCCAGGGACTCTGAGCATTCCCTGGATTTTTCCCTTCTCCAGGGGAACATTCCCAGCACTCTTAACCTGGTCCAGAGCAGAACCCAGGAACGATTTCTGTTGGGAATGACCCTAAATCCCACCCATGGATCATTCCCCTATCCCACCTTTCCCCAAACCCCAATATCCAACCTTTCCCAGGATTCCCACTTCCGGGAATTCCTCTTTTTTTGGGATTTCCTCACCTTCCCAACCCCTCCTTTGCTGTTCCTCTGCCTCTGGAGGATTTTGGCCCTCAGGAGCTGCAGGAGCTGCTCGGCCGTTCCCGGCTGGCTCCGCACCAGCCCCTGGATCATCTCCTCGGGGAGACGCAGGTTCAGCTTGCTCAGCACTTTCCTGGAATTTGGGATGGGTGGAACACCCGGGAGGTGACAGAGGGACAGGGGGACACAGAGGGACACAGGGAGATCCAGCACCTGGATCATCTCCAGGCACCAAAAATTCAGGTTACTCAGCACTTCCCTTAAATTTGGGATCAGTGGAACACCCAGGGGAGGTGACAGAGGGACAGGGGACACAGGACACAGAGGGACACAGGACACAGAGGGACACAGGGACACAGAGGGACACGGGGGCACACAGGGGGACACCAATCCCCACCCCCAGCCCGCCACCGTGGCTCTGTGGCCACACGGAGCAGTCGGGTTGTGACAAACAGGGCGACACCTGTGGGGGGCAACCTGGGGCCACCCCAGATGGGACGTTGGGAGTCACACAGAGCTGGTGGCACCTGTCCCTACCTGTTGAGGTGGCCCCAATTGGCGACTTTCTGCGCCGTGGAGCTGGTGGGGACAAAGCTGTGCAGATCCACCAGCGAGGGGAAGAAGAACTTCACCACCTCGGCCGCCAGCACTGCGGGGACAGCGGGGACACGCTGCGGGTGGCACCACCGCCACAGCCCGCCCCGGCCACCCCGCCGTGTCCCCGCAAGGCCAACCCCCGTCGCTGAAGTCGCGGGCGATGTTCCTGCGTGGCCGTGACAGCGGCACCGTGTCCAACCAGCGGTAAAGGGACACCAGCGACGAGTCCGGGCCCGGCTCCGGTCCCTCGGCCGCCATCAGGACCAGGCCGCAGCGTCCCCGCTGCCATGGTAACGGGGGGCGTGGCCTGCGCAAAGCGTTGCGCTGCCATGGTAACGGGGGCGTGGCCTGCGCGAAGCGTCACCGCTGCCATGGTAACAGGGGCGTGGCCTGTGCGGAGCGTCCCCGCTGCCATGGTAACGGGGGCGTGGTCTGCGCGGAGCGTCGCCGCTGCCATGGTAACGGGGGCGTGGCCTGAGCGGAGCGTCCTCGCTGCTATGGTAACGGGGACGTGGCCTTTGCGGAGCGTCACCGCTGCCATGGTAACGGGGCGGGGCTTAATGGGAGCGTCCCGTTGTCATGGTAACAGAAGCGGGGCCTGAGGGGATGCGTCCTGTTGCCATGGAAATGGGGTGGGATATGAACACCGGGATGGGATACGGATTTTGGGGTGGGATGTGGACACTGGGATTGGATATGGACAGCATGGGTGGGATATGGACATTGGGATGGGATATGGAAATGGGTGGGGATGTGGAAACCGGGATCAGATATGGAAATTGGGATAGAACATGGATATGAACACTGGGATGGGATATGGACAATGAGACGGGATATGGACATTGGGGTATGGACAGCATGAATGGGATATGGACATTGGGATGGGATATGGACACCGTGGGTGGGATATGGACACTGGGATGGGATATGGACATTGGGATGGGATATGAACACCATGGGTGGGATATGGATATTGGGATGGGATACAGACATTGGGATGGCATATGGACACCGGGAATGGGACATGGACACCATGGGTGGGATATGGATATTGGGATGGGATATGGACACTGTGGTGGGTTATGAACATGGGGATGGGATATGGACACCATGGATGGGACATGGAGACTGTGGTGGGATATGGACACTGCGGTGGGATATGGACACCATGGATGGGGATATGGACACTGGGATCAGATATAGACATTGGGATAGAACATGGACACCAGGGATGGGATTTGGACACTGGTGTGGGATATGGACAGCATGGATGGGCTGTGGACATCATCAATGGGATGTGGACATTGGGGTGGGGTAGGGACACCATGGATGGGACTTGGACATCATGTGTGGGTTATGGACACTGCTGTGGGATATGGAGACCATGGATGGGATATGGACATTGGGATGTGAATATGGACACCGGGATCAGATATGGACATTGGGACAGAACATGGACACTGGGATGGGGATATGGATATTGGCATGGGATATGGACAGCATGGATGGGATATGGACATTGGCATGGAATATGGACACTGGGATAGGATATGGATGCCATGGATGGGATATGGACACCTTGGGTGGGATATGGAGACCACGGATCGGACATGGACACTGGGATGGGACATGGACAAAGCCACAACGCCAGGAGGTGACAGTGACCCCTCAGACCAGGGCCTGGTTGTTATGTTGGTGAATGTGACCCCCCCTCAGGAAGAACCGCCCCTCCCCTGCACTTTTGGGGGTTCTCAACTCCCACCCCCTCCTTGTCCCTTGTCCACCCATGTCCCCCACCTTGGCCGGGCCGTGTCCGCAAAATCCCCCCTAAAATGTCCCCCCACTTCCTTCCCCTTCGTCCCCCGCGCCTCGCAGCGCTGCAAGCCCCGCCCCTTCCTATAACCCCGCCCCTCTACCCCATTCCCGCCTCCAATTGGCTGTCCCTCCCGTCAATCATCCGGCATCGCCCCGCCCTCCTTTTGCCGCGCACCGAATACTTCCGCACTTTTTCCAGCTCCACCCTCCTCGCTCTTCTATTGGCCGCACACCCCGCCAATCACCTTTTTAACCAATCACCTGCCGCTCCTCCCTATTCCCCGCGCTCCCATTGGCTGGCACCGCCTTCAGTTTTGCATAAGCGCTCGGGCGCCCCCTTGCGGCGGCGGCGGGGCGTGACACGCCGCGACATGTCGCGACATATCGCGACATAGCGGCCTATGGGATTCCCCCTTTTTTTATTCCCTTTTCCCCCTCTTTTCCCCTTTTTCACCTCCTTTTTTCCCCCTTTTATTCCCCCTTTTCCCCCTCCTTTTCCCTTTTCTCCCCTTTCCCCCCTTCCCCCTTTTATTCCCTCCTTTTATTCCCCCCTTTTATTCCCCCCTTTTTATTCCCCCCTTTTATTCCCCCATTTTATTCCCCCCTTTATTCCCCCCCTTTTATTCCCCCCTTTTATTCCCCCCTTTTATTCCCCCCTTTTTATCCCCCCCCATTTTCCCCCCATTTTTGCCCCCACCTTCCCCCCCCCCTTTTTTTCCCATTTCCCCCCCTCCATTTTAGGGTTACTTTATGTTATTTTGATTCTTTGGGGTTTTTCAGCTATTTTGGGGTTATTTGGGATTGGTTTGTTTTTTGGGGCTTGTTTCAGGTTTTTGGGGATTTTTGTATTTTTTGGATATTTTGGGGGCTGTTGAGAGTTATTTTGAAGTTGTTTGGGTTTGGTATATTTTTGGGGGAGTTTGGGGTGTTTTGGGGGGTTATTTTGGGCCTCTTTGGGTTTTTTGGGTATTTTATGGGTTTTTTATTATTATTTAGGGGTGATTTTGGACTTGTTTGGGTTTGGTTTAGAATTTTTTTTTGGTTTTTTGGGAGTTATTTAAGGAATATTTTGGGATTATTTTGGGTATAATCTGGGGCAATTTGGGGATTAATTTTGGGTTTTTTTGTTATATAAAGCCATTTATTCTCTGCTCAGCCGTGTTTAATTTGAGGGGGTCGTCCCCAAATGTCCCAAATGAGGGGGAGGGATTGGGGACCCCAAAATGTCACGGGGTGGGGGAGGGGAGGGGACACTTCATTCAGGGACAGTTTTGGGGTCACGGCGGGGGTGACACCGGGATTTGGGACAGGAGAAAGGAGGGGTGATCCCAAGGGATAAGGGGGATTGATCCCACTGGTTTTGGGGGATAATCCCACAGGTTTTGGGGGATGAGATCCCTGGATAAGGGGGGATGATCCCAATGGTTTTGGGGGATAATCCCACTGGACTGGGGGATGAGATCCCACTGGATTGGGGGATCAATCCCACTGGTTTTGGGGGATCAATCCCACTGGATTGGGGGATAATCCCACTGGATTGGGGGATCAATCCCACTGGTTTTGGGGGATCGATCCCACTGGAGTGGGGGATGAGATCCCACTGGATTGGGGGATCAATCCCACTGGTTTTGGGGGATCGATCCCACTGGATTGGGGGATAATCCCAGAGGTTTGGGGAGATGAAATCCCCGGATAAGGGGGGATGATCCCAATGGTTTTGGGGGATCGATCCCTCAATAGGGGCAATGATTTCACTCGATTGGGGGATAATCCCACAGGTTTTGGGGGATAAAATCCCTGGATTTGGGGGATTGATCCCACTGGTTTTGGGGGATTGATCCCACTGGATTGGGGGATGAGATCCCACTGCATTGGAGGGATCTCGTCCCACAGGTTTTGGGGGATGAGATCCCTGGATAAGGGGTGATGATCCCAAGGGATATGGGGGATCGATCCCGCTGGTTTTGGGGGATGAACTCGCTGATTTTGGGGGATTGATCCTTGGTTAAGGGGAGATGATCCCAATGGGTTTGGGGGATCGATCCCTAAATAGGGGCAATGATCCCACTGGTTTTGGGGGATGATCCCACTGGATTAGGGGATGAGATCCCACTGGATTGGGGGATAATCCCACAGGTTTGGGGAGATGAGATCCCTGGATAAGGGGAGATGATCCCAAGGGATATGGGGGATTGATCCCGTTGGTTTTGGGGGATTGATCCCACTGGATAAGGGCAATGATATCCCTAAAAAGGGGCAATGATCCCATTGGATATGGGGAATGAGATCCCTGGATATGGGGGATGAATTCCCTAAATAGGGGGAACAATCCCTCTGGATTGGGGAGGGGGGGTGAAATCCCTAAATAGGGGGGATGATCCCACTGGACATGGGGGATGGTCCCACGGAATACTTTTGGAGGGATCATCCCACAGGATGGGAGGGATCATCCCATTAATTTTTGGGGGGATTGAGCCTGTTAGATATGAGGGGGATCATCCCACAGTTTTGGGGGATCATCCCATAAAACGGGAAGGATCATCCCACTGATTTTTGGGGGGTTGAACCTCCTGGATCTGAGTAGGATCATCCCACAGTTTTGGAGGGATCATCCCACAGGATGGGAGGGATCATCCCATTAATTTTTTGGGGAATTGAACCTCCTGGATACGAGGGGGATAATCCCACAGTTTTGGAGGGATCATCCCACTGACTTTTGGGGGATTGAACCTCCTGGATATGACTGGGATCATCCCACAAACCACTGATTCTTGGAGAATTGAACTTTCTGGATCCGAGTAGGATCATCCCACTGACTTTTGGGGGATTGAACCTCCTGGATCCGAGTGGGATCATGGCATTCTTTTGGAGGGATCATCCCACAGGATGGGAGGGATCATCCCACTGATTTTTGGGGGATTGGACCTTCTGGATCTGAGTAGGACCATCCCACAGTTTTGGAGAGATCATCCCACAGTTTTGGAGAGATCATCCCACAGTTTTGGAGGGATCATCCCACAGGATGGGAGGGATCATCCCACTGACTTTTGGGGGATTGAACCTCCTGGATATGACTGGGATCATCCCATAAAATGGGAGGGATCATCCCACAGGATGGGAGGGATCATCCCACTGAATTTGGGGGATTGAACCTACTGGATCTGAGTAGGATCATCCCACAAACCACTGATTTTTGGAGAATTGAACTTTCTGGATCTGAGTAGGACCATCCCACTGATTTTTGGGGGATTGAACCTCCTGGATCCGAGTGGGATCATGGCATTCCTTTGGAGGGATCATCCCATAAAATGAGAAGGATCATCCCACTGAATTTAGGGGATTGAACCTCCTGGATCTGAGTAGGACCATCCCACAGTTTTGGAGGGATCATCCCACAGGATGGGAGGGACCATTCCACTGATTTTTGGAGGGATCACCTCACAGTTCTGGAGGGATCATCCCACAGGTTTGGAGGGATCTGAGCCCCTGGACCCAGGAACCCCCCAGGACTGATGGGATCACCCCACAATCCACCGAACCCCCAAACCCCCGTGCCCCACCTCTCGGGGGCGCTCAGGGGGCGCCGAGGTCCCGCTGGCACACCCAGGGGAAGCTGAAGTTGCAGTTGTGGTCGTTCCAGAGCCCCGCGCCCACCGGGTGGATCTGGGCGCAGCTCTCGCCGCCCCAGCGGCCGTGGTCGGTGCTGTCCGGCTGGCCTGGCGCCCAGAAACTGCCCCCGGGGCGGCCGTCAGCGCCGGCACCCCGCCGGATTTAGGGGTAAACCCACGGGATTAGTGGGGTTACCCCGCGGGATTTAGGGGATCAACCTGCTGGGTTAGTGGGGTCATCCCACTGGATTTAGGGGATCAACCTGATGGGTTAGTGGGGTCACCCCGCCGGATTTAGGGGTCAACCCGCGGGATTAGTGGGGTCATCCCGTGGGATTAGTGGGGTCACCCCGTGGGATTTAGGGCATCATCCCATGGGATTTAGGGGATTAACCTGATGGGTTAGTGGGGTCATCCCGCAGGATTTAGGGAATCATCCCATTTGGTTTAGGGGATCAACCTGCTGGGTTAGTGGGGTCATCCCACTGGATTTAAGGGATCAACCTGATGGGTTAGTGGGGTCATCCCGCAGGATTTAGGGCATCATCCCACCGGGATTAGTGGGGTCATCCCACTGGGTTTAAGGGATCAACCTTCTGGGTTAGTGGGGTCATCCCACTGGATTAGTGGGGTCATCCCGCTGGGTTAGTGGCATCACCCCATTGGGTTTAGGGGATCTTCCCACTGGGTTAATGGGATGGTCCCATCTGGTTTAGGGGATCTGAGCCCCATGGATTTAGGGGATTATCCCACTGGATTTAGGGGATCATCCCAGTGGATTTGGGGCCGATGAACCCTCTGGATAAGAGGGATCATCCTACAGGATGGGAGGAATCATCCCACTGATTTCTGGGGGATTGAACCTGCTCAGCGCTCGGGGACAGCTGTGTCCCCAGATGTCCCCAGGTGTCCCCAGGTGTCCCCAGGTGTCCCCACCCCGCTCACCTGTGCTCGGGGGAATAGGGGGTCCCGTCTGACCAGCGCCAGGAGCGCCCCGGGCCCGTGGCTGCCAGCCCGATCCAGTAGGTGCCACCTCGGGCCTCCCGCGCCAGGTAGGCCTGGGGACACGGGGACAGGTGAGGGGACAGGGGAGGGGACACGGGGACACGGGGACAGGTGAGGGGACAGGGGAGGGGACAGGGGAGGGGACACAGGGACAGGTGAGGGGGTCAGGAGGACAGGGGAGGGGACATGGGGACATGTGAGGGGAAACAGGGACAGGTGAGGGGACACGGGGAGGGGAGGGGACATGGGACAGGGGAGGGGACAGGTGAGGGGACACGGTGATGGGTGAGGGGACATGGGGACATGGGGACAGGTAAGGGGACATCGGGACAGGGGAGGAGACACGGGAATGGGGAACAGGGGAACAGATGGGATAGGGTGGGAAGGGGGACGTGGATAGGGGGACAGGGGAGGGGACACGGGGATGGGGGAGGGGACACGGTGACAGGGGAGGGGACATGGGAGGGGACACAGGGACAGGTGAGGGGGTCAGGAGGACAGGGGAGGGGACATGGGAACAGGTGAGGGGACACGGGGACAGGTGAGGGGACACGGGGATGGGGGGAGGGGACATGGGACAGGTGAAGGGATTTGGGGACATGGGGACAGGGGAGGGGACACGGGGATGGGGGACGGGACAGGGGAAGGGACAGTGGAATGGGGGACAGGGGAACAGATGGGATGGGGTGGGAAGGGGGACATGGATAGGGGGACAGGAGAGGGGACACGGGGACAGGTGAGGGGACACAGGGACAGGTGAGGGGATGGGGGGGACAGCGGAATGGGGGACAGGGGAACAGGTAGGATGGGGTGAAAGGAGGACATGGGTGGGGGGGACAAGTGAGACAGAGGAGGGGACACGGGACAGTGTGGCAGGGGACACCGGGACAGGTGGGGGGACGTTGGAAGGGGTGGGCAGGAGGGTGTGAGGGTAGGAGGGGTGGGGGACAATGGTTGGGGACAGGGGCACAGGACGGGGCTTGGGGACAGGGGTTGTGAGCAGGGGTTGGGGACAGGATTTGGGGACAAGACAGGGTTTGGGGACAGGGTCTGTGCATGGGATTTGGGGACGGGACAGGATTTGGGGACAGGGGCTGTGTGCAGGATTTGGGGACAGGATTTGGGGACAGGACAGGGTTTGGTGAAAGGATTTGGGGACAGGGGCTGTGAGCAGGATTTAGGGACAGGATCTGGGGATAGGACAGGATTTGGGGACAATATAACTCTACAAAGGTCTGTGCCCAGGATTTGGGGACAGGGGCTGTGCATGGGATTTGGGGACGGGACAGGTGTTGGGGGCAGGATTTGGGGACAGGGGCTGTCTGCAGGATTTGGGGACAGGATTTGGGGACAGGACAGAGTTTGGGGACAGGGGCTGTGAGCAGGATTTGGGGACAGGGCAGGGTTTGGTGAAAGGATTTGGGGACAGGAAAGAATTTGGGGACAGGGGCTGTGAGCAGGATTTGGGGACAGGGCAGGGTTTGGTAAAAGGATTTGGGGACAGGACAGGATTTGGGGACAGGGGCTGTGAGCAGGATTTAGGGACAGGATCTGGGGATAGGACAGGATTTGGGGACAACACAACTTTACAAAGGTCTGTGCCCAGGATTTGGGGACAGGGGCTGTGCGTGGGATTTGAGGATGGGACAGGTGTTAGGGGCAGGATTTGGGGACAGAGGCTGTGAGCAGGATTTGGGGACAGGATTTGGGGACAGGACAGAGTTTGGGGACAGGGGCTGTGAGCAGGATTTGGGGACAGGACAGGATTTGGGGACAGAGGCTGTGTGCAGGATTTGGGGATGGGATTTGGGGACAGGGCAGGGTTTGGTGAACGGATTTGGGGACAGGAAAGAATTTGGGGACAGGGGCTGTGAGCAGGATTTGGGGACAGGATTTGGGGACAGGACTGGATTTGGGGACAGGATCTGGGGATAGGACAGGATTTGGGGACAACACAACTCTACAAAGGTCTGTGCCCAGGATTTGGGGACAGGGGCTGTGTGCAGGGTTTGGGGACAGGACAGGTGTTGGGGACAGGATTTGGGGACGGAGGCTGTGAGCAGGATTTGGGGACAGGATCTGGGGACAGGGGCTGTGAGCAGGATTTGGGGACAAGACAGGATTTGGGGACAGGACAGAGTTTGGGGACAGGAGCTGTGTGCAGGATTTGGGGACAGGATTTGGGGACAGGGCAGGATTTGGGGACAGGGGCTGTGAGCAGGATTTGGTGACAGGACAGGATTTGGGAACCGGCCCCTACAGGTGCCCAGGCAGACGCTGCTCAGGTGGGAGGGGACAGAGCAGGACAGGACAGGCGTGGCCGTCCCCGGGGGTGTCCCCAGCCTCACCTGCTCCTCGGCGCTGGTGACAGAGGCCAGGTGCGCGTGTGTCACCGCGCAGGCGGCCGCGGCCGCGGCCCAGGGCTGCCGCTGCACCGAGAACAGGTAAATCTTGCCGCGGTGGTAGCGCCAGCCCAGCGCCAGCCCCTGCAGCCACTGCCCTGTGCGGGGACACGGCGACACTGCTGTCACACCCCTGTCACACCCTTGTCACCGCCTTTGTCGCCTCCCCCCCCCCCCCCGTCACCCACCGAGCCGGTCCTGCCGCCGCTGCGCCGCTGAAGGGATGCGACCTGTGGGGACACGGGGACAGGGACAGGAGTGGGGTTTGGGGACAGGGGACACGGGCTGGGGACAGGGCTGGGGACAGAATTTGTGGGCAGGGGCTGGGGACAGGAGCTGGAACAGAGTTTGGGGGCAGGGACTGCGGGCTGGGGACAGTTTGGGGACAGGGGCTGAGTGCAGGATTTGGGGACATGGGACAGGATTTAGGGACAGGGGCTCAGAAGAGGATTTGGTGACATGGGACAGGATTTGGGGACAAGACAGGATTTGGGGACAGGGGCTGTGAACAGGATTTGGGGACACGGAACAGGATTTGGGGACACGGAACAGGATTTGGGGACAGGGCCTCAGAAGAGGATTTGGTGACATGGGACAGGGTTTGGGGACAGGACAGGGTTTGGGGACAGGGTTTGGGGACAAGACAGGATTTGGGGACAGGGGCTCAGAAGAAGATTTGGGGACAGGGGACAGGATTTGGGGGGGGGGCTGTGAACAGGATTTGGGGACAGGGGACAGGGTTTGGGGGGGGGTTGTGAACAGGATTTGGGGACACGGGACAGGATTTGGGGACAGGGGCTCAGAAGAGTATTTGGTGACATGGGACAGGGTTTGGGGACAGGATTTGGGGACACAGGACAGGATTTAGGGACAGGGGCTCAGAAGAGGATTTGGTGACACAGGACAGGGTTTGGGGACAGGATTTGGGGACAGGACAGGATTTGGGGACAGGACAGGGTTTGGGGACAGGGTTTGGGGACAGGAGAGGATTTGGGAACAGGGGTTGTGAACAGGATTTGGGGACATGGGACAGGATTTGGGGACAGGGGCTGTGAACAGGATTTGGGGACAGGAGAGGATTTGGGAACAGGGGTTGTGAACAGGATTTGGGGACACGGGACAGGGTTTGGGGACAGGACAGAGGCTGGGGACAGAACGGGAGCTGGGAACAGGGGCTGTCCATGGCATTTGGGGACAGCGGCTGCAGGCAGGGTTTGGGGACAGGGCCTGGTGACAGGTTGGGGACAGTGCCCGTGCCGGGGGTCCCTCACCGTTGGGGTCGGGGCCCAGGGGGTCGGTGGCCGCTGCCAGCTCCGCCCGCGCCTCCTGCAGCTCCCGCTGGCTCTGCGCGTCTTGGGGGGGGGGACAGGGGAGTGACGGGACCCCCGACCCTGCACGGGGTCCCTGCCCGGGGTCCCTGTCCCCTTCTGACCCCATCCGAGGTCCCTGTCCCCTGCCCGGGGTCCCTGTCCCCTCCTGACCCTACCCGGGACCCCCCAACTCCTCCCGACCCAGAGACCCCCGCCCCAGCCCGGCCTGGCCGTGCCCATTTTGGGGTGGGGACAGCGCCGGGAGGGGACCCCCGACCCATGCCCGGGGACCCCCGGCCACTCCCTGCCCGTGCCCGGAGCCCCCTGCCCGCTCCCAACCCCATCCTCGTCTCCCACCCAGCCCCCTCCCCACTCCCAACCCCTCTCCGGATCCCAGCCCCCTCCCCAAACTCCAGCCCCACTCCCAACCCCTCTCCCAACCCTTTCCCAGCCCCCTCCCCATTCCCAGCCCTTTTCCAACCCCTCTCCGACCCCCAGACCCTCTCCCAACCCCTCCCCAAACCCCAGCCCCTCTTCCAGCCCTTTTCCCAGCCCCATCCCAACCCCTCTCCCTCTTCCATCCCCTCCCAACACCTCTCGCAGCCCCTCCCCAAACCCCAACACCTTCCTATCCCCCCCTCCCCAGCCCCTCCCCATTCCCAGCCTCTCTCCAGCCTCTTCCAGCCTCATTCCCAAACCCTCTCCCTTTTCCATCCCCTCCTAGAAGCCTTCCCGGCCCCTTTTCCCAAACCCCAGCCCCTGTTCCCAAACCCCAGCCCCTTTTCCCAAACCCCAGCCCCTTTTCCCAAACCCCACCCCTTTCCCAACTTTTCCCAAACCCCAGCCCTTTCCCAAACCCTCTCCCATTCCCGGTCCCTCTCCAGCCTCTTCCAACCCCTTTCCCAGCCCCTCTCCAAATCCCAGCCCCTTTCCCAACTTTTCCCAAACCCCAGCGCCTTTCCCAGCCCCTTTCCCAACTTTTCCCAAACCCCTGCCCCTTTCCCAGCCCCTTTCCCAACTTTTCCCAAACCCCAGCGCCTTTCCCAACTTTTCCCAACTTTTCCCAAACCCCAGCCCCTTTCCCAGCCCCTTTCCCAACTTTTCCCAAACCCCAGCCCCTTTCCCAGCCCCTTTCCCAGCTTTTCCCAAACCCCAACCCCTTTCCCAGCCCCTTTTCCATCTTTTCCCAAACCCCAGCCCCTTTCCCAGCCCCTTTCCCATTTTTTTCCAAATCCCCGCCCCTTTCCCAACTTTTCCCAAACCCCAGCCATTTCCCAGCCCCCTTCCCAACTTTTCCCAAATCCCAGCCCATTTTCCAACCCCTTTCCCAACTTTTCCCAAACCCCAGCCCCTTTCCCAACTTTTCCCAAACCCCAGCGCCTTTTCCAGCCCCTTTCCCAACTTTTCCCAAATTCCAGCCCCTTTCCCACCCCTTCCCGCCCGTGGCTGTCCCCTCTGTCCCCACTCACAGAGTGTCCCCAGCGCCGCCAGGGCCGCCACCAGCAGCAGCAGCGCGGCCGTGCCCAGCGCCCGGCGACACGCGCGACACCGCGGGGACAGCGCGGGTGGCGGCGGCCCGGGGTCCCCGCGGGCCCGGGGGGGCGGGTACCGGATCTCCAGGGTCTCGTACAGGTCGGGGCTGTTGGCCATGGCCCCGGCGACACGCTGGGGACAGGGACGGTGCTGGCCCCGCTTCCTGCTCCGTGCCAGCCGGGGGAACAGGAACCCCGCTGATGCCACCCGCCCGGCGTCACGCGTGTCCCCACGCCCCCAGGGGACAGCCAGCCCGCCCTGGGGACGGGCAGGGGGTGAGGGGCTGGAGCCCGCGGCCAGCCCTGTGTCCCTGTGTGTCCCTGTGTGTCCCTGGTCCTGTCCTCGTCCTTGTCCCTGTCCCCAGTCCTGACACTGGCACTGGACTGGTCCCTGAGTCTGTCCCTGGTCCTGTCCCCATCCTTGTTCCTGTTCCTGACCCTGGCACTGGACTGGTCCCTGTCCCCGAGTCTGTCCCTGATCCAGTGACAGGGGCAGGACTGGGGACAGGGACAAGGATGGGGACAGGATCAGACAGGGTCAGTTCCCATCCTTGTCCCTGATCCTGTCCCCATCCTTATCCCTGTCCCCTGTCATTGGACTGGCTCCTGTCCCTGAGTCTGTCCCTGATCCTGTCCCCATCCTTGTCCTCCACTGTGTCCCCAATCCTGTCCTTGTCCCTGACTGTCCCTGATCCTGTCCCACGTTTGTCCCTGTCCTTGTCCCTGTGTCCCTTGTCCCTGTCCCCTGTCCTGACCCTGTCACTGGACTTGTCCCTGTGTCTGTCCCTGTCTTTCCCTCTCCTTGTCCTTGTCCCTGTCCCCAACCCTGATCCTGCCACTGAACTTGTCCCTGCCTGACCCTGATCCTGTCCCCATCCTTGTCCCTGTCCCCAGTCCTGACCCTGTCACTGGACTTGCCCCTGTCCCTGATCCTGTCCCTCTCCTTGTCCCTGTCCCTGTCCCCAGCCCTGTTCCTGCCACTGAACTTGTCCCTGATCCTGTCCCCATCCTTGTCCCTGATCGTGTCCCCATCCTTGTCCCTGATCGTGTCCCCAGTCCTGTCCTTGTCCCTGACTCTGTCCCTGTCTGATCCTGTCCCCATCCTTGTCCTTGTCCCCAGTCAGGACTCTGTCACTGGACTGGTCCTTGTCCCTGAGCTTGTCCCTGATCCTGTCCCCATCTTTGTCCCTGATCGTGTCCCCAGTCCTTGTCCCTGTCTGATCCTGTCCCCATCCTTATCCCTGTCCCCTGTCATTGGACTGGTTCCTGTCCCCGAGTCTGTCCCTGATCCAGTGACAGGGTCAGGAGTGGGGACAGGGACAAGGATGGGGACAGGATCAGGGACAGGCAGGGATGAGGATGGGAACTGACTCTGTCCTTTTCTGATCCTGTCCCCATCCTTGTCCCTGTCCCTTGTCATTGGACTTGTCCCTGTCCCTGTTACTGACCTTGTCCCAGTCACTGTCCCAGATCCTGAGCTTGTCCCAGTCCCTCTGTCCCCAGCCTCGTCCCCGTGTCCCTCTGTCCCCATGTCCCTCTGTCCCTGTGTCCCTAAATCCCTCTGTCCCTCTGTCCCCGTGTCCCTCTGTCCCCGTGTCCCTGTCCCCACTTCACTCACTTCTCCCACCCTCAGACACCGAAATCTCAGACAAATCCCGGAATCCCAATGGGCCAGTGACCCCAAACTGGCCAAATTCACCCCAAAATTGTGTGAATTCAAACTGGGCCTGGACACCGCAAAATGGGGAAAATTCACCCCAAAAATAGATCCAGTCACCCCAAAAGGGGGAAAATTCACCCCAAAATCGGGTGAGTTCAAACTGGGCATGGACACTGAAAAATGGAGAAAATTCACCCCAAAATGGGAAAAATTCACCCCAAACAGAGAAAATTCACCCCAAAAATGGATCTGGTCATCCCAAAACTGGGAAAATTCACCCCAAAATGGGAAAAATTCACCCTAAAAATGGATTCTGTCACCCCAAAACAAGGAAAATTCACCCCAAAATTGTGTGAGTTTAAACTGGGCATGGACACCACAGAATTGAGCAAATTCACCCTAAAGCTGGGAAAATTCACCTAAAAATGGGGGAAATTCACCCCAAAATGGGAAAATCCCCCCAAAAAGGGAAAATTCTCCCCAAAAATGGATCCAGTCGCCCCAAAATGGGGAAAATTCACCCCAAACTTGCCAAATTCACCCCAAAATTGGATGAATTCAAATTAGTCATGGGCATCCCCAAATGGGGAAAATTCACCCCAAACAGGGAAAATTCACCCCAAAACTGGGGAAATTCACCCCAAAAATGGATCTGGTATCCCCAAAATGGGGAAAATTCACCCCAAATGGGGAAATTTATCCAAAAAATTGATCTGGTCACTCCAAAATGGGGAAAATTCATCCCAAAACTGGGAAAATACACCACAAATGGGGAAAGTATATCCCAAAGGGGAAAAAATCATCCCAAAATGGGGAAAATTCACCATAAAACTGGGAAAATTCACTACAAAAATGTATCCAGTCACACCAAACTGGCCAAATTCACCCCAAAATGGGGTAAATTCATCCCAAACTGAGAAAATTCATCCCAAAACTGGGCAAATTCACCCCAAAATTGGATCTGGTCACCCCAATATGGGGAAAATTCACTCTAAAATGGGAACAAATGCATTGCAAATGGGGAAAATGCACCCCAAATGGGAAAAATTCATCCCAAAATGGAGAAAATTCACCCCAAGAATGGATCCGATCTCCTGAAAATGGGGGAAATTCATCCCAAAACTGGGAAAATCCACCCCAAGAATGGATCCGATCTGAAAATGGGGGAAATTCATCCCAAAACTGAGGAAATTCACCCCAAAACTGAGGAAATTCACCCCAAAACTGAGAAAATTCACCACAAAACTGAGAAAATTCACCCCAAAACTGAGAAAATTCACCACAAAACTGAGAAAATTCACTCCACAACTGAACAAATTCACCTCAAACGTGGAAAAGTCACCCCAAAACTGAACAAATCCACCCCAAACCGACCCCTTGAAGATTCCGGGATTGTTGGGTTGACGCTTCTCGCCAACTCCATCATCCCAGAACGGTTTGGGTTGGTTAAAAAACCACAAAAAAACCCCAAACCCTCAAATTTGGGCTGGAATTCCGGGATTTTTCCCCTTCTCCCGTGGAATTCCCACGGGTTTGGGGACAGGGGGACATCGGGGGGTGGCGGTGGCACCGGGGGTGACTCAGGCCGGACGTTCCCCAATATCCGGGGCCGCGGGAATGGGGAAGGAAACGGGAATTGCGCAAGGCGGGGATGGGGACGGGGGTTGGGGTGAATTTGTTCATTTTGGGGTGAATTTTCCCAGTTTGGGGTGAATTTTCCCAATTTGGGGTGAATTTTCCCAATTTGGGGTGAATTTGTTCAGTTTCGAGGTGACTGGACCCAGTTTGGGGTGAATGGATCCAGTTCTGGGGTGAATTTGTTCATTTTGGGGTGAATTTTCCCAGTTTGGGGTGAATTTTCCCAGTTTGGGGTGAATTTTCCCAATTTGGGGGGAATTTGTTCAGTTTTGGGGTGACTGGACCCAGTTTGGGGTGAATGGATCCAGTTCTGGGGTGAATTTGTTCAGTTCTGGGGTGAATTTTCCCAATCTGGGCTGAATTTGTTCAGTTTTGGGATGAATTTGTTCATTTTGGGGTGAATTTTCCCAGTTTGGGGTGAATTTTCCCAATTTGGGGTGAATTTTCCCAATTTGGGGTGAATTTGTTCAGTTTCGAGGTGACTGGACCCAGTTTGGGGCGAATGGATCCAGTTCTGGGGTGAATTTGTTCAGTTCTGGGGTGAATTTTCCCAATTTGGGGTGAATTTGTTCAGTTTGGGGTGAATTTTCCCAATTTGGGGTGAATTTGTTCAGTTTCGAGGTGACTGGACCCAGTTTGGGGTGAATGGATCCAGTTCTGGGGTGAATTTGTTCAGTTCTGGGGTGAATTTTCCCAATCTGGGGTGAATTTGTTCTGTTTTGGGATGAATTTGTTCAGTTTTGGGGTAAATTTTCCCAATCTGGGGTGAATTTGTTCTGTTTTGGGATGAATTTGTTCAGTTTGGGTGAATTTCCCCAATCTGGGGTAAATTTGTTCAGTTTTGGGGTGAATTTTCCCAGTTTGGGTTGAATTTTCCAAATTTGGGGTGAATTTGTTCAGTTTTGAGGCAAATTTGTTCAGTTTTGGGGTGAATTTTTCCAGTTTGAGGTGAATTTTCCCAATTTGGGGTGAATTTTCCCAGTTTGGGGTGAATTTTCCCAATTTGGGGTGAATTTGTTCAGTTTCGGGGTGACTGGACCCAGTTTGGGGTGAATGGATCCAGTTCTGGGGTGAATTTGTTCAGTTCTGGGGTGAATTTTCCCTGTTTGGGGTGAATTTGTTCTGTTTTGGGATGAATTTGTTCAGTTCGGGTGAATTTTCCCAGTTTGAGGCGAATTTGTTCAGTTTTGGGGTGAATTTTCCCAGTTTGGGTTGAATTTTCCCAATTTGGGGAGAATTTGTTCTGTTTTGAGGCAAATTTGTTCAGTTTGGGGGTGAATTTTCCCAGTTTGGGGTGAATTTTCCCAGTTTGGGGTGAATTTCCCCAATTTGGGGTGAATTTGTTCAGTTTCGAGGTGACTGGACCCAGTTTGGGGCGAATGGATCCAGTTCTGGGGTGAATTTGTTCAGTTCTGGGGTGAATTTTCCCAATCTGGGGTGAATTTGTTCTGTTTTGGGATGAATTTGTTCAGTTTGGGTGAATTTTTCCTGTTTGGGGCAAATTTGTTCAGTTTTGGGGTGAATTTTCCCAGTTTGGGTTGAATTTTCCCAGTTTGGGGTGAATTTCCCCAATTTGGGGTGAATTTGTTCAGTTTCGAGGTGACCGGACCCAGTTTGGGGCGAATGGATCCAGTTCTGGGGTGAATTTGTTCAGTTCTGGGGTGAATTTTCCCAATCTGGGGTGAATTTGTTCTGTTTTGGGATGAATTTGTTCAGTTTGGGTGAATTTTTCCTGTTTGGGGCAAATTTGTTCAGTTTTGGGGTGAATTTTCCCAGTTTGGGTTGAATTTTCCCAATTTGGGGAGAATTTGTTCAGTTTTGAGGCAAATTTGTTCAGTTTTGGGGTGAATTTTTCCAGTTTGGGGTGAATTCGTTCAGTTTTGGGGTGAATTTTCCCAGTTTGGGTTGAATTTTCCCAATTTGGGGAGAATTTGTTCAGTTTTGAGGCAAATTTGTTCAGTTTTGGGGTGAATTTTTCCAGTTTGAGGTGAATTTTCCCAATTTGGGGTGAATTTGTTCAGTTTGGGGTGAATTTTCCCAATTTGGGGTGAATTTGTTCAGTTTCGGGGTGACTGGACCCAGTTTGGGGTGAATGGATCCAGTTCTGGGGAGAATTTGTTCAGTTCTGGGGTGAATTTTCCCAATCTGGGGTGAATTTTTTCAGTTTTGGGATGAATTTGTTCAGTTTTGGGGTGAATTTTCCCAGTTTGGGTTGAATTTTCCCAATTTGGGGAGAATTTGTTCTGTTTTGAGGCAAATTTGTTCAGTTTTGGGGTGAATTTTTTCCGTTTGAGGTGAATTTTCCCAATTTGGGGTGAATTTGTTCAGTTTGGGGTGAATTTTCACAATTTGGGGTGAATTTGTTCAGTTTCGGGGTGACTGGACCCAGTTTGGGGTGAATGGATCCAGTTTTGGGGTGAATTTTCCCTGTTTTGGGATGATTTTCCCCAGTTTGGTGTGAATTTTCCCAGTTTTGGGTGAATTTGTCCAGTTTTGGTGTGAATTTTCCCAGTTTGGAGTGATTTTGTTCAGTTTTGGGGTGAATTTTCCCAGTTTGGAGTGAATTTGTCCAGTTTTGGGGTGCCTGGACCCATTTTGGGGTGACTGGACTGAGTTTTGGGATTAATTTTTCCAGTTTGGGGAATTTCCACAGTTTGAGGTAACCTGACCCAATTTGGGGGTAAATGTATCCATTTTTGGGGTCAATTTTCCCGGTTTTGGGATTAATTTTCCCAGTTTTGGTGTGAATTTTCCCAGTTTTGGGATGGTTTTTCTGAGGTTTGGGGCCAATTTTCCCAGTTTGGGCTGAATTTTCCCAGTTTTGGGGTGATCAGACCCAGTTTGTGGTGACTGGATCCACTTTTTGGGATGAATTTGCCAAGTTTTGGGGTGAATTTGCTCACTTTGGGGTGTCTCTGCCCAGTTTAGGGCAAATTCACCCAGTTTGGAGCGAATTTGGCCGGTTCTGGGGTTCAGCGGCCAGTTTTGGGGTGAATTCTCCCGTTTTGGGATATCAGTGCCCAGTTTGGGGTTTTCTGTGCCCATTTCTGGACATTGGGATGGACACATGGAGGGATGGACACTGGGGTGGACAGATGGACACTGGGGTGGACAGATGGACACTGGGATGGACAAATGGACACTGGGATGGACACTGGGGTGGACAAATGGATGTTGGGATGGACACTGGGATGGACATTGGGGTGGACAAATGGACACTGGGGTGGACACCGGGTTGGACACCGGGATGGACAAATGGACACTGGGATGGACATTGGGGTGGACAAACGGATCTTGGGATGGACAAATGGACATTGGGGTGGACAAATGGATGTTGGGATGGACAAATGGACACTGGGGTGGACACTGGGGTGGAGACTGGGATGGACACTGGCATGGACAAATGGACACTGGGATGGACATTGGGGTGGACAAATGGATGTTGGGATGGACAAATGGACACTGGGGTGGAAACATGGATGTTGGGATGGACACTTGGATGGATACTGGGGTGGACACATGGATGGACACATGGATGCTGGGATGGACAAATGGACACTGGGGTGGACACTGGGGTGGACAAATGGACATCGGGGTGGACAAATGGACACTGAGAAAGACACTGGGGTGGACAAACGGATGTTGCAATGGACACATGAACATTGGGATGGACACTGATATGGCCAAATGGACACTGGGATGCACGGACGGATGGACACTGGGATGGACAGATGGACACTGGAACTGATGGGTGCATGGAGGGATGGACGCACATGGAGATGGACAGGGAGACAAAAGGATGGACACTGGGATGGACGGAGGGATGGATGGGTGGATGGACAGATGGACACTGGGATGGACAGATGGATGGGTGGATGGACAGATGGACACTGGGCTGGATGGAGGTGTGCACAGATGATGTTGGGATGGACACCGGGATGGATGGACACCAGGACAGACAGACGGACACTGGCATGGATGGGGACAGGGATGGATGGACGCCAGGATGGACACAGGGATGGACAGATGGACACCAGGATGGACACGGGGGTGGACGAGGACATGGACAGGTGGAACCCCTGGGACCTTTTTGGGGTCACCCCGGGGTGTCCCTGGGGACACATTGGGGTCACTTTGTGCCATGCCCCACACCCATTTGGGGTCACCCCGGGATGTCCCTGGGGATGGTTTGGGGTATCCCTGGGGACACTTTGGGGTCACTTTGTGTCACCTCTGGTATACCCATTTGGGGTCACCCTGAGGACACATTGGGGTCACTTTGTGCCATCCCCGGCACCCATTTGGGGTCACCCTGAGGTGTCCCTGGGGATGGTTTGGGGTATCCCTGGGGACACTTTGGGGTCTCTCCCGCGGGTCTCTCCCGGGGGTCTCTCCTGTGGGTCCCTCCCTGGGGTCTCTCGCGGGGGTCCCTCCCGTGGGTCCCTCCCGTGGGTCTCTCCCGGGGGTTTCTCCCGGGGGTCCCTCCAGAGGGTCTCTCCCGTGGGTCTCTCCCGGGGGTTTCTCCCGGGGGTCCCTCCCGGGAATCCCTCCCGTGGGTCCCTCCCGGGGGTCCCTCACGCGGGGGTCCCTCCCGGGGGTCCCTCCCGTGGGTCTCTCCCGGGGGTCTCTCCCGGGGGTCTCTCCCGTGGGTCTCTCCCGGGGATCTCTCCCAGGGGTCTCTCCCGGGGGTCCCTCCCGGGGGTCCCTCCCGGGGGTCTCTCCCGGGGGTCTCTCCCGGGGGTCTCTCCTTGGGGTCTCTCCTTGGGGTCTCTCGCGGGGGTCCCTCCCTGGGGTCTCTCCCGGGGGTCTCTCCCGGGGGTCTCTCTCGGGGGTCTCTCCCGGGGGTCTCTCCTTGGGGTCTCTCGCGGGGGTCCCTCCCTGGGGTCTCTCCCGGGGGTCTCTCCCGGGGGTCTCTCTCGGGGGTCTCTCCCGGGGGTCTCTCCCGGGGGTCCCTCCCGGGGGTCCCTCCCGGGGGTCTCTCCCGGGTGTCCCTCCCGGGGGTCTCCCCTCGGGGTGCCCGGCGCCCCCCGCGCTGCGCGGGGAGGGACCGCTCCTCCCCGGAATGATGTCAGCCTGGCCGGCCGCGGCCCCCGCCTCCCCCGGCGGCTCCGGCCCTGCCTCCCCGGGGAGGCGGCGGCGGCGGCGGCGGCGGTACCGGGATGGCCCGGGCCGGTACGGCGGCGGCAGCGGCGGGGCGGCGGCAGCGAGCGCTGCTGCTGCTCATGGTGCTGCTGCCCGAGCCGGGCCACCGGAGCCGGGCCGGGGGGCGGCGGAGGCGGCGGGGAGAAGGCGGTGATGGCGTTGCCGGGACCCCCGGGCCGCCCCCCGTTCGCCCGTTGCTGCTGCTGCTGCCGCTGCCGCCGCCGCCGCCGCTGCCTCCGCCCCGCAACGCCGCCGCCGCCCGCCCGGTAACGGAACCGAGAGCCCCCGCCCCCACCGGGCCCCCCTCCCCCGGCTGCCTCCACTCCTCCCCTGCGCCTCGGCCCTCCCCCCTTCTCTCCCTCCCTCCATCCCTCCGGTGCCGCGCTCCATCCCTCCTCCGAGCCTCCCTCCATCCCTCCCCCGAGCCTTCCTCCGGCCCTCCTCTCCCTCCTTCCATCCCTCCCTCCATCCTTCTACTCCTCCTCCGGGCCTCCCTCCCTCCCTCCACTCCTCTGAGCCTTCCTCCTTCCCTCCCTCCTTCCTCCCCATCCCTCCCTCCACTCCTCCCTCCCTCCCTCCCTCTCCCCCCGCGCCTCTCCCCTCCCCTTCCCCTCCCCTCCCTCGGCTCCGGGGCTCCTCCAGCTCCAACTTCTCGGGCTCTGCCCCCTCCCGCCCCCTCCTCCATCCCCCCGAACCCCCCCGGAGCCTCCCCTCCCTCTCCCTCCCTCCCTCTCCCTCCCTCTCCCTCCGCAGATGCCGCTTCCCCGGCGGTCGGGACGGCGGCCCCCGGCACCTGCCCGGTGCTGAGCGCGGGGCTGGGGGGGCTTGGGGGGGGGATTCCGGGGGTCCCCCTGAGCCCCCGGGGATGTTCTCGGTGCAGGAGGCGCTGCCCCGGGGGGGGGTCCCCCTGAAGGAGGAGCCGCTGAGCGCGGGGCTCCCCGCCGGCCGCTGGCTGCAGGGCACCGGCATCCTTGATGCCAGCGCGGCGGCGCAGAGGTAAGGGGACAGCCCGGGGACAGCTCGGGGACAGCTCGGGGACAGCTTGGGGACACATTTGGGACAGATTTGGGACGATCCGGGGACAGCCCGGCGGATCTGGGGGTTGCGGGATGGATGCAACCCGAGCTCCGCGGGGTATCCCGAGGGTCGGTGTGGGTATCCCGAGGGTCGGTGTGGGCATCCCGAGGTCGGTGTGGGTATCCCGAGGGTCCCTGTGGGCATCCCGAGGTCGGTGTGGGTATCCCGAGGGTCCCTGTGGGTATCCCGAGGGTCCGTGTGGGTATCCCGAGGGTCCGTGTGGGTATCCCGAGGGTCCCTGTGGGTATCCCGAGGGTCCGTGTGGGTATCCCGAGGGTCCGTGTGGGTATCCCGAGGTCCGTGTGGGTATCCCGGTATCCACGGGAATTCCAGGGGCTGTGGGCATGCCAGGGGCTGTGGGCATGCCAGGGGCTGTGGGTATCCCAAATTCCACGGGCATCCTGGGCTCTGCAGAGATCCCAAATTCCATGGGCATCCCGGGCTCCGTGGGCATCCCAAATTCCACGGGCATCCAAGGCTCCGTGGGCATCCCAAATTCCATGGGCATCCCAAATTCCATGGGCATCCTGGGCTTCGTGGGCATCCCAAATTCCACGGGCATCCCTGGCTCCGTGGGCACCCCAAATTCCACGGGCATCCATGGCTCCGTGGGCATCCCAAATTCCATGGGCATCCCAAATTCCACGGGCATCCCGAGCTCTGCAGAGATCCCAAATTCCACGGGCATCCCGGGCTCCATGGGCATCCCAAATTCCACGGGCATCCCGAGCTCCGTGGGCATCTCAAATTCCACGGGCATCCCGGGCTCCGTGGGCATCCCAAATTCCACGGGCATCCCAAATTCCACGGGCATCCCGGGCTCCGTGGGCATCCCAAATTCCACGGGCATCCCGAGCTCTGCAGCCCTCCCGGGCACTGCGGGCATTCCAGGGGCTGTGGGCATCCTGGATTTTGGGAGTGTTCCGGGATCCACGGGAATTCCAGGTCCTGTGGGCATCAGCTGTGGGAATTCCAGGATATTCCATGCCCCGTGGGCACCCTGGGCACCGTGGGCATTCTTGGCTCCTGGGTCCCACGGGCTCCAGGGGCATCCCAAGATGTGCCCCGCATTTTTCCTGGCATTTCTCGGGCCTCTGGATGCCCTTTCCCGGTGCTCTGGGCATCCCGGGATCCCGGTGGGTTTCAGCTGCCAGGGGTTTGTGCCACCGGGAATGGGATCTGTGCCCATCCCTGCCTTTTTTGGGGGGCTCCAATCCCATTCCTGCCTTTTTTGGGGGGGCTCAAATCCCATTCCTGCCTTTTCCGGGGGGCTCAAATCCCATTCCTGCCTTTTCTGGGGGGCTCAAATCCCATTCCTGCCTTTTTTGGGGGACCTCAAATCCCATTCCCTGCCCTTTTGGGGACCTCAAATCCCATTCCTGCCTTTTCTGGGGGGCTCAAATCCCATTCCTTGACCTTTTTGGGGTTTCAAATCCCATTCCCTGCCTTTTTGGGGGGCTCAAATCCCATTCCTGCCTTTTTTGGGGGGCTCAAATCCCATTCCTGCCTTTTTTGGGGGGCTCAAATCCCATTCCTGCCTTTTTTGGGGGGGGCTCAAATCCCATTCCTGCCTTTTCTGGGGGGCTCAAATCCCATTCCTGCCTTTTTTGGGGGGCTCAAATCTCATTCCCTGCCCTCCTGGGGACCTCAAATCCCATTCCTGCCTTTTTTTGGGGGCTCAAATCCCATTCCTACATTTTTGGGGGGGGCTCAAATCCCATTCCTGTCTTTTCCAGGGGGTTTAAATCCAATTCCTTGCTCTTTTGGGGGGCTCAAATCCCATTCCCTGCCCTCCTGGGGACCTCAAATCCCATTCCCTGCTCTTTTGGGGGGGCTCAAATCCCATTCCCTGCCTTTTTTGGGGGTCTCAAATCCTATTCCCTGCCCTTTTGGGGTCTCAAATCCCATTCCTGCCTTTTTTGGGGGGCTCAAATCTCATTCCCTGCCCTCCTGGGGACCTCAAATCCCATTCCTGCCTTTTTTGGGGACCTCAAATCCCATTCCTTGCTGTTTTGGGGGGGCTCTAATCCTATTCCCTGTGCTCCTGGAGACCTCAAATCTCATTCCCTGTCCTACTGGGGGGCTCAGATCCCATTCCTGCCCTTTTTGGGGTCCCAAATCCCATTCCTGCCTTTTCCGGGGGTCTCAAATCCCATTCCTGCCTTTTTGGGGTCTAAAATCCCATTCCTGCCCTTTTGGGGTCTCAAATCCCATTCCCTGTCTTTTTTGGGGTCTCAAATCCCATTCCTGCCCTTTTTGGGGTCTCAAATCCCATTCCTGCCCTTTTTGGGGGTCTCAAATCCCATTCCTGCCCTTTTTGGGGGTCTCAAATCCCATTCCTGCCCTTTTTGGGGTCTCAAATCCCATTCCATGCCCTTTTGGGGTCTCAAATCCCATTCCCTGCCCTCCCTCACTGTCCCCTCTCCCCGTCCCTCTCTCCCCCCTGTGCCCAGAGGGGTCAGTGCCACCCGTGTCCCCTGTCCTGCTGTCCCCTCTGCCGTGTTTGGGGTGTCCCCAAGCGGTCATGGCCTCTCCCTGGGGTCCCCCCAAAACTTCGGGATGCTGGAAAACCTCAGGGAACACCCCCAAAGGGACCCCAGCGCGGCCACCAGCGTGGTGACAGCCACCCCCGGGGTGACAATGTGACACAGCTGTGACACAGTGCCAGGCTGGGGTTCCCAGGGAGGTGCTGGCGTTGTCCCTGTGTCCCCAAAAGCTCCCCGGGACAGAGTGACACAGCGGGGGTGGCAGCGGTGACATGGATGTCACCCAGCCGAGCCCTGGGCAGTTCGTGGTGTCCCCTCCCGCCCTCCTTGTGCCACCCTGGTGGCATCTGGGTGTGTGCCACCACGCCTGGGGACACCTGGCTGGGGTGGGGGGTGTCTTACCGCGTGTCCCCAATGCCACCGCAGTGTCCCCAAGGGGTTGGCACCGTGACCCTCTAAACCTCCCACGGCGCGCGTGTCCCCGCGATGTCCCCAAGGACCTGCAGGTGTCCCCGCGGTGGGGTGGGGGTCCCCAAACCCCCCGAACCCCCCCCCGGGGCCGCCACCGCTTTCCTGGAAGCGCCGGGGCCGCGGCTGCTTGGAAATGCTTGATTGCCTTTAATAATTAATTAACGCGGCGGGCGGGGCTGGCAGCGCCCGGGGGACACGGCGGGGGACAGCGGCGACAGCCAGAGCCACCCCCCGCCTGTCACCGGGGCGGTTTTGGGGGCGCGGAGGGGAATTTTGGGGGTTGGAAGGAGCTGCGGGTGACGCTGTCCCGTTGTAGGGGGGGGACAGTGAGGGGACAGAGGTGTCCCCGCGGGGGTGGGACCCTGAGGGGACAAGGGACACGCCGCGGTGGCCGCGGCAGGTGTGGGGACATGGTGTGACCCGTTTGTGGTGGCCACGCACAGGTGTTGTCACCTTGCCAGGTGACCCTGGGGACAGTTCGGGACCCCGCCCGTGACCCTGGGGACAGTTTGGGACCCCGCCCGTGTCCCTGGGGACAGTTTGGGACCCTCGAGGGTGTCCCTGGGGACAATTTGGGACCCCGCGGGTGACCCTGGGGACAGTTTGGGACCCCGCCTGTGACCCTGGGGACAATTTGGGACCCCGCCCGTGTCCCTGGGGACAGTTTGGGACCCTGCGGGTGACCCTGGGGACAGTTTGGGATCCCGCGGGTGTCCCTGGGGACAGTTTGGGACCCCGCCCGTGTCCCTGGGGACAGTTTGGGACCCCGCGGGTGACCCTGGGGACAGTTTGGGACCCTGCCCGTGTTCCTGGGGACAATTTGGGACCCCGCGGGTGTCCCTGGGGACAATTTGGGACCCCGCGGGTGACCCTGGGGACAATTTGGGACCCCGCGGGTGACCCTGGGGACAATTTGGGACCCCGCCCGTGTCCCTGGGGACAGTTTGGGACCCCGCGGGTGACCCTGGGGACAATTTGGGACCCCACCCGTGTCCCTGGGGACAGTTTGGGGACCCCGGGGAGCAGCTGAAGGAGTTTTTCCTCTGGGAAATGTCCCCAGAGTGTCGCCAAAGTGGGGACACGGTGACAGTGGCGGGGATTGTGCTGGAGTCTCCGAAGTGGCTCTGCTGTCACCGCGGGTGTCGGGGCAGGGACAGTAGCGGTGACAGCGGCGAGCCCGGAGGTGGCACTGAGGGATGGCAGCGCGGGGAGGGCTCAGGGATGTCCCCTCTGTGTCCCCTCGTGTCCCCGATGTCTGGGCAGGGTGTCCCCATCGGTGTCCCCTACCCGGGACAGGGAGGGTCCCACCGAGGGGGTGCTGGGGACAGACCGGTGGTGGCCTTAGGGACAGACTGGTGGCCCTGGGATGGAGTCCTGGGGGTCTTGGGGACAGGCTGGTGGTGGCCTTGGGGACAGGCTGGTGGTGGCCTTGGGGACAGGCTGGTGGCCCTGAGGACAGGCTGGTGGCCTTGGGGACAGGGTCCTGGGGGTTTTGGGGACAGGCTGGTGGCCCTGAGGACAGGTTGGTGGCCTTGCAGATGGGGTCCTGGGGGTCTTGGGGACAGGCTGGTGGCCCTGGGATGGAGTCCTGGGGGTCTTGGGGACAGGCTGGTGGCCTTGGGGACAGGCTGGTGGCCTTGAGGACAGGCTGGTGGCCTTGGGGACAGGCTGGTGGCCTTAGGGACGGACTGGTGGCCCTGGGATGGAGTCCTGGGGGTTTTGGGGACAGGCTGGTGGCCTTGGGGACAGGCTGGTGGCCCTGAGGACAGGCTGGTGGCCCTGGGGACAGGGTCCTGGGGGTCTTGGGGACAGGCTGGTGGCCTTGGGGACAGGCTGGTGACCCTGAGGACAGGTTGGTGGCGTTGTGGATGGGGTCCTGGGGGTCTTGGGGACAGGCTGGTGGCCTTGGGGACAGGGTCCTGGGCGTCTTGGGGACAGGGTCGTGGGGGTCTTGGGGACAGGCTGGTGGCCTTGGGGACAGGCTGGTGGCCTTGCAGATGGGGTCCTGGGGGTCTTGGGGACAGGCTGGTGGCTGGAGGGACGGGGTCCTGGGCATCTTGGGGACAGGCTGGTGGCCTTGGGGACAGGCTGGTGGCCCTGGGGACAGTCTGGTGGCCTTGGGGATGGAATCCTTGTGGCCTTGGGGACAGGCTGGTGGCCTTGGGGACAGGGCCCTGGGCATCTTGGGGACAGGCTGGTGGCCCTGGGATGGAGTCCTGGTGGCCTTAGGGACAGGCTGGTGGCCTTGGGGACAGGCTGGTGGCCTTGGGGACAGGGTCCTTGGGGTCTTGGGGACAGGCTGGTGGCCTTGGGGATGGAGTCCTGGTGGCCTTGGGGACAGGCTGGTGGCCCTGAGGACAGGCTGGTGGCCCTGGGGATGGAATCCTGGTGGCCTTGGGGACAGTCTGGTGGCCCTGGGGATGGAATCCTGGTGGCCTTAGGGACAGGCTGGTGGCCTTGGGGACAGGGTGCTGTGGGTTTTGGGGGTGCCAGGCCAGGGTGCCGGGGGTCCCAAGGACCGGATTTTGGGATTTGGGGATATTGGGATTTGGGGATTTTGGGATTCTGGGGACATCGTGCTGGGGGTCCCACGGAGGAAGGTCTGGGGGTCCCGGTGCTGAGGTTTTGGGGGTCCCAGTATTGGGGTCACGGGGGGGTCCCCAGGATGGGGCGCTGGTGTCCCATGGAGGAGATTTTGGGGGTCCTGGGGTGAATTTCTGAGTGTCCTGGTAATGGGGTGCTGTGGGGTCCCCAAACTTTGGGTTCTAGGGGATGGGAATCCTGGTAATGGGGTGCTGGGGTGTTGGTGTTCCCTGGTTTTGGGGTTCCTGGTAATGGGGTGCTGGGGTGTTGGTGTTCCATGGTTTTGGGGTTCCTGGTAATGGGGTGCTGGGGGTCCCTGTGCCAGAGTTTTGGGGCTCCCAAGGATTTGGGTTCTTGGGGATGGGGATCCAGGGATGGGGTGCTGAAGGTCCCGGTGTTGGGGTTCCCCTGGATGGGGTTTTGGGGGTTCTGGGGCTGGGGATCCCCAGGATTGGGGTTCTGGTGCTGGAGATCCCCAGGATTTGGGGTCTTGGGGATGGGGATCTCCAGGACTGGGGTTCCTTGGGATAGGGATCCCCAGGATTTGGGTTATTGGGGACGGGGATCCCCAAGATTTGGGTTCCTGGTCCTGGGGATCCCCAGGATGGGTTTTGTTTGGTACAGGGATCCCCAAGATTTGGGATCTTGGTGCTGTGGGTCCTCAGGGTTGGAGTTCTTTGGGATGGGGATCCCCAGGATTTGGGTTCTTTGGGACGGGGATTCCCAGGATTTGGGATCTCAGTGCTGGAGATCCCAAGGATGGGTTTTTTTTGGGACAGGGATCCCCAAGATTTGGGTTCCCGGTGCTGGGGATGCCCAGGGTTGGGGTTCTGGTGCTGGGGATCTCCAGGATTGGGGTTTTCAGGGATGAGCATCCCCAGGATTTGGGTTCCTGGTGCTGTGGGTCCCCAGGGTTGGAGTTCTTTGGGATGGGGATCTCCAAGATTTGGGTTCCCGGTGCTGGGGGTACCCAGGGTTGGGGTTCTTTGGGACGGGGATCCCCAAGATTTGGGTTCTCGGGAATGGGGATCTCCAGGATTTGGGTTCCCGGTGCTGGGAATCCCCAGGATTTGGGTTCTTTGGGATGGGGATCCCCAGCGTTGGGGTTTTCAGGCATGGAGATCCCCAGGATTTGGGTTCCTGGTGATGGGGATCTACAGGACTGGGGTTGTCAGGGATGAGCATCCCCAGGATTTGGGATCTTGGTGCTGTGGGTCCTCAGGGCTGGAGTTCTTTGGGATGGGGATCCCCAGGATTTGGGTTCTTTGGGACGGGGATCCCCAAGATTTGGGTTCTCGGGAATGGGGATCCCCAGGATATGGGATCTCAGTGCTGGAGATCCCACGGATGGGGTTTTTTTGGGACAGGGATCCCCAAGATTTGTGTTCTCGGGAATGGGGATTCCCAGTATTTGGGATCTCGGTGCTGGAGATCCCAAGGATGGTTTTTTTGGGACAGGGATCCCCATGATTTGGGTTCTTTGGGATGGGGATCCCCAAGATTTGGGTTCTCGGGAATGGGGATCCCCAGGATTTGGGTTCTCGGGAATGGGGATCCCCAGGATTTGGGATCTCGGTGCCGGGGTTGTGGCCGTGGCGCTGTGGTGGCTGTCCCCACACCGTGGCCTGTCGCAGCGGGGTGTCGCTGGCCCGCGCTCACTTCGAGAAGCAGCCGCCGGCCAACCTGCGCAAGTCCAACTTCTTCCACTTCGTGCTGGCCATGTACGACCGCCAGGGCCAGCCCGTGGAGGTGGAGCGCACCTGCTTCATCGACTTCGTGGAGAAGGAGCGGGTGAGAAACCCCAAAAAAACCCCCAAAAACACCCCAAAAACCACCCCAAAGCCACCCCAAAACCACTCCAAGACCACCCCAAAAAAACCCCAAAACCACCCCAAAACCACCCCAAAAACCACCCCAAAACCACCCCAAAAACCACCCCAAAACCACCCCAAAACCACCCCAAAACCACCCCAAAAACCACCTCAAAACCACCCCAAAAACCACCCCAAAACCACCCCAAAACCACCCCAAAAACCACCCAAAAACCACCCCAAAAACCACCCCAAAACCACCCCAAAACCACCCCAAAACCACCCGAAATTCACCCCAAAAACCACCCCAAAAACCACCCCAAAAAAACCCCGAAAACCACCCGAAAACCACCCCAAAAAAACCCCAAAACCACCCCAAAAACCACCCCAAAACCACCCCAAAACCACCCCAAAAAACCCCAAAAACCACCCCAAAACCCACCCCAAAAACCACCCCAAAACCACCCAAAAACCACCCCAAAACCACCCCAAAAAAACCCCAAAACCACCCCAAAAACACCCCAAAACCACCCCAAAAACCACCCCAAAACCACCCCAAAACCACCCCAAAAACCACCTCAAAAAAACCCCAAAACCACCCCAAAAACCACCCCAAAAACCACCCCACAACCACCCCAAAAACCACCCCAAAACCACCCCAGAAACCACCCCAAAAACCACCCCAAAACCACCCCAAAACCACTCCAAAAACACCCCGTAAAACCACCCCAAAAAAACCCCAAAACCACCCCAAAACCACCCCAAAAACCAGTCCAAAACCACCCCAAAACCACCCCAAAAAAACCCCAAAACCACCCCAAAAAAACCCCAAAACCACCCCAAAACCACCCCAAAAACAACCCCGAAAACCACCCCAAAAAACCCCCAAAACCACCCCAAAACCACCCCCAAAAAAACCCCAAAAATCACTCCAGAACCACCCCAAAACCACCCCAAAACCACCCCAAAACCACCCCAAAACCACCCCAAAAACCACCCCAAAACCACCCCAAAACCACCCCAAAACCACCCCAAAACCACCCCAAAACCATCCCAAAACCACACCAAAAAAACCCAAAACCACCCCAAAAACCACCCCAAAAAAACCCAAAACCACCCCAAAAACCACCCCAAAAAAACCCCAAAACCACCCCAAAACCACCCCAAAACCACCCCAAAAACCACCCCAAAACCACCCCAAAAACCACCCCAAAAAAACCCCAAAACCATCCCAAAAACCACCCCAAAAACCACCCCAAACCACCCCAAAAACCACCCCAAAACCACCCCAAAACCACCCCAAAACCACCCCAAAAACCACCCCAAAAAAACCCCAAAACCACCCCAAAACCACCCCAAAAACCACCCCAAAAAAACCCCAAAACCATCCCAAAAACCACCCCAAAAACCACCCCAAAACCACCCCAAAAACCACCCCAAAAAAAAACCCAAAACCCACCCCAAAACCACCCCAAAAACCACCCCAAAACCACCCCAAAAACCACGCCAAAACCACCCCAAAACCACCCCAAAACCACCCCAAAAACCACCCCTAAACCACCCCAAAACCACCCCAGAAACCACCCCAAAACCACCCCAAAAACCACCCCTAAACCACCCCAAAACCACCCCAAAAACCACCCCAAAAAACCCCCCAAAAACCACCCCAAAACCACTCCAAAAGAACCCCCAAAACCACCCCAAAAACCACCCCAAAACCACCCCAAAACCACCCCAAAAAAACTCCAATAACCACCCCAAAACCACCCCAAAAAAAACCCAAAACCACCCCAAAAAGAACCCAAAAAACCACCCCAAAACCACCCCAAAACCACCCCAAAAACCACCCCTAAACCACCCCAAAACCACCCCAAAACCACCCCAAAACCACCCCAAAACCACCCCAAAAAAACCCCAAAACCACCCCAAAACCACCCAAAAACCACCCCAAAACCACCCCAAAAACCACCCCAAAACCACCCCAAAAACCACCCCAAAACCACCCCAAAACCACCCCAAAAAAACCCCAAAACCACCCCAAAAACCACCCCAAATACCACCCCAAAACCACCCCAAAAAAACCCCCCAAAACCACCCCAAAAAAAACTCCAAAACCACCCCAAAACCACCCCAAAAAAACCCCAAAACCACCCAAAAACCACCCCAAAAAAAACCCCAAACCACCCCAAAACCACCCCAAAAAAACCCCCCAAAACCACCCCAAAAAAACCCCCAAAACCACTCCAAAACCACCCCCAAAAAAACCCCAAAACCACCCCAAAACCACCCCAAAAACCACCCCAAAACCACCCCAAAAACCACCCCAAAAACCACCCCAAAACCACCCCAAAACCACCCCAAAACCACCCCAAAAAAACCCCAAAACCACCCCAAAACCACCCCAAAACCACCCCAAAAACCACCCCAAAACCACCCCAAAAAAAACCCAAAACCACCCCAAAACCACCCCCAAACCACCCCAAAAACCACCCCAAAACCAACCCCAAAAACCCCCCCAAACCCACCCCCAAACCCCCCCCCAACCCACCCCCAAACCAACCCCAACAACCACCCCAAAACCACCCCCAAACCCCCCCCCAAACCCCCCCAAAACCAACCCCAAAAACCACCCCAAAACCACCCCAAAACCAACCCCAAAAACCACCCCAAAACCACCCCAAAACCACCCCAAAACCACCCCAAAAACCACCCCAAAAAACCCCAAAACCACCCCAAAACCACCCCAAAACCCACCCCAAAACCACCCCAAAAACCACGTAGCGGGGCGGGGCAGCCGTGGCACGAGTGGCCCCAAGGTGGGGTGGGAGGGACACGGAGTGACCAGGAGGGGACACGGAGTGACCAGGAGGGGACACGGTGTGACCAGGAGGGGACATGGAATGACCAAGACGGGACACGGAGTGACCAGGAGGGGACACAGAGTGACCAGGAGGGGACACGGAATGACCAGGAGGGGACACAGAGTGACCAAGAGGGGACACAGAGTGACCAGGAGGGGACACAGAGTGACCAGGAGGTGACACGGAGTGACCAACTGACCCCTGACCATGAATTTTGTCCCCCCAAGGAGCAGAACGGGGAGAAAACCAACAACGGGATCCACTACCGGCTGCAGCTGCTCTACAGCAACGGTGGGCGCGGGGTTTTGGGGGTTCCGGGTGGCTTTTGGGGTGTCCCCAAGGGGAGGTGACAATCGGGGTGACCCCTCTGTTGTCCCCGCAGGGCTCCGGACCGAGCAGGATTTGTACGTCCGCCTCATTGACTCCATGTCCAAGCAGGTACCGAGACCCCAAATCCCACCCGAGGGGAACATCTGGATGTCGCTGCGGCCACATCTGGGCGGGGCGGGGCCAGGGAGGTGGCGCAGGTGACAGGGCTCGGCAGCGCCTCCCCGGTGCCACCCCGGTGTCGCCGCTGTCCCCTCGGTGTCCCCTCCAGGCCATCATTTACGAGGGGCAGGACAAGAACCCCGAGATGTGCCGGGTGCTGCTGACCCACGAGATCATGTGCAGGTGGGTTTGGGACAGCTCGGGGGGTGACACGGGTGTCCCCAAGGTCCCTTCAGGGCCCGCTGGTGGTGCCGTGCTAATTAACCAGCAGAGCCAGCGTCGCTAATTAACCCCGCGACAGCGGACAGGCCACCCCCGGCGTCCCCCGCTCGTGGTTGGGGACTGCGGCTGGCCCTGCTATGTCCCCTGGGGGTGACACGGAGCCCTGGGGTGGGTCCCCAACCCCTTCAGAGCCACCCAGGGGTGACACGGAGTCCCCAGGACCCCCAAATCTGTCCCCAACCCCATAAAGGGGTGGAAAAGTGACACCCCTGAGTGTCCCCTCCCGGGTGTCCCCTCTGTCGCCACCCCTGAGTGATGGGACACGGGGACCTGGCGCGTCCCCCCGCGGCGTTTGGGGGTCCCTCAGGCCTCGCTGATGTCACCTGCTGTCCCCTGATGTCACCTGCTGTCCCCGTGTCCAGCCGCTGCTGTGACAAGAAGAGCTGCGGGAACCGCAACGAGACCCCCTCGGACCCCGTCATCATCGACAGGTGCTGGGGACACTGGGGACATTGGGGACATCGGGGGACACTGGGGACATTGGGGACATCGGGGGACGTTGGGGACGCTGGGGACATCGGGAGACCTCATGGCCACCTGGAGGGGGTGGCAGCCACCGGCGGTGTCCCCAGGCTTGGGGACATGATGCTGATGAGCCAAGGGACAGCACAGGGAGCTCGGGGTGTCCCCAGGGGGTGACAGCAGTGACAGATGTCACATCAATAATGGAGGTGGCACTGGCACGCTGGGGACATCCCAGAGTGGCCGTGTCCCCGTCCCTGAGGCCACCGTGGTCCCTCTGTCCCTGTCCCCACCGGGGTCCTCTTGCCTGTCCTGGTGTCACCTCCCTGGTGCCCCCAAGCCAAGCCCAGGGTTGTCACTTGTCACGTTGTCACTGCCACTGTCCCCAACCCCCATCCCCATCACTTCTTGGGGGTGTCACCCACTTCCAGGAGCGTCCCCAACTTGTCCCCTCAGCCTCAGGACTTTTGGGGTGTCCCCAGTCCCCCCTCCCTTTTCTCAAGACTTCTGTGGGTCACCAGTTCCAGGAGTGTCCCCAACTTGTCCCCTCAGCCCCAGGACTTTTGGGGTGTCCCCTGTCCCTATTCACAACACTTTTGGGGTGTCCCCTGTCCCCATCCCTGTCACTTTTGGGGTGTCCCAAACCCCCAAACCCACCCCAGGTCTTTCGGGGTGTCCCCAGCCCCCTGTCCCCAGGACTTTTGGGGTGTCCCCTGTCCCCATCCGCGTCGCTTTCGGGGTGTCCCCTGTCCCCATCCCTGTCACTTTTGGGGTGTCCCCAACCCACCCCAGGACTTTTGGGGTGTCCCCTGTCCCTGTCCTCAGGACTTTTGGGGTGTCCCCTGTCCCCATCCCCGTTACTTTTGGGGTGTCCCCAGCCCACCCCAGGACTTTCAGGGTGTCCCCTGTCCCCATCCCCAGGATTTTTGTGTTGTCCCCTGTCCCCATCCTCAGGACTTTCGGGGTGTCCCCTGTCCCCATCCCTGTCACTTTTGGGGTGTCCCAAACCCCGAAACCCACCCCAGGACTTTCGGGGTGTCCCCAGCCCCCTGTCCCCATCACTTTCGGGGTGTCCCCTGTCCTCATCCCCAGGACTTTTGGGTTGTCCCCTGTCCCCATCCCTGTCATTTTTGGGGTGCCCCCAAACTGCCTCTGGGCTTTTGGGGTGTCCCCTGTCCCCATCCCCAGGATTTTTGGGTTGTCCCCTGTCCTCATCCCCAGGACTTTTGGGGTGTCCCCTGTCCCCTGTCCCCATCACTTTCGGGGTGTCCCCAACCCACCCCAGGACTTGTGGGGTGTCCCCTGTCCCCATCCGCGTCACTTTTGGGGTGTCCCAAACCCCCAAACCCACCCCACGACTTTTGGGGTGTCCCCAGCCCCCCGTCCCCATCACTTTCGGGGTGTCCCCAACCCACCCCAGGACTTTCGGGGTGTCCCCTGTCCCCATCCCCATCGCTTTCTGGGTGTCCCCTGTCCCCATCCCCGTCACTTTCTGGGTGTCCCCTGTCCCCATCCCCGTCACTTTCGGGGTGTCCCCTGTCCCCATCCCCAGGATTTTTGGGTTGTCCCCTGTCCCCATCCGCGTCACTTTTGGGGTGTCCCAAACCCCCAAACCCACCCCACGACTTTCGGGGTGTCCCCAACCCCCTGTCCCCATTCCCATCCCTTTCGGGGTGTCCCCTGTCCCCATCCCTGCCACTTTCGGGGTGTCCCCAACCCCCAACCCACCCCATCACTTTCGGGGTGTCCCCAGCCCCCTGTCCCCATCACTTTCGGGGTGTCCCCTGTTCCCATCCCCATCACTTTCGGGGTGTCCCCTTTCCCCATCCCTGTCACTTTCGGGGTGTCCCCATCCCTTTCGGGGGTCACACAGGGCCAGCCGTGTCCCCATCCCTCCGCGGGGCCCCCCCTGTCCCCCGTGTCGCCGTGTCCCCCCCCGGGCCAGCCCCGCTGCTTTGAGAGCGCGCTAAGTGCCCCTCTCGCGGCGTTAATCAAATTACCCGGCAGCGAAAATTGACGCTTCTCATTAATTAGCCACGATTATGCTAATTGCGCATTCAAATTTATGCGCCGCGAGCAGAAGGTGCTCGGCAGCGGCGCCGGGCATTTGCATATTCAATGGTAATTAGCCATGCTAATTAATGCGCCGGCCCCGTATTTTTAACTCGCGGGGGTTCAGCCCCAGCCCCCCTACCTGGGGCTGGGATTTGGGGGATTTAGGGGGGATTTTGTGGGGTGTTTTTGGAGGGGTTTGGGGTCCCCCCCCGGCCGCGCTGTGCCGGGGATGGCGGGGCTGTTTTCGGGGTGGTTTTTGGGGTGTTTTCCGGCGGTTTTGGGGCGTTTTCCCGGCGTTTTCCAGCCCCTCCCTTGCCCTAAATACCACCCGCGGGGCGGGAATGGGATTATGGGAATGTGGGGAATGGGGGGACCCCCCCACACCTTTTCCTGTGTTGTCCCATAAGGTGGGACCCCCTTTCTGTGGGGTCGGGACCCCCTCAGTGTAAGATCCCTCTTAGTGGGGTCCCCCTTTTCTATGGGGTCCTAGAAATGAGACCCCTTTTTTTGGGACTCCCTTTTTGTGGGATCCCCCTTTACACGGGGACCACCTTTCTATGGGATCCCCCTTTTCCATGGGATCCTCTAAATGAGACCCCTTTTTGTGGGATGCCCCTTTTTGTGGGATCCCCCTTTTCCATGGGATCCTCTAAATGAGACCCCTTTTTGTGGGATCCCGTTTTGTGGGATCCCCTTTTTGTGGGACCCCCCTTTCTGCGGGATCCCTCTTTTTTTGGGATCTCCCCATTCCATGGGATCCTCTCTCCTTTTGCCCCCTCCTTCCATGGGATCTGCTTTTTGTGGGATCCCCCTTTCCATGGGATCTGCTTTTTGTGGGATCCCCCTTTCCATGGGATCCCCTTTTTGTGGGATTCTATTCCCTGGGACCCCCTTTCCATGGGATCCTGCCCTCCATGGCAGCTCCTTTTTATGGGATCCCTTTCTGTGGGGTCCCCTCATTCAGGAGATCCCTTTCTTGTGGGATCCCCGGGAATCTTTTCTCTGGGATCCCCTTTTTGTGGGATTTCCTCTCCCTGAGAGCCCTTTTCCATGGGATCCCCTTTTTCTAGGACCTCCTTTTGTGGGATCCCCTTTCCATGTAACCCTTTTTTTGTGGGACCCCATTTTTTTGGGATCCCCTTTCCATGTAAACCCTTTTTTTGTGGGACCCCATTTTTTTGGGATCCCCTTTCCATATAACCCCTTTTTTGTGGGATCCCCATTCCCTGGGACCCTTTTTTTGGGGGATCCCCCTTCCCTGGAAACCTTTTTTTTTGTGGGATCCCCTTTTTTTTGTGGGATCCCCTTTTTTTTGTGGGATCCCCTTTTTTTTTGTGGGATCCCCTTTTTTTTGCGGGATTTGCCATTCCCTGGAATCCTCCTCCATGTCCCCCCAGCCTGACCCAGGGGTGACCCCACTTGGGGTCCCGCAGATGTCCCCAAACCCCCGTGTGACCCCAGGGATGGGCCCGGGGGTCCCAATGTTCCCAGGGATCCCGGTGTCACCTCCAGCGGGATGGGGACAGGGTGGGACACTGGGATGGGGAATTTGGGATGGGGACACTGGGATGGGGACAGGATGGGACACTGGGATGAGGAAACTGAGATGGTGACACTGGGATGGGGACAGGGTGGGACACTGGGATGGGGACACCGTGATGGGGACACTGGGATGGGATGGGACACTGGGATGGGAACAGGGTGGGACACTGGGATGGGGACAGGGAGGGACACTGGGAATGGGAAATTAGGATGGGGACACTGGGATGGGGACACTGGAATGGGGACAGGGTGGGACACTGGGATGGGATGGGGACAGGGTGGGACACCGGGATGAGGACATTGGGATGAGGAAACTGAGATGGCGACACTGGGATGGGGACAGGGTGGGACACTGGAATGGGAACACTGGGATGGGGACACTGGGATGGGGACAGGGTGGGACATTGGGATGAGGACACTGGGATGGGGACAGGGTGGGACATTGGGATGGGGACACTGGGATGGGGACACTGGGATGGGAACCTGTGTGTCCCCCACCCCATTGTCCCTAACAGCGTCACTAGTGCCACAGCAGGGGGGACATTGGGATGGGGACACTGGGATGGGGACAGAGAAGGACAGAGGGGTGGGGACAGGGTGACATTGTGGGATGGGGACAAGAAGGGACAGCTGGATGGGGACAGTGGATAGGGACAAGATGGGGACACTGGGGTGGGGACGGGGTGGAACAGTGGGATGGGGACAGTGGAAGAGGGACAAGAGGGGACATTTGGATGGGGACAGAGCAGGACAGGGATGGGGACAACGGGATGGAGACAGGATGGGGACACCAGAGTGGGGATGGGGAAAAGGGACAGCAGAACAGGGACAGAATGGGACATTGGGATGGGGACAGGATGGGGACACTGGGATGGGGACAATGATGGGGTGGTGACAAGAAGGGACAGGATGGGACAACGGGATGGGGACACCAGGATGGGGACACTGGGATGGGGACAGAATGAGACATTGGGATGGGGACAGTGGGATGGGGACAATGATGGGGTGGTGACAAGAAGGGACAGCAGAGCAGGAACAGAATGGGACATTGGCATGGGGACACTGGGATGGGGACAGGATGGGGACACCAAGATGGAGATGGGGGACAATGATGGGGTGGTGACAAGAAGGGACAGGATGGGGACACTGGGATGGGGACACTGGGATGGGGACAGAATGGGACATTGGGATGGGGTCACTGGGATGGGGACAGAATGGGACATTGGGATGGGGACACTGGGATGGGGACAGGATGGGACATTGGGATGGGGACACTGGGATGGGGACAGGATGGGGACACCAAGATGGAGATGGGGACAATGATGGGGTGGTGACAGGATGGGGACACTTGGGATGGGGACACTGGGATGGGGACAGAATGGGACATTGGGATGGGGACAATGATGGGGTGGTGACAAGAAGGGACAGGATGGGACAATGGGATGGGGACATCAGGATGGGGACACTGGGATGGAGACAGAATGGGACATTGGGATGGGGACACTGGGATGGGGACAGGATGGGGACACCAAGATGGAGATGGGGACAAGGATGGGGTGGTGACAAGAAGGGACAGGATGGGGACACCAGGATGGGGACAAAATGGGGACACTGGGATGGGGACAATGGTGGGGTGGTGACAAGAAGGGACAGGATGGGGACACTGGGATGGGGACAACGGGATGGGGATGAGGACAATGGGATGGGGACAACGATGGGATGGTGACAAGAAGGGCCACCAGAACAGGGACAGGATGGGGACACCGGGATTGGGGACACCATGGGGACACCTTTGTCCCCTTTTTTTTTACCCCATTCCAGGTTTTTCCTCAAGTTTTTCCTCAAGTGCAACCAGAACTGCCTGAAAAACGCCGGGAACCCGCGGGACATGCGGCGCTTCCAGGTGACACTTGGGGACATCACCACGAGGGTGGAGGGGACACCAAAAAGGGGTTCAGGTGACCCCAAAAAGATTCTCCAAAGGGGTCGAGGAGAATTGGGGACTCGATTCCCCCCGTTCGGGGGGAATCGAGTCCCCAATTCTCCTCGACCCCTTTGAAAATCCCAAATCCGTCACCACCCTATAAAAGGTGACACTTCCAGGTGGCATTTGGGGGCATCATGGAGAAAATCCCAAAAAGGGGTTCAGGAGACCCCAAAAAGATTCCCCAAAGGAGTTGAGTGGAATCGAGTCCCCAGTTCCCATAGATTCCTTTGAAAAATCCTAAATTTACCGCCAGCCTAAAAAATGATCGCCACCCTATACAAAACCCCCAATTTTGACCCCAAAAACAGGTGCAGGGGACCCCAAAAAGATTCCCCAAAGGAGCTGAGTGGAATCGAGTCCCCCGTTCCTATAGATTCCTTTGAAAAATCCTAAATTTACCGCCAGCCTAAAAAATGATCGCCACCCTATATGAAACCCCAAATTTTGACCCCAAAAAGTGGTGCAGGGGACCCCAAAAAGATTCCCCAAAGGGATTGAGGGGAATTGAGTCCCCAATTCCCATAGATACCTTTAAATAATCCTAAATTTACTGCCACCCTAAAAATCCGTCGCCACCCTATAAAAGGCGACACTTCCAGGTGACGTTTGGGGACATCATGGAGAAAATCCCAAAAAGGGGTTCAGGAGACCCCAAAAAGATTCCCCAAAGGGATTGAGGGGAATTGAGTCCCCAGTTTCCATAGATACCTTTAAAAAATCCTAAATTTACCGCCAGCCTAAAAAATGATCGCCACCCTATATGAAACCCCAAATTTTGACCCCAAAAAGGGGTGCAGGGGACCCCAAAAACATTTCCCAAAGGGATTGAGGGGAATTGAGTCCCCAATTTCCATAGATTGCTTTGAAAAATCCTAAATTTACCGCCAGCCTAAAAAATGATCTCCACCCTATAAAAAACCCCAAATTTTGACCCCAAAAAGGGGGGGTGAGGTACAGGCAACCCCAAAAAGATTCCCCAAAGGGGTCGAGGGGAATTGGGGACTCGATTTCGGGGGGAATCGAGGGCCCAATTCCCCTCGACCCCTTTGGAAAAAAAATCCCAAATTTACCGCCGCCCTAAAAAAATCCACCGCCACCCTATAAAAAAACCCCAAATCCGGCTTGAAAACCCTAAAATCTCCGCCCCCACCCCTCAACCCTCCCCCCCCCTCGGTCGCAGCTGGGTCCTGGCCCCCCCCGAAGTTCATCAGGGCTCCGTAACGAGATGTTAATTATGACATTTCGGTGATTAACGACCCCATTTGCATCGCGGCATCGGCGGCGGGAGAGCGGCGGGGAAAAGGGGGGGAGGGTTTGTAGGATTAGGGGGGGACGGGAATTGGGGGGGCAGTTCCCTTTTAGGGGATGGGGGACTGGGGGTGGTCCTAAAAGGGGTTTTGGGGTCTTGTGGAGGGGGTCCGAGGGGGCCTCAAGGGGGTTTGGGGTCCTCTGGGGGAATTTGGGGGATTTGGGATGGTTCTAAAAGGGGTTTGGGGTCCTCTGGGGGGAGTTTGGGGGACTGGGGGTGGCCCTAAAAGGGGTTTGGGGTCTTCTGGATGGGTCCTGAGGGGGCCTCAGGGGGTTTTGGGTCCCCTAGGGGGGAATTTGGGGCACAAGGAGTGACCCTAAAATGGGTTTGGGGTCCTCTGGGGGGAATTTGGGGGTGACCCTAAAGAGGGTTTGGGGAGCCTTGGGGAGAATTTGGGGGATTTGGGATGGTCCTAAAAGGGATTTAGGGTCCTCTGGGGGAATCTGGGTGACTGGGGGTGGCCCTAAAAGGGATTTGGGGTCTGCTGGATGAGTCCTGAGGGGGCCTCAAGGGGGTTTGGGGTCTTCTGGGGGAATTTGGGGGTGACCCTAAAAGGGGTTTAGGGTTTCCTGTAGGGGTCTCAAGGGGGCCTCAGGGGGGTTTGGGGTCCCCTGGGGGAATTTGGGGCATTTGGGATGGTCCTAAAAGGGGTTTGGGGTCCTCTGGGGGGAGTTTGGGGGACTGGGGGTGGTCCTAAATGGGGTTTGGGGTTTCCTGGAGGGGTCTCAAGGGGGCCTCAGGGGGGTTTGGGGTCCCCTGGGGGAGTTTGGGGGGGCTGGGGGTGGCCCTAAAATGGGTTTGGGGTCCTCTGGGGGGAATTTGGGGGTGGCCATAAAAGTGGTTTGGTGTCCTCTGGGGGAATCTGGGGAACTGGATGTGGCCCTAAAAGGGGTTTGGGGACCCTTGGGGAGAATTTGGGGCACTGGGGGTGACCATAAAAGTGATTTGGGGTCTACTGCGATGTGACAGGGATGGGGACATCATGGGGACATCTTGGGGGCACCACACACAGTGTCCCTGTGATGTGGCAGGGATGGGGACATCATGGGGACATCTTGGGGACACCACACGCAGTGTCCCCGTGATGTGGCAGGGATGGGGACATCATGGGGACATCTTGGGGACACCACCCACAGTGTCCCTGCGATGTGACAGGGATGGGGACATCATGGGGACATCTTGGGGACATCTTGGGGACACCACCCACAGTGTCCCTGCGATGTGACAGGGATGGGGACATCATGGGGACACCACACCCAGTGCCCCTGTGGTGTGCCAGGCCAGGGGACAGCGCGGGGTGACCGTGTCCCTTGTCCCCGCAGGTGGTGGTGTCCACCACGGTGCACGTGGACGGCCACGTCCTGGCCGTGTCCGACAACATGTTCGTCCACAACAACTCCAAGCACGGCCGGCGCGCCCGGCGCCTCGACCCCTCCGAAGGTCAGGGGACACCTGGGGACATCTTGGGGACACGTGTTGGGACGCTGCCAGCATAGCCTGGCATCCCTTGGGATGATCCCCGTGTCCCCACACTGCTGTCCCCAATGTCTGGTGGCCCATCCGTGGGTTCCTCGCCATCTGTGTCACTGTGGCCACCTTGGGGACATCTTGGGGACAAATTTTGGGAGCCCCCAGCTGGGCCTGGCACCTCCAGGGTGATCCCTGTGTCCCCACTTTGCTGTCCCCAAGTGTCCCCATGCAGGTTGGGTGTCCGTGTGTGCTTCTGTTTGTCCCCACCCATGTCACTGTGGTCACATGTGCGTGTCCCCAGCCATGTCCATGTGGCCACCTGTGATTGTCCCCATCTGTGTCCATATGTCTGTCCCCAGCCATGTCCCTGTGGCCACCTGTGTCCCTTCCCAGCCATGTCCATGTCCCTGTGTCCCCATATCTGCTCCCATCCATGTCCCCATGTCCCTGCGGCCACCTGTGTCTGTCCCAGTCCATGTCCGTGTCTGTCCCAGTCCGTGCCCTCGTGTCCCCATCTCTGTCCCCATCCATGTCTGTGCGTCTGTCCCTGCCCATGTCCATGTCCCCATACCTGTCCCTGTGTCCCCATTCCTGTCCCAGTCCACATCCATGTCCCCATGCCTGTCCCCACATCTGTCCCTGCCCATGTCCATGTCCCCGTGTCCCCATGCCTGTCCCCGTGTCTGTCCATGTCTCCATCCATATCCATGTCCCTGTGCCTGTCCCTGTGTCCCCATACCTGTCCCCATGTCTGTCCATGTCCATGTCTCCATCTATATCCATGTCACTATGACTGTCCCTGTGTCCCTGTGCCTGTCCCCGTGTCCCCATGCCTGTCCCCTTTTCCCTGCTCCCACCCCACTGTCCCTGTCCCCTCCACCCCTCTGTGTCCCTGCCATCTCTGTCCCTGTCCCACCCCTCTGTGTCCCTGTCATCGCTGTCCCTGTCCTGCCACCCCTCTGTCCCCACCACCCCTGTCCCCTGCACCCCTCTGTCCCCGCCCTCCCTGTCCCTGTCCCACCCCTCTGTCCCTGCCCTCCCTGTCCCTGTCCCACCCCTCTGTCCCCACCATCGCTGTCCCCTCCACCCCTCTGTGTCCCCACCATTGCTGTCCCTGTCCTGCCACCCCTCTGTGCCTGTCCCCTCCACCCCTCTGTGTCCCTGCCCTCCCTGTCCCACCCCTCTGTGTCCCTGCCATTGCTGTCCCTGTCCTGCCACCCCTCTGTCCCCGCCCTCCTGTCCCTGTCCCACCCCTCTGTCCCCACCACCCCTGTCCCCTGCACCCCGATGTCCCTGCCCTCCCTGTCCCTGTCCCCTCCACCCCTCTGTCCCCGCCACCCCTGTCCCCACCACCCCTCTGTCCCCACCATCTCTGTCCCCGTCCCACCCCTCTGTCCCCACCACCGCTGTCCCCTGCACCCCTGTGTCCCCGCCACCGCTGTCCCTGTCCCACCCCTCTGTCCCCACCATCGCTGTCCCCTGCACCCCTGTGTCCCCGCCACCGCTGTCGCTGTCCCCTCCAGCAGCCACCCCCTGCATCAAGGCCATCAGCCCCAGCGAGGGTTGGACCACGGGCGGTGCCACCGTCATCGTCATCGGGGACAACTTCTTCGATGGCCTCCAGGTGCTCTTCGGCACCGTGCTGGTGTGGAGCGAGGTACGGGCCCGGGGGTGGCTCGGGGACACTCGGGGACACCGCGGGGACACCGCGGGCCGGGCTGAGGCCGTGTCCCCCCCACGCAGCTCATCACCCCCCACGCCATCCGCGTGCAGACCCCCCCCCGCCACATCCCGGGGGTCGTGGAGGTGACATTGTCCTACAAGGCCAAGCACTTCTGCAAGGGCGCCCCGGGACGCTTCGTCTACACCGGTGAGGGACAGCGGGAGTGGGGACAGCGGGGTTGGGGACAGAGGGAGTGGGGACAGCGGGGTTGGGGACAGTGGGATTGGGGACAGTGGGATTGGAGTGGGGACAGCGGGATTGGGGACATGGGGATTGGGGACAGCGGGATTGGGGACAGCGGGAGTGGGGACAGCGGGGTTGGGGACAGCGGGAATGGGGACATGGGGATTCGGGACAGCGGGAATGGGGACAGCGGGATTTGGGAAAGTGGGACTGGAGTGGGGACAGCAGGAATGGGGACATGGGGATTGGGGACATGGGGATTGGGGACAGCGGGATTGGGGACATGGAGATGGGGACATGGGGATTGGGGATATGGGGATTGGGGACAGCGGGATTTGGGACAGCGGGAATGGGGACAGAGAGATTTGGGACAGCGGGACTGGAGTGGGGACAGTGGGAATGGGGACATGGGGAATGGGGACAGCGGGAATGGGGACAGTGGGAATGGGGACAGCGGGAATGGGGACAGCGGGAATGGGGACAGCGGGGTTGGGGACAACGGGATTGGGGACATGGGGATTGGAGTGGGGACAGTGGGAATGGGGACAGCGGGAATGGGGACATGAGGATTGGGGATATGGGGATTGGGGACAGCGGGGTTGGGGACAGTGGGATTGGGGACAGCGGGATTGGGAACAGTGGGATTTGGGACAGCGGGAATGGGGACAGTGGGATTTGGGACAGCGGGAATGGTGACATGGGGATTGGGGACAGCGGGACTGGAGTGGGGACAGTGAGTTGGGACTGGGGACAGTGGGACTGGGGAGATGAGGACTAGGGTGGGGACAGCGAGACTGGGGACAGCAGGATTTGGGACAGCGGGAATGGGGAAAGCGAGACTGGAATGGGGACAGCGGGACTGGGGACAGCAGGACTGGGGACATGAGGAATGGGGACAGTGGGACTGGAGACAGCAGGATTGGGGACAGCAGGATTGGGGTGGGGACATTGGGACTGGGGAGGGGACATTGGGATTGCAGTGGGGACACCTGTGAATGGGATGGAGAAGTGGAGATGGGGGTGGGGACATGGGGAATAGGGTGGGGACATCAGGACTGGGATGGGGACATGGAGATTGGGATTAGAACACCCGGAATTGAGATGGGGACATTGGGAATGGGGTGGGGACATCGGGGTTGAAAAGGGGACACCTGGGAATGGCATGGTGACACCCAGGAATGGGATGGGGACGCTTGGGAACGGGATAGAGAGTCTTGGGATTGGGATAGAGACCTGGGAAGGGGACACATAACCCCATAAAGGGGTAGAGACCCCCAAGATTGGGATGAAGAATCCTGGGAATGGGATGGGGACACCTGGAGTTGGGATGGGGACACCTGGGAATGGGATGGGGACACCTGGGATTGGGATGGGGACACCTGGAGTTGGGATGGGGACACTGGGATTGGGATGGGGACACCTGGAGTTGGGATGGGGACACCTGGAGTTGGGATGGGGACACCTGGAGTTGGGATGGGGACAGCTGGGATTGGGATGGGGACAGCTGGAGTTGGGATGGGGACACCTGGATTGGGATGGGGACACCTGGGATTGGGATGGGGACACCTGGATTGGGATGAGGACACCTGGAGTTGGGATGGGGACACCTGGAGTTGGGATGGGGACACCGGGATTGGGATGGGGACACCTGGAGTTGGGATGGGGACACCGGGATTGGGATGGGGACACCTGGATTGGGATGGGGACACCTGGATTGGGATGGGGGCACCTGGAGTTGGGATGGGGACACCTGGAATTGGGATGGGGACACCTGGGATTGGGATGGGGACACCTGGGATTGGGATGGGGACACCTGGGATTGGGATGGGGACACCTGGGATTGGGATGGGGGCACCTGGGATTGGGATGGGGACACCTGGGATTGGGATGGGGACACCTGGAGTTGGGATGGGGACACCTGGAGTTGGGATGGGGACACTGGGATTGGGCTGGGGACACCTGGGACTGTGTCACACACTCGTGGGATGGGGACACAAACCCCAGGAAAGGAGCACAGACCCCGGGAAGGGGACAGATCCCTTGTGACGGTGACACAGACACCCGGGACAGTGCCCCAGCCCCTTGGGACATGGTGGCAGTGACGGTGACACCGCGGTGTCCCCTGTCCCCAGCCCTGAACGAGCCCACCATCGACTACGGCTTCCAGCGGCTGCAGAAGGTGATCCCGCGGCACCCCGGGGACCCCGAGCGCCTGCCCAAGGTGGGGGACAGTGACACCCCCGGGGACAGGAGGGACACCCCGGGGACACGGGGGTTCCCTGGCAGTGCCCCAGGGGCAAAGGGCAGGGAGGGGGGACAGTTCTTGTGTCCCCCGGGTATGGCAGGGCTTGGGGCAGGGAGGGACAGAGGTGGGGGGTTTGGGGACACAGGGGGGGACATGGGGGGGGTCACTGAGGAGTCAGAATGGGGACATGAGGGGGTCATTTGGGACACAGGGGGGAACACAAGGGGGACACAGGGGACACAGGGGGGTCACTGGGGACACAGATGGGACAGGGGGGGGACACAGAATGGGGACACAGGGGGGACACAGGGGGGTCATTTGGGGACACAGAATGGGGACACAGGGGGGACACAGGGGGGTCATTGGGGACACAGAATGGGGACACAGGGGGGACACGGGGGGGTCATTTGGGACACAGAATGGGGACACAGGGGGACCATAGGGGCTGGGCTGGGGGTGCAGCACCCCCCGACCCCCCTGTCCCCTGCCCTGTCCCCTCGCTGTCCCCAGGAGGTGCTGCTGAAGCGCGCGGCCGACCTGGTGGAGGCACTTTATGGGGTCCCCCACAGCAACCAGGTGTGTGGGGACCCCTCTGGGACACCCCGAGACCCCCCTGGCACCTCCCCAGGACCCCCATCCTGGGACAACCCCGGGGACACCCCCAGTGTCCACTGGGACCCCTCCAGGACCCTTCCAGGGTCCCCATCATGGGACATCTCCCTGGGAGCCCCTTGGGGACACCCCTGGGACACCTGGAGGGTCCCGGGCCCCTCCTCAGCCCCAGAGGTGACACCAGCTGGGACAGTCCCCGGGAGGTGACACCAGCTGGGACAGCTCCAGCCACCCCCAGCCCATCCCGTGGTCACCCCAGGCTCTGTGGGTGGTGGTGTGGCACTGAGGGTGACACCGAGGGTGGCACTGAGGGGTGGCACTGCGGGGCACCATCGAGGGGTGACACTGTGGGTGACATCAAGGGGTGACACTGTGCCAGGAGGTGGCTTTGTGGGGTGACACCGAGGGGTGGCACTGCGGGGCACCATCGAGGGGTGACAATGAGAGGTGACACTTTAGGGTGACACTGTTGGGTGGCACTGCAAGGCACCGTCAAGGGGTGACACTGAGCATCACTAAAAGGTGACATGCTGTGCGGGAGGGTGACATGATGGGGTGACACCGAGGGGTGACACCGAGGGGTGACACTGTGCCGGGAGGTGGCTTTGTGGGGTGACACCGAGGGGTGACACTGCAGGGCACCATCGAGGGGTGGCAATGAGAGGTGACACTTTAGGGTGACACTGTGGGGTGACACAGAGAGGTGACACTGTGGGGTGACACCGAGGGGTGACACCGAGGGGTGAACCGTGAGGTGACACCAAGGAGTTACTCTGTGGGGTGGCACCATGCCGGAGGGTGACACTGAGGTGACACTGAGGTGCCACCGAGCAGTGCCACCCTCACTCGGTGACACCACTGCCGTGTCCCCAGGACGTGCTGCTGAAGCGGGCGGCTGACGTGGCCGAGGCGCTCTACAGTGTCCCCAGGGCCCCCGCGCATGTCACTGTCCCCTCCTTCGGCGGGGGACAGCTCGGCCTCGCCATGGGCGACTCCCCGCAGGGCTCCGAACAAGGTGCGTGGTGGCCTCGGGGTGGCGGGAGGGGTTTTGTCACCTCTCCAGGAGGTGCCACCTGTCACTGTCCCCTCAGGGCTCTGACCAAGGTGTTCAGTGACCTCATGGTGGCCGGGAGGGTTTTTGTCACCTCACAGGCAGGTGCTACCTGTCAGTGTCCTCTCAGGGCTCTGACCAAGGTGTTCAGTGACCTCGGGGTGGCGAGAGGGCTTTTGTCACCTCTGCAGGCGGTGCCACCGTGTCGCTGTCCCCTCAGGGCTCTGACCAAGGTGCGCGGTGGCCTCGGGGTGGCCGGGAGGGCTTTTGTCCCCTCTCCAGGTGGTGCCACCGTGTCGCTGTCCCCTCCCCATAAGGTGTTCGGTGACCTCGGGGTGGCCGGGAGGGCTTTTGTCACCTCCCAGGCGGTGCCACCATGTCATTATCCTCTCAGGGCTCTGACCAAGGTGTTCAGTGACCTCAGGGTGGCGGGAGGGCTTTTGTCCCCTCCCAGGCGGTGCCACCGTGTCGCTGTCCCCTCAGGGCTCTGACCAAGGTGTTTGGTGGCCTCGGGGTGGCGGGAGGGTTTTTGTCCCCTCTCCAGGTGGTGCCACCGTGTCGCTGTCCCCGCAGGGTTCTCGCGCAGCCCCGGGACGCCCCCGGCGCGGGGGTTCGGCCCCCCGGGCTCGGCCCCCCAGCAGGGCTTTGCCGGGGCCACCAGCGGCTTCGGCGGGGCCACCATGGCCGGGCTGGGGGTCCCCGGGTCCCCTCCGAGCTTCCTGAACGGCTCCACCGCCACCTCCCCCTACGCCAGTGAGTGACACCTCTGGGGACACCCCTGCTGGGGGGGGACACGGGTTCTTGGGGGGTCCCCAAAGCCGTGGGACAGCCCTGGGTGGGTGGGGGGGTTCCTGGAGTCATGGCTCCTCCCAGGGCGTCCCCAAAATCATGGTGGGGTCCCTGAGGGTCCCCAGAGTCATGGGCCAGCTCTGTGGGGTCCCCAAAGCCGTGTGACAACCCTGGAGCGTCCCCAAAGCCATTGGTGAGGGCAGGAGAGGGAGTGGGGACATGGCCAGCTGAGGTGGGACAGCCCTGTCCCTGTCCTTGTCCCGATCCCTGTCCCTGCCCATCGTTGTCATTGTCCCTGTCCCTGCCTCTCTCCCTGTTCCTGTCCCCATCCCTGTGCCTGTCCCTGTTCCTGTCCCTATCTTTGTCCCCGGTCCCTGTCCCAGCCCCATCCTTGTCCCCTTCCTTGTCCTGCCCTTGTCCCTCCCCATCCGTGTCCTGGCTCTGTCCCTGTCCCCATCTCTGGGCCCATCCTGGTCCTATTCTTGTCCTTGTCTCTCTCCCTGTCCCTGTCCCCATCCCTGTCCCTGTCCCCTTCCCTGGATCCATCCTGACCCTGTCCTTATCCCAGTCCCTGTCTCTTCCTGTCCCCGTGTCCCATCCCTGTCCCCATCCCTGTCCCTGTCCCATCCCCATCCCTGTCCCTTTCCCATCCCCATCCCTGTCCTCACCCTGTCCTGTCCCCATCCCTGTCCTATGCCTGTCCCCATCCCTGTCCCTGTCCCATCTCCATCCCTGTCACATCCCTGTCCTTGTCCTATTCCCATCTTTGTCTCTGTCCCCGTCCCTATCCCTGTCCCTTTCCCATCCCCATTCCTGTCCCCATCCCTGTCCTCACCCCTGTCCTGTCCCCATCCCTGTCCCCATCCCTCTCCTGTCCCACCCCTGGTCCCTGTCCCATCCCCATCCCTGTCACATCCCTGTCCTTGTCCTATCCCCATCTTCGTCTCTGTCCCCGTCCCTATCCCTGTCCCTTTCCCATCCCCATCCCTGTCCCCATCCCTGTCCCCATCCCTCTCCTGTCCCATCCCTGTCCCTGTCCTGTCCCCATCCCTCTCCCATCCCTGTCCCCATCCCTGTCCCATCCCCATCCCTGTCCCTGTCCTGTCCCCATCCCTGTCCTGTCCCCATCCCTGTCCCTGTCCCATCCCTGTCTCATCCCTGTCCCCATCCCTGTCCCATCCTCATCCCTGTCCCCATCCCTCTCCTGTCCCGTCCCTGGTCCCTGTCCCATCTCTGTCCCATCCCTGTCCCTGTCCTGTCCCCATCCCTGTCCCCATCCCTGTCCCCATCCCTGTCCCCATCCCTGTCCCCATCCCTGTCCCATCTCTGTCCCATCTCTGTCCCATCCCTGTCCCTTTCCCATCCCCATCTCTGTCCCATCCCCATCCCTGTCCCCATCCCTCTCCCATCCCTGTCCCCCCACCACCTCCCGTCCCCTCGCGGTGTCCCCGCTGCCACCCGAGCCGTGTGTGTGTCTGTCCCCTCAGTCCTGCCCGCCAGTCCCCCTCTGGGCGCCTCGTCCGTCGCTGTCACCTCGGGCCCGGGCTCGGCCACCTCTCCCGGTGGCTTCTCCTTCTCTCCGGTGACGATGATCTCGGCCGTGAAGCAGAAGAGCGCCTTCGCCCCCGTGCTGCGGCCACAGGGGTCCCCCCCGCCCGCCTGCGCCAGCGCCCTGCAAGGTCAGCTGTCCCCAAGGCCACCAAGGCCACCAAGCTCTCTGACACCCAGCCCCGGGTGGCCCGTGCCCCGTGGAGGGTCCCCGGTGTCACCACACTGCTGATGTCCCTTACCTGGGCATGGTTTGGTCTGGCCTGTGCCAGCCTTGTCCCCAGTGTCCCCAAGGTCCCTGACATCTGTCCCCAACCCCGTGAGGGTCCCCGGTGTCACCACACTGCTGATGTCCCGTACCTGGGTGTGGTTGGGTGTGTCCTGTGCCACCCTTGTCCCTCTCTGTCCCTCTGTGTCCCCAGTGTCCCCAAGGTCCTTGACATCTGTCCCCAACCCCGTGAGGGTCCCTAGTGTCACCACACTGCTGATGTCCCGTACCTGGGCGTGGTTGGGTGTGTCCTGTGCCACCCTTGTCCTTCTCTGTCCCTCTGTGTCCCCAGTGTCCCCAAGGTCCCTGACATCTGTCCCCAAGCCCGTGAGGGTCCCTAGTGTCATCACACTGCTGATGTCCCGTACCTGGGCGTGGTTTGGTCTGGCTTGTGCCACCCTTGTACCCAATGTCCCCAGTGTCCCCAACACATACCCCAGGTCCCCCTGCCCCACGGAGTGTCCCCGGTGTCACTGCAGGTCCCTTCCTGATGTCCTGCCCATGCCTGGGGTTGTCCCCTGCCACCCGCGTCCCTGTCCCGCTGTGTCCCCGGTGTCCCCAACACCCACCCCAAGTCCCCCTGCCCCATAGAGTGTCCCCAGTGTCACCGCACATCCCTTCCCATGCGACACCCATACCTGGGATTGTCCCGTCCCACCCATGTCCCTGTCCCCAGTGTCCCCAAGGTCCCCAGTGTCCCCAATGTCCCCAGTGCCCCCAACACACACCCCAAGTCCCCCTGCCCCACAGAGTGTCCCCGATGTCACTGCACATCCCTTCTTGATGTCCCTGCTCATGCGATGCCCATACCTGGGATTGTCCCCTGCCACCCGCGTCCCTGTCCCACTGTGTCCCCGGTGTCCCCAGTGTCCCCAACACACACCCCAAGTCCCCCTGCCCCATAGAGTGTCCCCAGTGTCACCACATGTCCCTGCCCATGCGATGCCCATAGCCAGGGTTGTCCCCTGCCACCCGCGTCCCTGTCCCGGTGTGTCCCCGGTGTCCCCAACACACACCTGAGGTCCCCCTGCCCCATAGAGTGTCCCCAGTGTCACCGCACATCCCTTCCCATGCGACACCCATACCTGGGATTGTCCCGTGCCACCCACGTCCCTGTCCCCAGTGTCCCCAGTGTCCCCAATGTCCCCAGTATCCCCAGTGTTCCCAGTGTCCCCAGTGTCCCCAGTGTCCCCAGTGTCCCCAATGTCCCCAGTGTCCCCAGTGTCCCCAATGTCCCCAACACACACCCCAAGTCCCCCTGCCCCACAGCGTGTCCCCGATGTCACTGCATGTCCCTTCCTGATGTCCCTGATCATGCGATGTCCATACCTGGGGTTGTCCCATGCCACCCGCGTCCCTGTCCCCAATGTCCCCAATGTCCCCAATGTCCCCAACACCCACCCCAGGTCCCCCTGCCCCATGGTGTGTCTCCGGTGTCACTGCATGTCCCTTCCTGATGTCCCTGCTCATGTGACGCCCATACCCGGGGTTGTCCCCTGCCACCTGCATCCCTGTCCCCAGTGTCCCCAATGTCCCCAATGTCCCCAACACACACCCGAGGTCCGCCTGCCCCACGGAGTGTCCCTGATGTCACTGCATTCCCTTCCTGATGTCCTGCCCATGCCTGGGGTTGTCCCATGCCACCCGTGTCCCTGTCCTGCTGTGTCCCCGATGTCCCCAACGTCCCCTGGCTGACGCTGTCCCTGCCCTGCCCAGACCCACCTTTCGAGGACTCGGACAAATTCCACGCTCCGGCGCGGCCGCTCCAGGGACTGGCCTATTCCTAAGGACGCCCATCCCGCCGGGACAAGGACTGGGGACATCCCTGTCCCCTGGGCCATCCCCTCAGAGATGGGTGGGGCCGCCAGGCGCAGCGGGATCAGGGGACCCGGCCCCACGATGTCCCCACCCCGGGTGGCCCCGGCCTGGCCCGGCTGAGGGGGGACACGGGGAAATCCTGGAAGGAGCCAAAATTCCCGGGTTTGGCCTCGGGAAGAGGTGGAGAGAGCCGGGAATGGGGGCACCGGGATGGGCGGGAGGGGTGGTCCGGGATGGGAGGGATGGAAGCTCTGGAAAGGGATGGATGATCCAAGGTGGGATGGATGCTCCAGGTGGGATGGATGCTCCAAGGTGGGATGGATGCTCCAGGTGGGATGGAAGCTCTGGAAAAGGATGGATGCTCCAAGGTGGGATGGATGCTCCAGGTGGGATGGATGTTCTAAGGTGGGATGGAAGCTCTGGAAAAGGATGGATGCTCCAAGGTGGGATGGATGATCCAGGTGGGATGGAAGCTCTGGAAAAGGATGGATGCTCCAAGGTGGGATGGATGCTCCAAGTGGGATGGATGTTCTAAGGTGGGACGGAAGCTCTGGAAAAGGATGGATGCTCCAAGGTGGGATGGATGATCCAAAGTGGGATGGATGCTCCAGGTGGGATGGATGATCCAGGTGGGATGGAAGCTCCAGAATAGGTTGCATGATCCAGGTGTCATGGATGATCTGGGATGAGATAGATGCTCCAGGTTGGGATGGATGTTCCAAGGTTAGATGGAAGCTCTGGAAATGGATGGATGATCCAAGGTGGGATAGAAGTTTTGGAAAAGGAAGGATGTTCCAAGGTGGGATGGATGATCCAGGTGGGATGGATATTCCAAGATGGGAAGGAAGCTCTGGAAAAGGATGGAGGATCCAGGATGGGATGGGAGCTCCAGAATAGCGTGGATATTGAGGATTAGAGGGATGATCCAGGAAATGGTGGATGCTCCTGGGTAGGGGGAACGATCTGGAGGGGGATGGACAGATGGATGGATGATGGATGGATGATGGATGATGGATGGATGGATGGATGGATGGATGGATGGATGGATGATGGATGGATGATGGATGATGGATGGATGGATGATGGATGGATGGATGGATGATGGATGGATGGATGGATGATGGAGAGATGGATCCATGGAGAGATGGAGGGATGGTTGAATGGATCCATGGAGGGATGGATGGATACTCCAAGGCAGGAGGGATGATCTGGGACAGGATGGATGCTCCCAGTAGAGATGGATACTCCCAGGTGGGCCGGATGCTCCAGGTGGGAATGTCCTGGATACCCCAGGTGGGACGGATGCTCCAGAGGGACCCGGCTCCCCCCACCTTTCCCGGCTCTCTCCCCACTCCAATCCAGAGCTCACCCACAATTCCAGAATCCGATCCCAGAATCCCGGCTCTCCGCCTGTCCGGGATCAGGATCCTGGTGCCACCCGGGGCGTGGGGACACCGTGGTCACTGTCCCCTGCCATTAATTATCGCCATTATTATCGATATTAATTATCAGAATTATTTTGACCACAGGGAGGGGGGAGGTCCCTGGGTGTCCCCTCCCCCAGCCGGGAATTTTGTACATAAAACGGGAAGAATTCCCAACATTCCCCCCTTTTCCCCGCTCGGGGGTGGCTCGTGTCCCTCCCCTCCGTGTCTGTGGTGTCACCGCGTGTCCCCCCCACCCCGGGCTGGGGGGTGACACTTGGGGACAATGTCCCCCCCCTCCCTCGCGGAGGTGGCGCAGGGCGCGGTCGGGGGCTCGAGTGGGAATTAAAGACCTCGTGGAAAAGCTGCGACTCCCGGGATTTGTCACCCCCCACCCGGGATGGTGTCACCTTGGGGACACAGCGGGGATGTCCCCATTCCCGTGTCCCCTCCCCCCCCCCCCGCCCAGGCCACCCCCCTGTCCCCTCCAGCTGCGGTGTCACCTCCTGTCACCTCCCCCCGCCCCCGCGCGCCGGGATGAGCGCAGGAGGAGCTGGAATTAATTGCGTTAATCAAGAAAGGTTAATGAGGAGGTGGCGGTGCCAACGCGCGGGGGTGGGGGGGGGGGGTGGCACAGCTGGCACTGCCACGGGGATGGTGACACGGGGCGGGGACACCGAGCGGCGACACGGGGCTGGCAGCGCGGCTGGGGACACCGCGTGACCCCCGTGGGGACGGGCCACGCGTGGTGGGGACGGGGGTGACACCGTGACCAGCCTGGGGTGGTGGCACCGTGAGTGAGAACGTGTGGCACGGGTGTTGGGGACAATCATGGGTGGTGGGGACAGTCACGGGTGTTGGGGACAGTCACACGTGTTGGGGACAGTCACGGGTGTTGGGGACAGTCACGGGTGTTGGGGACAGTCACACGTGTTGGGGACAGTCACGGGTGTTGGGGACAGTCACGGGTGTTGGGGACAGTCACGGGTGCTGGGGACAGTCACAGGTGGTGGGGACAGTCACGGGTGTTGGGGACAGTCACAGGTGTTGGGGACAGTCACAGGTGGTGGGGACAGTCACAGGTGGTGGGGATGGTCACAGGTGGTGGGGACGGTCACGGTTGTTGGGGACAGTCACGGGTGTAGGGGACAGTCACGGGTGTTGGGGACCGTCACAGGTGTTGGGGACAGTCACAGGTGTTGGGGACAGTCACAGGTGGTGGGGACAGTCACAGGTGGTGGGGACGGTCACAGGTGGTGGGGACAGTCACGGGTGTTGGGGTCACGGGTGTTGGGGACAGTCACGGGTGTTGGGGACAGTCACAGGTGGTGGGGACAGTCACGGGTGTTGGGGACGGTCACGGGTGTTGGGGACGGTCACGGGTGTTGGGGACAGTCACACGTGTTGGGGACGGTCACAGGTGTTGGGGACAGTCACGGGTGGTGGGGACAGTCACGGGTGTTGGGGACAGTCACAGGCGCTGGGGACAGTCACGGGTGTTGGGGACAGTCACAGGTGATGGTGACACACACACGTGTTGGGGACAGTCACGGGTGTTGGGGACAGTCACGGGTGTTGGGGACAGTCACAGGTGGTGGGGACAGTCACGGGTGTTGGGGACAGTCACAAGTGGTGGGGACGGTCACAGGTGGTGGGGACAGTCACGGGTGCTGGGGACGGTCACGGGTGGTGGGGACAGTCACACGTGTTGGGGACAGTCACGGGTGTTGGGGACAGTCACAGGTGATTGTGACACACACAGGTGTTGGGGACATGCAGAGGTGTTGGGGACAGTCACAGGTGATGGTGACACACACAGGTGATGGTGACACACACAGGTGTTGGGGACAGGCAGAGGTATTGGGGACACACGTGGCACATGTAGGGGGACACTCGCATGGCACTTGTTGGGGACACACACAGGAGTTGGTGACAGTCCCAAGTGTTTGGGACAGGCATGTGGCACAGGTGTTGGGGACACGCAAGTGGCATGTGCCATGGGGACACTCCCAGGTGTCGGGGATGTGCACAGGTGTTGGGGACACACATGTGACACGCTGAGGTGGCACTCGCAGGACTTGGGGACACACATGTGACACACTGAGGTGGCACTCCCCGGTGTTGGGGACATTCCCACGTGTTGGGGACACACATGTGACACGCTGAGGGGACACTCCCAGGGCTTGGGGACATGCACTGGTGGCCCTTCCCATTCCCGTGAGCGCCCTCAGCTTTGATCCCTCCCAAATCCCGAATTTCCCCCAAATCCCGAATTTCCCCCAAATCCCGAATTTCTCCCAAATCCCCAGGTCCCAATCCCGGCTCTGTCCGGTTTGGGATCCTGGGATTTTGGGCTGGGAAAAGCAGGAATGGGATAAACCCAAAGAGGGAAAAGTGGGAATGGGATAAACCCAAAGAAGGAAAAATGGGAATGGGGTCGGATAAACCCAAAGAGGGAAAAACGGAAATGGGATAAACCTAAAGAGGGAAAGTGGGAATGGGATAAACCCAAAGAAGGAAAAATGGGAATGGGGTTGGATAAATCCAAGGAGGGAAAAGCGGGAATGGGATAAACCCAAAGAGGGAAAAGGAATGAGGTGATGGATCAGGGGGATATCAGGGAAAAGGGGGATCCCAGGTCCTGGATCCCATCCCATTTTGGGGTGGGATTGGGGATCCCAGATCCCGAATCCTGGATTCCATCCTGTTTTGGGGTAGGATTGGGGATCCCAGATCCCGGATCCCATCCCAGGTTGGGGCAGGATCAGGGATCCCAAATCCTGGATCCTGGATCCCATCCCGGGTTGGGGCAGGATCGGGATCCCGGATTCTGAATCCCAGATCCCATCCTGGTTTGGCGTGGGATCGGGAATTCCAGATCCTGAATCCTGGATCCCATCCCAGTTTGTGGTGGGATTTGGGATCCCAGATCTGGATCCCATCCTGGTTTAGGGCAGGACCAAAGATCCCAGATTCCGAATCTTGGATCCCATCCCAGTTTGGGGCAGGACTGGGGATCCCAGATCCTGAATCCCAGATCCCATCTCGGGTTGGGGTGGGATTGGGAATCCCAGATCCTGAATCCCGGATCCCATCCTGGGTTGGGGTGAGATTTGGGATCCCAGATCCCAAGTCCTGGATCCCAAGTCCTGGATCCCATCCCCATTTGGGGTGAGATTTGGGATCCCAGATCCCAAGTCCTGGATCCCATCCCTGTTTGGGGTGAGATCAGGAATCCCAGATCCCGGATCCCGGATCCCATCCTGGGTTGGGGCGGGATTTGGGATCCCAGATTCTGAATGCCAGATCCCATCCTGGTTTGGGGCAGGATCAGGAATCCCAGATCCCGAATCCTGGATCCCATCCTGGTTTGGGGTGAGGACTGGAATCCCAGATCCCGAGTCCTGGATCCATCCCGCTTTGGGGTGAGATCGGGAATCCCAGATCCTGGATCCCGGATCCCATCCCACTTTGGGGCGGGATCTCCCGGAGCCGCTTTCTGGGAAAGGCCCAGGCTGGAAAGAATTCCCAAAAATAGCCGGGGGCGGGGCCGTTCCCAGCTGTTCCCACCGGGAATGTGAATCCCAGAGCGGGGGTGGGCACCCCAAAATCCCCCTGGGGACACCAAAAGGGAGCTGGGAACCCCAAATTCCCACCCCAGGGAAAACTGGGGGGGATTTGGATCCCAAAATTTCCTTCTTAGGGATAAGGGGGGGATTGAGGACCCCAAAATCCCTCCCAGTGTTCCCAAAAGGGGGGTGAGGACCCCAAAATTCCCTCTTGGGGACAGCGGGGGGATGGGGACACCAAAATCCCCCCGATGTCCCCAAAGCGGGGTGGGGACCCCAGAATTCCCTCTTGGGGACAATTTGGGGCTGTAGGGTCCCCAAAATCCCCCCGATGTCCCCAAGGCGGGTGAGGACCCCAAAATTCCCCCCTTGGGGACAATGTGGGGGTGGGCACCCCAAAATCCCTCCTGATGTCCCCAAATGGGGTGGGTACCCCAAAATTCCCTTTCTGGGGACACTGTGGGAGTGAGGACCCCAAAATTCCCTCTTGGGGACAATTTGGGGGTGCAGTGTCCCCAAAATCCCCCCGATGTCCCCAAGGGGGGTGGGGACCCCAAAATCCCCCTCAGGATACAAAAGGGAGGCTGGGAACCCCAAAATATCCGCCTGGGGACCATGGGGAGTTGGGGACCCCAAAATCCCACCCGATGTCCCCAAAGGAGGGGTAGGGACCCCAAAATTCCTGCTCTGGGGACACTGAGGGAGTGAGGACCCCAAAATTCTCTCCTGGGGACAATTTAGGGGTGCAGTGTCCCCAAAATCCCCCCAATGTCCCCAAAGGAGGGTGGGG